ATTTTGTCTCAGTTGCAAAGTCGAACACTGTCTCCACTTACATCATTTTCCCTGCTGTCCCTGTGTGTTTGAGCAAACGCACCATATCATCTGAAACCGTCGCCCTTCTGCAGTATCTGAAGTACTTCAGAGGAAACCTTTATTAACAGCAAGGTGCTTTGGTTATTTCACACCAGTAAATATATTTTTATTTTGCTACGAATACAAAAACTCTATCAAGGTGATTTGCTATTAACACTTTACATATGCAGTTTACGGTTAGTGTAGTAACTCTTGGCCAGTGATTCATTGAGGACAGGTTTGAGTGTTTGAGTGTCATCATACAAATCATACAAATATTTAATACAAAATGCTTGTTCTACTATCCAAGACAGTGATGGATTGAGGTTGATCAGGGCTGGCAGCTGCAACGCACGATACTAAAATCCCTCAACTTGTGTCGGTCGTCCAGTATCACTGTCAACCTATAAAGATTTAATATAAATCATGATCTAATTTGTTTCCAAGTAGCTGCTGGATGATTTCTTTCTGACCGGACGCCCAAGGTTAAGTCTTTAATATAAATGTAAAGGATAGGGAACAATCCGGGCGAGTAATGACGATGGCGATTAAGAACAGATGTTTTTCTCAATGAGATAATAAAAAAATAAAAAAAAGAGAGATCTCCTCAGGACGGTTTCAAAAATGTGATTTGTATTCTACAGTTTGGCTGCCTGTTGCTGTGTTCTTCCCTGTGGCATTATCTTCCCGGTGCATTGGTGTGGAGGAGGAAGGCCTCATTTATTCCAAGTTATGCAACCATCTTGGGAAATGCTGGCCAGGCGCTGACTGTAGCAGCGAGCAGGGCTTTAACTCAGCAGCGAGCATCGCGCTGGTTTTACCACAGATCCGAGCAAGCAGCCGAGGCTTTTCCTTATTTCACCCCCTTCAACGTGTGCGTCTTTTTGCACGCGGCATCCAGTGCTGCCCGAAGCACATTCAAGGAAAGGAGGAAACGGCCTGTTGATCATGCACCACAATGGCTGTTGCATAAGCCTTGACACAGGGAATTTATGAACTTGCAATGTGAGGACTGGAAGAGCCATGGAGGAGTATTTGCATTTCGAAATATCATTGTCAATTATGTCACTTTAAAGCTTTTTTTCAGTTAATATATTAGCAACATTGATCATCACCCTATAACATTCTTTGTGAAATCTTTCATTTCAGCCTTAAACATCAACTTAAGTAATTGATTTGCATCCATACGTCTAATCTTTTGTAGTGTAAATATAATTATTCTGTAATGTTCACCCTTAAATGGAAACAAGCTTACTTATTTCTCTCCCCTCTCAAGTCGCTCTATCTCTCACACCTTACACGTCCTCTTTTTCCCCCGTCGCTCGGGTTTAAGCTCTCCTCTCATATTGTAAGACAATTGTCAGTTGATGCACATGTGCACGCAGATGTTTGGTGGTTGTTTAAAGGCTACCACTCCAGGCAGCCTTCACAGATATCATTTCTGCAGAAATATTGAAAATATAAACGACGTAAATATAAATGAATGCACAACACGTATTATTAAAAGAAGGGCAGCCTCGGGCGGTTGAGCCGCAGGCCGGCGGTGCACCGGCTCGTCGTAGGGACAGTGGGGCCGTTTTGGTCCGAGATACCGTAGAGCTGAGGAACTCATCCTCCCCCCGGCTAATACCTTCAGGGCATCCAGCCTCGGCTCTGAGACACAGCTAGGATTTCTTTACCTGTTTGTCGAGCCCGCCAGTAAAAAAAAAACGCTGCTCCGTGGTGGTAGAAGTTGCGGAGCAGTCTGCTGCAAATGTTGGATGACAGAAACCTCCCCGGGCAGACAGTCAGCGTGTGCTTCTTTTGTCAAACTGGACCAGGTTTTTATATGATATGAATCCCACAACTTCACTGCTCCACCATCGCATCATCATAATGGATTAATGGTTGGCTCCACTGGCTTCCCGGTCTGCCACGGCATCTGCCACAAGCTGCTTAAATTCACCCAGAGTGAAGAGTAATCCAACACAGTTGATATGATTTATTGAAGTTAAGAAAGTTAGTTAATGCGTTCTCCAAAGCAGACGTTCAGAGCCGAACGTTGACAGCTCAGCTCACGTCTGGGAAAAATTGGATCACAGAGAGTTAAAAGACATCCATAAATGTTCCAAGTCAGGTGGTTCTCGGGTAAAATACATCGTTTCATTCAAGTCTTGACAAAGCCTCAAGGAGTTCACAAAATGTTATTGAGTGATCAGTACAGAAAATGGATTTTTTTTTGCCTTTAGTTTGAGTTTTTGATTAAGCACCTATAAAATCATTTTGGATGTGCTCATGTCACCCTTCTTTGTTTCACCCTATAAAGTTAGTTGTTTTACATTTGGTTCATGAAGTTATTACAACATGTTACATTTTACTCCTGGCTAATAATACCAAATATATATGATACTAATTAAAAAAAATGATTTCAACAGAATATATCAACTGAAGACTGAAGTAATCTGAGATAATTACACTGCATCCATCATATACTTCCGCTTAATGATTGATTAAGCACTGAAAACATGTTTGTATCTTCCTGGTAGTTTATTTTTGTGCTTCTGTCTGTCCGGAAATGATTGATGTCAAATTGAGTCTACTTGAAATGAATTGGTTGATAGCTAAAGAGACCAATCAGGGTTGAACGATTAGTCTCTAAACAGCTCATTGTGGGGGAATCAAAGCAGCTCAAGAGAGGTTATGTAATCAGAATCCTGGGGTGAATGTGGAGAGAAAAGATCAGGCTTACAGTGTCTGTGCAAGCAACCAGATGTGCTCTGTCTTCTTCTACAACATTTCCAAGTATTCATGTTGCCATGTTGTGCTGTATGATTGCTGAATGTTTCCCACTGGTGTAGGGATTTGGGCGTAGTACAAGGAGCGCTGTGCAGAGTAACTAGTACAATAAAGAGGGTCACGTGTGAATCAAAAAGTCAGCATATCTGTAGTTCGCTGAAACATGCTTTTTTCTTTTTGCTGACTTGTTGAAAACGACACAACTTGTACCAACTAGATAATACTACATTTAAAAGATAAAATGTTTTGGTTGATTATTTTTTAATGGGTACTTTCCTTGCATTTGAACAATATGCGAATGAATGTCCACCTGCTCTGGGAAGCTTCTATTGTATGTTTCCACAGCCACACTGGCACGTTGCCTGATCGTGTTTGTTGGTCTTTGGAAATGAACACACAGAAACACAGTGATATGTCCCTCTGCGTTCACTTGCTAGTCTTAATTTGACACATTTCGTTGCCTCAGCAGCTGTTAGACGTCATCCACCTTAATACGGTGAGTTTGAAAGAAAGTGAGAGGGGACTTTGCTGAGCAGCGATCGTGTGGAGGAGATACGGAGAGGAAAACGGAGTGATGGCAGCATGTTCACACTACTGTGATTACTACGCTGAAGCTCTACAAAATCTACTGCCCACCATAATTACACACAATGTTTTAACACTTTAGGGTCCTCACTAAGAAAAAGCAATGGAAACATTTACTTTCAGGGTATTAATGACGAGAATATATATATTTTTTTAAAGTTTGTAATATATCATCTTTTTTCTCCTCCCCAAACAACCTTGAAAACTCCTTTTATGGTTCCTGGGTTTTTCAGCAGTGGTTGCCATGACAACCCTGCATTTTATTTCGGGCTCTCTTGAAATGGTGTGTGAAATCAGAGATCCCAAATGTTATGTAACTCGATGTGCACTGTTCCGGTCTGGGGTTTCCTGTTGCAGAGAACTTAAGAGTAATTCATTACAGGGGAATGGAAGGCACGTGTCTCCCTGTTTACCTGTATATATTTTATTGGCACAATGTAAGCTGTAATTTAAATGCAGGAAGCCAGGCGTGATGACGGATGCTTCAATAATTTACTGAAATGTTTTGTGTTACAGGTCGTTTTGTATCTTGATAGGATACATGAACAGATCTTATCATCTACATTTGATCAGTCAGATAGAAAGTAAGCGGGAAATGATAATAATAAGACTGTAAGGCTCTTTGACGATGATACAGTGGGTTTATAATGAAGAGGAATGAGAATAATGTATTAACTTGAATGGGATTACAGGACAAACTGGGGCATCAAATTCAGACTTCAATAAGTAGCTAATCACTTTTTGGATATAGACATTTTATTATTCATGTAGTCAAACATAATTTGCACTTCCTTACATATATTTAATTTCGCAGACACTTTTCTAGAATACTGGAAAATGAATTTCCGTAAAGCCATGAGGGTTTTATTCTGTGCGTGTTTCAAAGATCACAATCCACAAGCTCACTTTTTCATTTGCAGTTTTCCAACGTTGCCTCACAGAGCCAATGGTGTTTACTCACAGTATCTCTCAGACACCGTTCCTTACACTCTTGTATTTTATGCAGAAACGGTGTCCTCAAAGCTTTTAAACCTCCAGTGCTGCTCGGTTGTTCATTTACCACAGATTATAGTGGGCACAGCATTTATCAGAATAATTGTGGAATTGCTCACCCATTCTGTTGAACTAAATAATCTCCATGTTTAGATGCAAAAACATTGGATTTTATGCACCATATAATAGTGATAGCCTTGATTAAATTGTGGATAATTAACATTACAAATAACAGTACAATAACTCTTGAGTTTAATAAACCATGAGCTTCATCTACACATATTGTTTCAAAGTCATTTAGGATAATACAGAAACAATTATGGGTGGTTGGTGAGCAATCATCATTAAGCTTTTTTTAAGCAGTTTTGAAGTAACTGCTACAACAAACTGTTACAGTAGGTTTGAGCAGGGAACGGATTTCTACTGACTTAAAAGATAGATATTTATCTTGAAATCAATATCGATATACAGTAGGTCACTGCTATACAGTGTTAGAAACAGCATAAAGTGAGATGATGAAACATGTCCACAACCAAGTCTCATTCCAACTTAATCTAATTTACTTTCTTTCACCGTCTCTGAAACAGACCAGAAGTTTTCACCTTGGTCCCCGTCTCCAAAGTTCAATGAAGACAGACGCCTCCCTCCAACCAGGAACATGAAGGGCTTATCGGGCAGCCGTTCCCAGCACCAGATCCCTCTACCCTACGGCTTGGACTACGACCCCCACGTCCATGACCTCCATGGCCACCATGGCTCTGACTCCCGCCACTCATCCTACCTGCTCAGCCCGACGGAGAGCTGCCCCATGGACTTCCACCACCGCTACTCGCCGCGCAGCTCCATCCACTCCGACTGCATGATGATGGCCCCCGTCATGGTGCCTCAGGCAGCAGCGTCGGAGCACATCTCCAGCAGCACCTTTCCCAGGATGCACTACAGCTCTCCGTACTACGACCCGGCCGCCAGGGAGGACTGCGCCGCCATCACGGCCTCCGCCACCTCCCCGGCGGTGGCGGCGGCCGCAGCCGCCGCAGCCGCCTCCTCCCACCTCGCCGGCACCAAGAGCAACCGCCTTCCCGCTAACCTGCTGGACCAGTTTGAGAAACAACTGCCGCTGCACCGCGACGGCTTCCACACGCTACAGTACCAGCGCACGTCCACCACCACCGAGCAACGCGGCGAGAGCCCCGGCCGCATCAGACACCTCGTCCATTCCGTCCAGAAGCTCTTCACCAAGTCCCACTCCCTGGAGGGGTCGTCCAAAATGAACGGCACCAAAGGGATGCCGCTGAAGCGAAGAGCGGGTATCACACCACGCACATTCCACAAGCATGGCAGCAAGAGGAGCAAGAGCAAAAGAGCGCAAGCACCGCTCCGGCGGCTGGAGGAGCTCCGACGACAACCTGGACAGCGACAGCACCTACCGCACACCCAGCGTCATGTCGAGGCACCACGGGGAACACGTCGGCCACTGCTACCCGGATTCCACGCACAGCCATCACTTTGGGGACCTGTCGCTCAAGGCCTCCAAGAGCAACAACGATGTCAAATGCTCAGCCTGCGAGAGCATGGCCATGGCGCCCGAGGGCAAGTTCATGAAGAGGAGCTCCTGGTCCACGCTGACGGTCAGCCAGGCCAAGGAGGCCTACAGGAAGTCATCACTTCATCTGGAGAAGCCCATGATGCACTCGGACCTCAAGCATTCGTCGCGACCGTGTCACTACCTGCAGGTAATTTGTTCTTTACTTGATTTATGTCTTGGAAATGGACCAAAGTGTACTCCAGAGGAGTCAACACTTGATCAGAAAGATCAAATGATAAAACAGTTTTAAAGTAGTTGAAATAAACTCAGTGGATTAAAAAGGCTTCCACGTGTGGGGCAGGAAAAGCGAACGGTGGAGGTCTCCCCTTACGGCTGGACCGCTTCTACGAATTTATTGTAATATAATTAAATTAGTAAAATAACGTTCTTCCTTTGGGCCAACTTCCATTCAATAAAGTACAGCACTGGCACTGCGGTCTAAAGCGGTCCGCAGTGGTTTCTCAACCACTGCGTTGGAACGAGTTCACAGTTAAGTGAATCTGTACGATGTAGCAGTAACAGATCTGAATATATTCTGAAATTGCAATTTGTGAGCTATTTTTAAACATGTCCTGTAAAAACAATCCATTTTGATTAGGTCTTTACAACAGAGTTTAATTTACCGGGGCAGCAGCCCGTCGCCTACATCGGGAACTCGTCCCCCAAACACACATAAGGGCACCGGTCTGCTGCTCGGCCACCACTTTTCTGACTGCAGTTCTCTGCCTGTAGCGAGAAATCGTGTAAGCCATTGTTATACTGTTATACTGATTCATTGCTACAGATAAGAAGGAAGGAATAAGTAACAAGCTCCGTAATGACAACAAGTTTCTTTCCCAGCTTAAACCAAATTTAAAAATATGCAGAATACAATTTGAAAAGATCTGAAAGCTATGTAGTCCCCTGATATACATTAAAACTTAAGTACTGTTGCTATTCTTTGTTTAAAATATAAAATATATAGGCTTTGTCCAGCACAGGGATTTGAATTTTGAGTGTTTAAATCGGTCTCATAACAAAGAGGTACAAAGAAGAATGAATGCATTTCAGTGGTGTGTTGAAAGGCTGGTAGATGAACATAAACCTGAAAATGTAAGAAACAATAATTAAGATAAATTTCCACCCATCCTCCACAGGAGACCTTCTAAGTGATTGATGTATTGATTAGACGTCCTCCAGGGGAAGCCGTTCAGGTTGCACCGGTCTCTCTGTTGCTCTCCTGGGGGCAGTTACAGTGTCCAGTGTGAGAAGTCGATTTAACCAGGATTCCCTTTTGTGTAGTCACCTCAGGAAGCTATTGTCTATTCAGATGCAGAGATCACATGATGGCGGAGGAGAATGCAGGGGCGCCGTAAAACTGTAAAAACACACAGGTTTGGTGTCTCAACAAAACATATATACTGTGATGTAGTTTTAGTAGAAAATATATTATATATTATCATACATCATATTATTGATAAATATTATTGTGAAAATCTTAAAGGTCATCATGAAACATCAGAAAAAAACATACAGAGAAAATCTCCAGGAATTTGTGTTACATTAAGTATTTACAGCTATAAATATGTTTTTTTTTTAATCTAAATGAGGCTGATATTGAAATATGTATCAATGTGACTCGTTCTTTAGTGGTTTTCCAAATAACTTCATTTGAGTACTAAAAGCCTTTCATTATTATTATTATTTTATTATTAATATCTATATATTTCTCGCTCTCTTCAAAAAATACATTATTGTACGACTTTATTAGTTTCCCGTGTAAGGCAAATACTTCATTGCAATTGGCTAACGCTTTGTAAACAAAGAAAACGGTTTGGCCTGGCCCGAAGAGCTTGAAGCATGTTTTGAACGTGAGAGACAGTATAATGTGTCTTTTGCAGTATTACAAAGGATCGCTTCAAAGTGTAGCGTGATAATGAAATATCTGATCGCGGGGAATCAGATGATCTGGGGAAGAACTTTGTCTGTTCTTGACGTCTCTATGTTTCCTGCCTACAATATACCCTTTCAATACATCATGTCTCTTGGAGCCATCTATATTTATTCTGTTTTTTTTTTACAGCTCAGTGTTCATGTGCTTGACACATATTTTGCAGTGAGAAGATTAACAAATGATGCTGTTAAACAGCGTGCCTGTATAACTACTTAAGGGGCACAGCTGAACATGCTCCTTCAGGTGTATCGTCAAATGAGCACAAAAATGAGGTAATGCTAATGAGCTAGCACGATGCGGCCACGAGTGATGGCCGCCCTGTTCACCACAGCCGCAGACAATCAACGGCCGTGCATTAGGAGGAAAATGATTCCTTTACTTTATTGCTGTCTTTAAGCCTAATTAATGTGGTTTCCAGACAATTGCTGCATTTGATTCCACTCATGTGGGAGATGATAAATGTATGCAGAGCAAATTAGTGTGTGTGATGGTTTTACTGATAGGTCTTTGAAGGAAGACAGAAGCAGGCCAGCTAATTTTCATGTAACCTTTCCAAAGCGGGCGCAGCATATACAGATAAAGCACAAAAATAATATTGCTACATTAGCAAACCGAATAATTATGATTAATTTGCTATTGTATATTTTCAACAGTGCAACAGTTTGAGCAGCATATGGTCTAAATGCTTCCCAACCCTTTTCGTTTTGACTACATAAAAACCTCTATGCAAATATACTGGATTAAAGATGGTGGAAACCAGTCCTGTTATTTCGCAGTCGCTCTGAATCCCCACCTGCCAGCTCCCGCGGAGGAAAAACATTTCCATCAATTCATTGTTAAGTGACCAACGTTTTCTATTCTTATAGAACAGGTATTCTCATTCTCACCTGTCTGCCTCGCTTAAGCAAAAATGAAAAGAAAAGTAAAGACTGAGAGGGGGGGAGGGGGAGGAGGTGGGGGAGGGAGGAGGGGAGGCCCAAAAAGAGCCGACAGTGAGAACAGACGTGACAGGCACTGAGCCCTCTGTGAGAAGACGTTCAGCGACCGGGCCAGAGGAACAAGCCGTGTGCCGTGTCCCCGGGCAAAGTGAGCCACTGGCTGAGCATCAGGCCCTTAAGCCCCCGGGGGGGGCTGTTGTTTCAGGAGCTCAGGCTGCCCCGTCCACCGGGGACCACCGCTGCGGCTGCACCACACGCCGACATACACAACTCAATCAATGTAGTTGCATTCTAGCTGTATATTTAGCTAATCTAAAGTCACTCGTTTTCAGTACGTGAGCATTTGTAGCAGAACATCCCCCCCGTTGTACAGGAATTAGCTCACTGAAACGTAATCGCTCTGTTAATCCGGATGCTATAGGAACAGTTGCCGTTCACCCTTATAAGAATATTTAACACACAAAGCTTGTCCGTGCTTTCATCGTGTCTTGGCCATGGTACATAACTATATGAATGATTCATGTAGTTTTTGAGTCAGTACTGCATGTCAAAGCATAAGCTCCTTTTGTCAGTCAGAAGCAATTTAAAGCAGTGGTGATGTGCCGCTAATGACATGGGGCTGGTTTAAAAGGTGCAGCCTTGCCCTCAACGCTATGACTGGCAGCATTAGGCATAAAAATACACATATATACCTATATTTTTGCTTGGACGCTTGAAAGCAGTACTTTTCTCAAAGGTCGTTTTCGCCTTCCTGTTCAACTGTTTTGATGATCCTGCAGATGTAACGTAGTGTTTGATCTCCTTATAGAAACATGCTGATGAATCTACTTCCATGTTCATTTTCTTCCACCCCATAAAACATGATTTTTATATTAAAATGAATAGTTAGTACAACTCCTTTAAATGATGGATGCCGCAGTGGGTGTCTACTGTGTCAAAAAAGTGACCTCAAAGAGACCTGTATTGCTTTTGATCCGTTCCTTTAACTCGGACAATGCAATTCTTTGCTCCTGAATATCTAAGGGGAACCCATGCAAACCTACTTTGACTTCACAAGCCTCGAGGTTCAGGTCCTGCTGATAATCCATAGCACTGTTGATTTATCTCTCTGTGTAGATGAACGGCTCTGAACGAGACCAATTCCCTCACAGGATGAAATCCCCCTCGGTATTCACACTCACTCGTCAAAAGAATACAAATGGGACACGGCTTTCAGAATTTGGAGACTTGAATAAAATAGTACATCGCGGACCTACAAAGCAGCAAGCAATGATTTAGACGCCATAAATAGAGAAAATGTCTGCATGTTGTTTATGGGCCACCAAGAAGATAATTTTCAGTTTTATTATTCCTGCCAAACACATGGAATACTTGTCAGTTTGAATAAAACTACGATACACCAAAAGAATAAACAGATCTTTCTACTTTGGCTTAAAAGTATCATCTTATTTAACGTAATAACGATCAATTGCTATAATGTTTCTCATTACTGCACTTCATGAAAAAGCAAAATAAAACGTTGTTATATTTTACTTTCAACCCTTGAGGTACAAACAGAGTAGTGTTTACTGATACTGCTTTAGCTCTCAATTTAGCCGCTTTGATTTGTGCTGTGTGTTTTTTATGAAATGATACAAAGTGCCTGTTCACGGTTGCAGGAGAGAGAAACCCATTGGATCTGATTCTCGTGAGCTGAGTGAGGTTAATTTTTGCATTTAATTTGAGATTGAAGTCTCGGAGGGAGAATATAATAGAAGGGGACCTGAAACCAGGAATTTGAATCACCTCCTTTTTGTGTCCAAGGAAAAAACAGACGGCTTATCTGACTGATACAGTTCTCACACTCTTTTGGCCAATTGGATCTCTGATCTACAAGGCTGATGCTTTGTCTGTGAGCAGCAAAACAAATCACCACAGATGCTTGATTATGAATGAATACGCGGTATTAAACGCAGGTGCCTCATCGTCCCACAGGTTCCCCAAGATGAGTGGAGCGGATACCCGGGCGACAAGGATGAGGAGATCCCGTGTCGCCGGATGCGCAGCAGCAGCTACGTCAAAGCAATGGGAGAGGTGGAAGATGAGAGCGGTGACTCTGACAGCAGCCCTAAGATCTCCCCCCAGAAGGCCGTCCGGCCCGATGCGCTCGTGCTCAAGTCGGCCATGCAGAGACCCCGTTTAGACTCCCACAGGTAGGCTCGGCCCGCCAAGCTTAGCGCGCTCATGCCAAAGCCGTGTGGTGATTTTAATTCATTAGGATGGTTTTAATGAAACCATTAAAGGGATTAATTGGGATTAAGGTGTGCTGATCAGAATAGCACAGGAATTGGTGGTTATCTTTAGACACTTTCACTCCAACCTGCGCGCCTTTTGGAGAGCGTGTGTAAAAAAACGTGTCCCGGTGAAGAATAGAGCTCCGCTGAACGCTGTCGCGCCAAATGGGTTTTCGTGTTTGTGACCTTTTTCATCTGCCAGTGTCAATGTTTGCCCAACATCTTACACGGGCAATGTTCCTCATCTCATCCCAGCGGTGTTGACGAGTGTGTAGCAAAACTGTTAAATTTATATAATGTCAGCCTCCAGAGAATGGTACTGAATGTACCCGGGCTTACTGAATGAGGGTATCACGCAGAGGAACATTAGGACGAGGACGTTACTGACTATTGTGTTAACAAGGGTGCAGCAGTTTTTATTTTCCGTAGAAAAATGTAACTTCATATATATGTACACATATATATAGATAGAGTCAAACTAAAAGCTTAGAACGCAAGTCAATAGAAATAGTTAAATGTTGATTTATAGCAGTTGAGAAACAGCCGTGAGTCACTAACGCGGCTGATGTTCATTTTGGACACAGCTCCTCAAACATGACTCACGCCGCCGTGCCCGTTGATGCGCCTTATTATCCAGCGATGTTCCATGTGCAGCTTTTGAACTGTGCAATCGCACATCCGTCCCTCTGCCCCCCGTCCTCGTTCAGCCAGGGCTACCACATGCAAACCGCCAGAGACATGCGACCCCAGCACAGTGTCACGCTGGACCCCGCCGCCTTCCACCCTCCGCCCTTCCGCTCTCGCAACCAGAGCTACATGCGCGCCGTCAGCACCCTCAGTCAGGCAAGCTGCGTCAGCCAGGTGAGTCTTAAACATCCACACGGCACCGGGGCAACACCTGGGGGCATCAACGACAGCTGATGCTGTATCGTTTGGCGTGCAGTAGCTTCGTGTGGAAGGGCTTCGCAGAGATGTAAAACGTCCGCAGGTGTCCATATTGGAGGTCCACAGCTGATCGTTTAGAAGACACGGCCCTCGACCGTCAGTAGGCGTAAGGTGTGCTGTTTTGGACTGGAAATTGATGATTTGACTGAATATAATAGTCTTATGTTGTTTACAGTGTTTTATTTCATTGATAATTATGAAATTGTATATGACTGAGCAACTATGATATCAGCTTCACATTAGAAAGTCTGTCTCCTGAATTTGGCCCTCAGATGTCTGGAATCTATTCATCGCTCTCCCGCTGTTGTGGAATGTCAACTAACTAGCGAGCAAACGGCACCAAAAGCAGCCGTTTGTTTTGGTTACCTGAGTATTTTCCTAGAATTTATGTTTATAATTAGAGACTAGGGCCAGACACACAGTGACGTCATGTCTAACCTCACACACCGACCTTTTCAGTTATCTCCCTCTTTCATACCCTGCTATGATGCTAGACAGTTGGATCAAATGTGTTCAAGTCTGTTTTGGACCTCCATGGTGGAACAAGACGTTGCTAAGAAGATTCGCGACACGGCCACTGACCCTGCAAAGAGGAGAAGGAGTTACAAAAGGATGAGGGATTTTGTCCAAAAGAAGAGTTGTACAAACAGCTTACTCCTGCTGGGGCCTAAATTAATAATGAAGATAATGAAAAAGATCTTAAATAATAAGATCATTTTGTATGCTAAATGCTGAAATTATAAGGGAAAAGCAAGGGTGTGAGGACATAGGACAGAAGAGGACATGAGATAACAAAACAGAACATCATTGGTTAAATAGATGATTTTACAGTGGCATGATTTTGTTGCATGTTCTTGACGATAAGTGAATTAATCTTGTTTAAGCTAAAGTCATTTTGAATATCTGTAAGAGCTACACACGTAATTGAGACCGCGGTGTGCATTTTAGCTGTGGGGTATGAGCTGAATGGAATGTTTTAACACAATATGAATATTTTTCTGTTGTTCCCTGTTGTCACCTGCCTCTTTTTCATTTGATCTTGACATTTATTCAGTCTAAGGTCGGAATGACAGTGGCATTTCCGTACGCTAACACGCCTTCATATTTGCTGTGCAAAGGGGAAGAATCAAAGTGAGAAAGAGAAAGGACGAGGAAAAATTAAGGACTGCTATTCCTGTTTTTGTCTCTCAGGTGAGTGAGACTGAGATCAATGGCCAGTTTGAGTCAGTTTGCGAGTCCGTTTTTAGTGAAGTAGAATCCCAGGCCATGGAAGCCTTGGACCTGCCTGGTTCGTTCCGCACTCGAAGCCACAGTTACCTCCGTGCAATTCAGGCTGGTTATTCCCAAGATGACGACTGCTTGCCTTCAATGACATCCTCCACTGTCACTTCAACTCTCAGATCCACAACAGGTAAAACACCCCCCCCCCTAAACGAGAGAGGGCTTAGGCTACACATCCTCATACATCCTATACATGCGCACAAACTTGACATACCTGCATATGTACAGTGGGGAACCCATGAGCTTCAGCGATGCCGGGCTGGATGATCCAAGTTATTTTTTCTTTGGAAGCTATGGCGTGCGTGTGTGTGTGTATGTGTGTGTTTGTTTTTGCCCCCTGCATACTCAAAATTGTTAAGATGGACTTGCTTGCGTGTTACTTTGCACGATTCACGCATCATTGGCCAAGCTTCTGGTCGGTCACTTGTGGTGTTGCCAAGCTGCAGCCCGACGAAGGGTGGGAGGGTCGCACAAACACTGAGACACACGCTCACGCTACACAATATCACAGCACAGCCACATGACATGGCATGCCTAAGAGGAACAGGCCTTACCCTGAGCATGTTAAACAGTTGTGTTATATATCTATATATATATTCATGTGTGTTGTGAAAGCGGGTGAGACACTTAGAGGGAGGTGCAGAGCAAAGCAGGCCATGGGGAGGGCGAGCGGTAGGTTGTGCACATGTTCATGTTGAGAGGATGCAAGCCTTCCGCCTGTCCTCCCCCTGCTCTGTCCAACCAAAATAGCAAATGCTTTGTACGTGATCTAGTCATTGACCTCGTTAAAAAAAAAAAAAAAACACAATCTTGTAACCAATTTAAGGTAAGTCAACAACCTCTAGAGACTAGAAACACCTACTGGTTGCACAAAGGAACCATCGACTCATACTGGTACATTTCAGTTTGATAAGTACAACTACTTAAAGTATTGTTGTATTGTGTTGTACGGAACGCACGTCTCAGTCAAAAATAGCTAATGAATTGAATGCAAAGTTTATTACAGGACTTTGTAAAGTTTACAATTCAACAAACTCCTTTTTAATCAATTCATTTTTTGGTTTAATTTCAGTATGACAGCCGAAGCAGATTCAAGATGTTCTGAAAACAGCACATTCTGTTTATGGACGTGCATGTTTATATGTCCTACATGCTGCTTTTTTATTACAACATGCATAATGTCATGGTTTTGTGCAACACAGTGCAAATGATATAAAATGCTCATTTCCGGTTCTTTGTGCAAGCAGGCTTTTAGTTACTACCTCACTAAGTGCATTTGATGTTTACCTGCAAGAGTAAAGCTATGAACCCTATTGAAACATTTTTCTTTAATTATGTGCATTTTTAAATATTATGACCTGGATTCTTATTGTTTTTGTACACTTTTCTTTCAATTGAATATTGCAGACAATTGCACTTTTACTCATTTTGTGAATTTTGTTTTCTTCTGCAATCTGGACTCATTTTGGAATCTTTACATATTCAATTGGGTTTCCATCAACAATTTCTTCGATGTGACAAGAACTGAGGATAAAGGAGTGTTCTCCAATCCCACTGTCTTATTTGCTGAACTCTATTTTTTTAACTCTCTGCTCCAGATCTGTCAGCTCTATGTGGACTAAAACCAGCAGTTGACTGTGCAACATGTTTTGAAGTTGTATTTTGAAGATTGGCACGATGCAAATCAATCTACGTCAGATAAGGTTACAGCGGCCCAGAGGAAGGGTTCCTTAATTGTACACAGTAACGTCACCTTCCAGTCAAGCCATACTCCAAATTACATTTCTTCTTTGGTGTAATCTTTGCACTGCCGAGGGAAACAAACAACTAATTAAGTAACTTTTCCAGGCTACCTTGGTTAAGAAAAAAACATTGATTCCTGGAATCATGTTTTTATGTATAAGTATTCAGTTCCAGTTTACAATGGAATTGCAAGCGGCCTATGAAGCGAACCCTGTGTGAGGCTAGTGGGCCCTTGAGTGGGGAAGGGATCCCATCGTGCTCCGTAGGGCAGACGAGCAGCAAACCCCTCTTCATTTGACCATCAATCTCTTGAAGGATAACCAGGTGGAAAGAACAACTGGAGGCATCAGTGATGATTGTTGCAGGTATTTTAATGTTGACACGCATACATATATCTATGTATATGTGTGTTTTTGCACTGCCTTCTCAATATAAATAATAGATACATAAAGTTTATATAGTTGGTAGTCATATCTCGTTATGTTATCCTAACTAGCAAACACGGTTCCAAACAACTCACAAAACCTCCGACCAACAAATGTTTTCTTAAAACCTCGACACGTCTGAATATCCATTTAAAGGGATGAATTTGATGCTGGCTTTTGCGAGTTGTTTACCATGTCTATATTTGAAGTGTGCTCAGACCACATTGTAAGTGTAAATGTATGACAGACTTGTTTTCGTAACAACCATAAAATAGCAGCGAGTGTTATCGCTCCGACGGCGTCTCCGATCATCATGTGAGAGCAGCATGCTCCGCTGTTTATTTTTGTCTTTCCATGAACATTTTTACTTCTTTTGAAAAGGCCGCCTGTGGCAGTCCAACCCGTAGCATTGAGTGCGTCAGCTGTCTTTGACTGTGGGATTGCAGCCTCTTCCTGGTGCAGCCCCGGAGGGGGGGGAGAGACCACCCCTCCCCAGGTTACTTACTCCACATGGTCCAATGAGCCACCTTGGACCTGATATGTTCAATAGGGTTCATATCTGCTTCTTGACCCAGTGGGTTGTGATTCTTTTATTCCCTTTACATCTTTTCTTTTGCACAAAATGGCACAAAATAATAACTTTTGATATGTTTGGAGAAAAGGGTTCAGAGAAAATGGACTTATGATTTAAATAATGATGATTGTATTTCGTGTTTAATTCCGCTCTTTGCTGTGCTGTGCAGTGAAAAGATGGAAAGAAGCCTCGAGATGACTGAGAAGGCAGTGTAAAAACATTGCGAAAAGCCTACAGTATGTGAGTTTAATGACAATCGTTATTGTCTTATTCAAGGCCCTCAGGAACCATTTATAAAAAGAATATTCTGTACTCTGGCAAGAAGTAGCACTTGGAGCTGACCCACTAAAATTGTATATTCCAACACCACAGAAACTGCGTCCATTCAATTTTACTGAAAATACAAACAATACACTTAGATACTGGTCATATATACAATTTCTTTGCGTTTGTAATTTTGTGACGCTACTCAGTTACCTCTTTATCTTGTACTACTCATCCTTTACTGAATCGCTTGAATCTGAAACCCGAACAGAAAAGAAACTGGGTCTGACCTCGTATGTCCTTAGACTTACTTGCCACTCGCATACTGTATGTTTTCCATAGATATGTGTTTTATCTTATACTTCAGATTCCAAATCAAACCTCACTCCAGCTGTTCCTTTCACTTTGAATATCCTTCTTTTTTGTATATTCAAATTTTTCTTCCAGAGGGATATGATGTTTTGGATGGGATCTCTTTACTAAATGACGACATGATAGAGGACGATGACGGTGCCAGCTCCTCCGCCTATGTGGAGCTGGAGAGGCTGGAGAGAGAGACTGCTGCCGCTCGCAGCCAGCACAGTACTAGCTCCACCGTAACGGCCATCTCCGTCCCGCCGACATCCCCGCCTTCGTTCAGGGTCCCCTCTGACTCGCCCGTAGCCTCCGAGCCGCCGGTCCCTCAGGCCATTCAGGCCTTCAAAGAGTCGGCCAACATGATCGCCGCCTTCAACATGCAGTGGAAGGACGAAATCTCAGCCATGCGCTACGAGCTGGCGGAGCTGCGGCGAGACGTCTGCGGGGAATTGAAGACTTTCAACAGCAACTTCTTCAACTTCACCCAGTGCTACAACATGTGGACCTTCTGCCGGGAGCCCTGCAGCGACAGCACCACGCAAACGGACGACAGAGTGTCCGTGGGAATCCAGGCGGGCTCGAGCTGGTCCATTCACCAAACCCGGCAGAGCACGCACGACAAGTCCGTGATGTGCCAGCCGGAGGCCGCGCCCTTCAGCATCATGGATTTGATGGACCCGCCCCGGATTGAGATCATCGAGGGAACCCCCGAGAGCACGCCGGAGGGGTCGGGCAGCCCGGCGAGCCCACTTCCAATAGAGGATTTCCCATGGGAGGTCATCAAGAAGCAAAAGGCCCAGAAGCAGCCGGACTCAGGTGGCCACACGGGTGGTCACAGGAGCGCCAGTCTAGAACTGTGGAGCAGGAAGTACACTAGCGGGCCCATGTCGTATCTGTCTATGTCCTTCTGAACATCCCCATACTACACATAATGTAAAATGAAATGAGGAAGCCATGATGAAAACATGACATTTACACAGAAAGGCAGAGCAGAGTTGTTGTTAGATGTCCCTTTACTCTATGCAGACACAGAGTCTGTCATCTCCCCAACAGGTCACAACGCTGCTCAAGCAATCGTTTAACAAGTGTCTTGGTTAGCCGTGGATTAAAAGACAAGGACTTCTGGTTCTACACCAGAACGAGGTGACACGAGAATGTGAGAGAGAATGTGGCTTACGCTCAGATCCTCAAGTGCCAACAAGTGCAGCATCATCTTCCCTCCGCTGTCTTAAATACCCCGACCGTCAGAGAAAAGGGTCAATTCAAGTAAACACGATGGGCCATCTGAGGGTCACTAAATCATAAAACTCAATAACCCGTCGTGGAGAGGTGAGGCATAGGAGGGTCTGCTTCCTCAAATAAAAAGCTCATGTTCATTCCAGTTTCTCTTCCTGTAGAAACTTTATCTTAAGCACCTGAGTATACTGAAAAAATACTGTGAATAACTTTATAAACCCTAGTTTTTTAAAGAACGCATTAAAGATGAACACATTATTTCTTAATATATGAATATATCATTCACTTTTTGTTATTCTATTCAAAGCATTCCCTTTTCATTGCCTTCATCCGTTTGGTAGCTCGGTCCAGTTTAAATGGGAGAACTGTTGAAGCGCAAAGCATAAAGAAGTAACTGCAACAAAAGAAAATTAGGAACAAATTATTTGTGAAAGCCCAACCGTGGAATACTGATGGATGACACTGTCCAGAGGCTTTGTGGACTTAGTCCCTGGCTAACACTGTTTACTATGAATCCATTGTGACCGACCAGCGTGTGGAGGGGAAACAGCGAGGCAGGGAGGAAAGTGTTGGTTTCACTTCACTCTTGCACAAAATGCATTCATATTCAAACTCTGTATATGTATATAAATATACCATTTTGTACATACAGAAACCTATATTCAGTAACTGTACTGTTTGCAGTTATTAACGCCCATTTCTAACCGCGCCGAGAAGGGTTATATAAGTAATTGTGGTTCCAAACCAAACACAGCACTTTCTCCAGTCTTCAAGGTTTGTCTTCATTTATACCGTCGAGTTCCTCATCTAGATGTTTGTACTCCTCAAAAGAGGAGTTGGCAGTTGATAGCATAGCTCAACTATTGTGGGGACTGGAGGTTCTTAAATGTTTGGTCGAGTGTCTATTCTAGTGGAAAAGGAAAATGATTGTTTTGAAAATTTGGTGAAATGATTTGGAGTCAAATTCTACCATATCCATCTTTCTTAAATGCCACTTTTCTCTAGTAATGGTGCAATCTTTGGTCCTGGGGTTTGGCTTATCACTGCTGAAAGATGAGAGGAGAAACATTGGTCCCTATAAGTAGACAATCATAGCCGCTGAGGACATCTACCTCTCCGACATGCTCCCGGAAGTGCAGAACACTACCGCTGAATGTACCAACGCCGCCTCACTAGTGATGGCTCAGCTGGGTCACTCTCAATCCTTAACGACAGAGAGCCCTCCGTCATCTCCCGTATTTCGGCCAATTGCTCATCTTGTCTGTTTTTCATAATATGATAATTACTCATGAGCCACTGGCATTCCCCAAATCCACTCGTCCAGTCCGCCGTCCCATTGTACCAACGTGGCGTAACCATAGTTACTGTAATACTGAGGCCAACCAAAAAAAACATCCAAGCTTGACAGCACTCATCTTTGGACGATCGCTGCAGCACAGGACCACGTATGTGTCAGGGTCCTGACTGAAATGTGAACCCTTCAAAAAGGACATTTGATAAAGGAGAAGTGCACCTTCTTCCCATTTGGCACGGCCAAAAGACAGTACTTGGAGAAAGGGTGGCATTTTGAAAAGGATGATATTCATACGAAGGTTCTTTCAGAGGTAAGGTCAGAATTAAAGTGGAAGCCACGGAAAGAAAGAGAGGCTGACATATTTTAGCAGATGCGCGGCCTCACACGAGCGTTGCAGTAACTCGTTGAACCTGATCTTAAATGCCTACATCAATTATTAACTTGCCTTGATAACCTAATAAATGTGTTACGAAGGAGCACTACGTTTAGGCATGTTTTGCTTGGTTCTGGGAATTTGAGGTTTCGGTACGATGAATAATAAGTAGGGGGTAAGTTTCTATCTATTGTTGTAATTCGCCACCGTTTGCAATACAGAATAAGAATCTAAAAATCTTATAATCTATGTATTGTTGTTAGAAACCCAAACAAGAGTTTTTCGTCATTGACCGTCTAAAGGCTCAGTTAGCATTAATCATGAATTATTTTAGTGAAAGGCATAAAACTGTGAGAACATTTAGCATATCACTATTTTAAAATGATATATATAATAAGTATCTATGATTTCTTTTTTCAGGAAGGGCCTGTATTCACTTGTTCCCTTTTTAAATGATGAAGAGGGGAAGCAGTGTCATTCCGTACTTATATCTTATCCCGTTGTTTGGGGAATGCAAACTTATTTAAAGGTGCTGAAGACTGGTCAATCATGATGTCACCAATCAACATTCATTCATTCTATGCAAGTCCTTTGTTCTTTGTAATTTTACATCATCTAAATATTTGCAGTTGTTAATATTAGGTATTCATGTCAGGCCTTCATTCAAGTTATCAATACCGGGTATAGGATGATGTTTATATTGGGGGTACCTTCTTTTTTTTTTTTATTTGATTATTTTTGCATGCGCTAGGGGGCCACACTTAAGGTTGCTTTAGTGTTTCCTGGCGGAAAGTTGTTTCATGCTAATTGTTCCCATTTCAGCTCACATGAATATAAGCATCAAAGAGTTTGTTGGTGAGATTCTTGAGATTCCTGCATAGTGGTAGCATCCGTGTGCTTTCATCATATACAAAAGAAAAACAATCAGAAGTGTATCATTGTTGATTCATTTACTGACAACTGTACAGAACAATTAGGAAACAATGCCTAGTATGAAATCATTTCAAATGCTGTACAAAAGCTTCATTTTCTAAATTTATATCAAATTGAATTGAATCAAAGTGGTGATTGATTGATCCCAGGAAACTCAACCATGCTTTAAAAAAAATTAAATTCAGTGTGATATTAGGATTTCAACGTTTAGCCCAAAGAAATTACCCTTCCCTTAAAAAAAGTTGAAATGTAGCAAAATATTGATCAAAGTATTATTTAAAAATATATATATATATAAAATATGTACATTTAAGACAAAAGAGGAAATATGGTATTGCCAATTATTTTTTAACCATGCAACCATATTTTGTGTAAGAAAATATATATTTACTTGTCAAAAACTCTGCATCGTCTCCCTTATACGTGGCAGTATGTAGTGAATTACCTCATGAGTTTTTTGTTTACATTTTGTTGTGATCCAGAGATCTGATGCAGCAACTGTGCCAACTCTGACGTCCAGCTATTGGGACAAAGGTTTTTGGATGGAATCTGATCTCACCTGAACTTGTAACACTGCTTGAATATAAATCCTTTTCTACCCCATGTTCTCTTCCTGCATTTATTCAAGGTTTTCTTGGAGAAAACATGTTAACTCTGTTTTGCATCAGTCGTGTTGCAATTTTCAGGGATCTCAGACTGAATTGTTTGGTGAATCAGACTTTGTCAAAGTTATCAAGCACTTTTTTGGAAACCATCGCGTAGCCTGCATTTGTTAGCTTACGCTTCGTTTGTTAAAAGAATGAAACCGGTATGTGATACATTTTGCTCTTTTTTTTGTTTGCTTAATGTGGTGTTTCTTGTGAATATTCATTTACATTTTATTGGCCATATGTATTTTTCATATATTGATATAAAACAATGGATTAAAATGTTTGATGTTTATGTTTATGGTAATTAAAATGGCAAATGGGGGTCATAGCTTTACAATGGCACCAAAAGATCAAACTGACTTATAGCATAAATAATATCTTTTGTGTCCACGGGGAAACTGCACACTACACGCGGCAAATACACAGAATGGGCACCGTGTCTTTTGCTTTAACCTTCTCAATATGCATTGCTTTTCTACTAAGCTATCACCTTTTTGTTGGTTTGTTTGTTTGTTTCATTTTTTTCTTTTTTTTCCCCCCATTTTAGGCGTCCGTAGCTTAGCTGGGGGGCGTAGAGAGTACGGTAGGTCTGGTAGGGAACCGCTTTATTCTATCTTTTATTTATATATATGTTGTTAATACACTTTTTCATACATTTTGTCTACTCATTAACAGTTTAAAAATAAGATACATCATTACTTGAAAATACTCTCATACTCACTAAGTATGTATAATATATATAAATGTTGTCATCTGTTTTCACATTGAATTCAGTGGAATTTCCAATAGTATCCCTGAAACTGGATAACAAGTCGAGCAAACCAGAAGAGCGAACATCTGTTGACTAGTGTCCCACATGTTGGCCTCACTGGGCGTCACTCGTACAGTGTCTTCTGTATTCCAACAGTGAGACACAATAATAACAGTTCCATTTCAACTCTCTTACCTGCACAGCTGGTATATATTAAAATATATATATACATTTAATGAGATGCGCGTGAAGCAATCTCTGAAATCCATGAAATGATTTAGTTGCTAGGTTTTTATTTATTATGATTTATTTATTTATTACTGTTGTGTTCCAAACCATTTGTATCTTAGGAGATTCACCTTCTTGCTTTAACCATTATTTACATTTTGTTTAAGCGAACGGAGGGGAATAAGATCCGAACACATTAGTGTGTCTTTATTTGGAATATCCTGTCATGCAGCAAGGCGGGTTATGACCAACATAACAGCTTTGTTCTACAAACCAGCACAAATCAATGCCGCCTATCGATTATAACCATCAGGGTTTCATTCTCAAATTACCACTGATGACTCGGTTCGGTATTCATGTCAGTGGCTTTCAGTAACGATGATTTTTACACTGATGGGATTTTAAATTCAGCCAATTCTAAATAGGAGGATAATTATTACCAATAACCAACTGTAAGGCTGGGGATGAATTTAATACTCAAAACTACTCACATGGTTGCAGATTCTGCCATATTTAAGTAATTAAAACACTTTTTTATGAAGTGCACACACAATCCGACACACAGTATTGTACTCGTGGGTATTGTCATATGTGGATGCTGTTATTTATTCTACTAATGGTCTTACACTGCTTGTCTAAAACATTTATATCCACAATTACGCTCATTGTTTGGGCCAAAATTCTTCTCAAAAATGTTTGTTCACAATGACGTGTTCATATTTATTAGCAACGTTTATATTCAACTGCCATTGTTGTAATTAAAGCAAACGCAGTTTAATGGCCCGACTAGCAGCAAAGACAATGGAGGGTGATATTTAATGATCTGTCAGATGTTTTATCTATGAGGCACGTTAGTGCAAAGCAGCATGTCACAGAAGATATGAAACAATTGTTGAGAGTCAGAACCCCAAAGGAGGCTTCCTGATGTTGGAGGTGAACCCATGACCTCTCCTGTAGTGCCACCACCAGGCCAAAGTTCCCTTTTGTACCATTGCAGAGCAGACTGAATGAACAGTTTTACATTTCTACTTCCACTGTATAACCAAAGTGTCCGATTTGCTCACACAAAATATTTGAAACTAGCAGGCAGATTTAGTTGTTTAATAGGGCGAATTACATTTTCTTCTTGTCCAGCATTGTAGACATACCTATATTTTAAACTCTACTATTGGTAACGCGCAAACAAAAGCGGAATGGTCAATACGTTCTTTGTCCAACACTTGTTAGGTTAAAATAAACTTTTTCCTTTTCTTTTTTTTCTTTTGTTTAAGTAACCTTTTTAGAGATGATTAGCTATTTTTGTGGATTCATTTAATGGTTTGTTGAAACAATACTTTCAGGCCATTGATTTGTATTGGTTTGTTGTGATATTTCATACATAAACGGTAAATCCACCTTGCATCCATGGGGGCATCACCACTGTATGTATATATGTATGTGGCTATGAACAACATGCTTGTTTTGTTGTGCGACTCTTGAAAAAAAGGAGCTACACAAACCCACTTTCTAAATTTTGTAAATCCAGCAGAATCGTTGGAATCACTGACCAACACACACCCTGAGGTCCTGCTAGTTGTCCTATGTCAAATCCTCCATCCATGCATTCATCCATCATTAGACTCATCCAACTTTGGTAGCCATCAGTACAATATCGTCAGAATGATATGGGCAGGTATGTCGTATATTGATCAGATAAAATGATAAATTATATTATCTTATTACTACACAGTAATTTATTTATTCTACTTTAATGCATACCAAGGAAACGCATTTAGCAGTTTAGCAGGAAAACATTTTCAAAATAAAAGTTAGTTTTGGACTATTCCTGAACGCAAGTATCTTTTAATTTACATTTTGCTAAATTAGCAATGCATTTCCTAGAATACAGGAAAAAAGGATGATAAGACATTATAGATCGATAGTCACCAAGTTTCCACGATTTACACGCCGGTGCTACGAAAGATGGTGTTACGTTGAACCCCGAGAGACATTCGCTTCATCTTCAGCCCCCGTGCTCATGTATGCAGCTCGTCAGTCATTGCACATCATTAAGCCACAATCCACCCTGACCTGAGTCAGAGCAGCATCTCACCAGCCTCTTTGCCAGTCTGAGTCCACAACAATGGCGAGAACAGCCTCTGGCAGAAATGGAGGGAGTCGGACGGGGAGGAGACGCAGTCAGAACCATTGCAACGATTTTTTTCTGAAATTTATGTCTTGGCCACAAAGGAGCGAAAGGTTTGAGGGGCCTTGTTGAAAAAACACGAGAGGGAAGGTCTGTTTCATATTTTCTGCAAAAAAAAAAAACTTTTAGGAAATGATATTAGGTCATACTTTACATCAATGGAAGTACCGTTGTTTTTATAATATCTACATTATCGAACCTCCATCCCAGCAGCACTTCTTATGTTCTTAAGTGGGAACATGGTAAGTGGTTGTAATTACATGTTTTCAACAATTAGCCTTTATTATAATAACATGAATTTTAAGTGCAGCATGGTACTTTCCTTTCATGTAAAGTATGATTTAAACTCATGCAACCTAATACAAAGTAAGTAAACAGCAGCAAACTGGCTATAGATATAAGTGTTGTGGTCATATTCACTCAGTATAATATATTTTAAATGGAAAAAGTGTAACCCCACATGCATGCAACACTTTTTAATATAAGACATTTTTGAATCAGCGGAAGCAGTGAAGAATTCAAAAGAAAAACCAGACCAATAGACTGTGGTGCTTTATGTTTAGAAACATGTTCTTTGTCTTGTTTTCTCAGCACATTTTGTCAAATTGTCTTTGTTTGCCGTCTATTTAAGCCTCATTTCTGTTGTATCATAAACTATGGCACTTGCCGGAGACTGAAATTGTCGTATTCAAGTCCATTTTTGTGTAATTTCCCCATAGTAGTGGAGTGGCTAATCTGGTAGTGTGTCTTCTTCTAAGTCTTTGTCTGTTCACAACTTTTTCTTTGGCCCTACACTCCAAAAATTGCAAAGCTCTGTGCGTCTCTCGGAAGACACACTGTACTGGTCATAAACCAAGTTTAATACATCAATTTGGAATATTTTATCATACAATATTCAAAGACTAGACAATAGGAATTAGCTCGCCAGTTAAAGCCGTTGATTGGAAGAATTCAAATTGTTTTTCTTAAATCCTGAATTTTTTTATTTAAGTCGAGTTTCATATTTATGTTTTCAATAATGTCTGCTATGTCTTATATGTATAGAAAGATAATGTGTAGCTGTCTGTTCTCAGATATAGATGATGCATGTTATCCCGTAAGTGATAAATGGTCAACACATGAGGGCACTGCAGATGGGCAAAATTCTTAGAAAATTTGATGTACATTGAATTATACAATAAAGCTGATTTCCAGTTTGCTCTCCCAATTTGGTCCACTTTGCCACTTCCTTACTTTAATTGTGCTTTATTGTTGGTGGTATTAATGCCGAAAGGCGTTTTTAACAGAAAAAAGGGAATAACTGCGTCTAAACTCCCCTGATAATAAAGTTTGTTTTCCCTTAAACAAGGTGGAGGCAGCTCCTGGGGAAATGTTGCCCATGAGCAATGCTCATCAAGTTGCAAGTTTTATCTGCATTTAGAGGCAGAAACACAGCAGCTGCATAATAATGGCCGTTGCCCAGAAGTCGTGAATCAGTTGTGAATCAGTGACTGTGAAGAGTGAAGAGTCAGTGAAGAGTTTGTTACTGCAAAAGTAACCGACTCATATGAAATAAGCCAAATACACATTTGTGTGACGTATTTCTAACACTGTAAATTGAGCGGCTCTGTGTTTCTCTCTCTTCCTGACTGTTGCTGACTGATTGTTGCCCCCGATTAAGCTTTAAGCATCCAGTGAAAATGTTTTAACATATAAACGTTAGACCCCTTTGGAGTTAGCTATGGTAAGGAACGATTCCCTGTAGGCTTGCGTTGGATTGCTGGTCCTCTCTAACTGGTGTGGCTTGCTCCTTGCAGGGATTCAGTTTCGTCTCCCTTCTTCCTGCAGTGTGGACCGCGCTCAGCCACCTTCAGGTACCCGCCCGTCTGCATCTCCTCTCTCCTCCCACATCCTGGCAGCGATTATCTTTTCAAAATACATCTCAGCTGCAGTCACACGTCCATGAGTGAAGTTACGGGGGACCGTCTACTTTTGCTTCCGATGAAGTAGAAAGAAAGAAGGTGGTTCTGGTTTAAAACGGAGATCGTCAATCAATCGCTGCGTATCGTAAACCAGTTGAAATTGTGTCCGATTTGATCCCGATTTTTCTGACATTGTGCTTGTGTTGGTAATGAAAACGACTTTTAGAGGCCGACTACAGGAAGCAGGTCATGAAGGGAAACACCTGGCTGTCACCCGATCAGACAGCTGATTGGCTCCTAGCTTTATCAAACAACAGCAGTAGAACAATCCCATTTTTTGTTCAGTTGTAATATTTATTCAATGAAAGTTGAAAAACAGCATAAAAATATTAAAGAAGTTATTATATTTCTTTAAATGGTATTGTCAACACAAACAGGATCTTGCTCATAATAATCCTCTGGCTTCCTATGAGCTAAATTAATCAACTAGGTCCTGAAAGTCAGACCAACCTGCCGTGTACCGACCCGCTTACGGCCTTCGACCTGCCTTTGAACAGGCCAGGAGCTTCGTCTGGCCGACGCCGTGCTGCTAGAGGCCGCCTGATGCTCTGCAAACGTCCTCGGGCACGCTATCGATTCACTGTTTGGGTTGATAAAGTCAGAAGTGTCGACAGAGAGGAACCAGGTTGGATCTTTAGTGAGGGCGGGGGGGTCGAAGTGCCGGTTTTGTTGTCAGGGTATTCACTGTTTACCTTCAGTACTGCAAATACTGCGAAGCAGGGCCGGCAACACAATATTACGGCACGACTTTCAGGTCCACTTAGTCCTGCAGTGTGTCGGTCTGTTTACTAAACGGCCCAGTGCAGCAGTGGTAAAGCAAACAATCCAGTTCACACACAGCGAGTTCTAACTGACTGAATTAAAGCCGTAGCATTTCATTGTTAATGAGTGCATGTGTTTTCTCGCTTTGTTCTCTTAAATAACGTAGAGTTGAAATGTGCTGTATTTCCTTTTTGAAATGAAGTGTGAGTGCTGTAACAAAAACATGTTACCACGTTAGTTGAGTAAATGCACAGAGCTACATTCCACCACTGCTTAAATTGAGGTCAATAATGCACTTCTGACACATGTGCAGTGAACAATTCAGCTCTTTTAGCAGGACATCTGTGTCAAGTCAACATTATTGTAAGACAGTGTCATTTTCTTCTCGCCGTCAGACTGAGTAGAGCAGATCTCTCAGACGCTTACTGTGTAACAGTTTGACAGGCACATTAAGTATCTTCACTAAACATGTCAATCCATTGAGGCAAGCGTAACATGTATGAATGAACTGCAGAATAACTGTGTACTGCTGCGGGTCTGAAATCCATGAGTGTGCACAGTTTGTACGTCACCGGTCTTACAGCATTACAGATGGTGGAAGATACTGTGTTTAGTAGTGAAAGAAGGCAACGTACTCAGTGTTTCTGTCCAAAGTACTCAAGAAACTAACCAACAAGCGATCTGTCGTTATGAAAGTAAGTCAAACTGGTCGAACGGGTAAAAATAGAAGGAGTGGAGTCGGGCGCTGCCTGAGTCACGGTGCTCTTTTCACTTTGGCATCCGCCCACCGTGTCTTGCAGAACTGCAGTCCCTTCAAGTTGGAAGGGAGTCAAGTCTGTGACTGGGTTTAGATTATGAGAGTTCCCTGTGGTTTCCTATTTCTTATTGCACTTAATTACCTGTAATCCAAAGTGGTGTGTGTGTGTGTGTGTGTGTGTGTGTGTGTGTGTGTGTGTGTGTGTGTGTGTGTGTGTGTGTGTGTGTGTGTGTGTGTGTGTGTGTGTGTGTCTACCTACACCTTTTTAGGCCAATCGTACTGTATTTAGTCAAAGGAATATTATATTTTAGTATTGAAATGTATATATGTCATAAATAATAACTGAATAGGAGACTAGTAAGATAAAGTAAGCTACTGTATCAGTTGATCAAATGGCTGAATGCTCTAGAAAGAACTTACAATACAATCTTCAGAAGGTTTATACTTTGCATGATACGCAGATGTAAGATAGAAGATAAAAAAACTCAGAAATGTAGATTGTGGATCAACTAATGTTGACTTAACCGATGGAATGACTGTAGCCAACTTAGTTTATGTATAGAAACCTCTTAAAATAGAGATATTAATTTATCAGGATTTTCCAAAACTATGTGAGTTCACACCTTTTAGCTCAGAAAAGAAAGATATCCAACCAGTGAAGTTGGTTCTTTTCCAACTCTGCTGTGAGGTCCATCTGGGTGGATTATCATCACACCCTCAGAAGAGCAAATCCTTCCCATAATACTTCCCTGCCCCTCCCCAAATAAACACAGACGTATTACAAGGCTGCTGTTGCTTTTCATCCTCTTCTCTGCTGTCACGCGCTGTGTGATCCAGGTGAACTGCGGGACTCGGCCCCTTTGTCAGCTTCTGGCAAACGTTTTTCACTCTCACGTTTGTATTTCATCCCCCTGCCCTTGTCTTGCCTTGTCCTCGTCTTCTCACCTTGCTTGTGCTGTGCAGCGGTATCATATCCTCCCAGTTACAAGAAGACCGCTCCTCCCGTGCCGCCGCGCGGCGCCCCCAAGCCCCTCATCTCCGTGACGGCCCAGAGCAGTACGGAATCCACCCAAGATGCCTACCAGGAGGGCCGGCACCCGCGGGGCGGCCTTTGGACCACGGACAGCCTCGGCCGTCCCATCTACAGCTCCGCGGACAGCCTGGACAGCACTAAGGCCGTCACCATGGCGATGGAGTCGGCAGCCGGCAAGAGGCACGCGTCTTCGGGCAGCCACACCTCGGTGCAGACGTGCGACAAAGCGGTGCTGGTGTCCAAGGCCGAGGAGTACCTCAAAACCCCGCGTTCTTCTATCGGGATACAGGTGACGACATCACCGGCGACGCCCGACAGTTTGACGCCCTCTTTGCATTCAGCGCACTCGCCGCTATGCTAATTACAGCAATCTCGCCCGTCTCCTTCTATTCTAGTCTCTGCTGAAAGGATGTGATCAGAGCGTTAATATGTATGAGAGGTGCCCTGTAAAAGCATTTCTCTTCAATCAACCCAACGCCGGTTTTATTAGAAGGCAACGGGCACAATTTGATGTACTTTGGGTAATTGTTTTACTTGCATTGCATTATTGGATTATTATCTAACAAGAGGATTAGATTTATTTGTTGAAGACTTAATGACGTTGACAGTCAGATTTCATAATGTTGAACTAATACAGCGTATTAGTATACGTGCAAATGAGTTAATTCTGTTATTAATTCATTCATTCTTTTTCTTTTTACCAATTCCCAAATGTACCAACCTGTGTGAAGTACTTGTTGACCTTTACGGGTATCAGGCTGTATTACATGAACAGGGCTTATTTAAAAGCAGCGGTATTGAAGAGCAAAATAAGGATCTCTCTTGCTCATGTTTGTCCTGATTGTAATAAGAATCCCACCTGAACAAAAAAGGTGAAGAAGAGCATTCTGCTTTGTTTGATAGATACTGCATCCTCAAATTACCTCCGTTTTCAGCCCGGATGTCTGTCCGTGTAGATGACGTCCGAACTGCATGTCGCCCACAGACGTCTCTTGCAGACAGCGGCGAGCACGGTGTTGGAAATAATTGACGGTCGTCTTGCAAATGTAGCTGTTTAGAGAGAACGCGGACCGGCCGTGAACTAAAGCATCCGGGTGATGATTGATCTTGACACGTTTTTTGATTTGACTTTTTACCAAAATCCTGGATCAGGTTAAACTTAATCAATACAGCACTAACTGGATTGTTAAAACCTTTGGAACGCATTAACTGGCAACCTTCAAACCGTGTGTCAATCAGACTGATTACAGGTTGGTCTCGGTTGTGATTCAAATCACAACTTTCTGCAATGGCCTTTTCTTCAAAAATTGTCCCAACTCCAATCAACACATCAAGAACATTTCCAAATGTAAAGCTGTCATTTTAAGTGGCGCATCCGCATGAAGGGGAACCACTCATTTCAGTTGTTGACGACGTTTTTCACGGTGTTCTGTTTCGTGCATTTGTCAGGTGGAAACTGTGACGGACTCTGAGTCGGAAAGCAAAGGCCTCCCTCAGTTCCACTCTATAGGAATCCAGGTGGAGGACCACAAACGGTACGTCGCTCAGACAGAAGAAGCACAGCGTCCGTTTGTGCTTTTTGTTAAGCGCTGTCCACGTTTGTGCATTTTAGACACGGGAGGTTCAAGCGCTCCAACAGCGTGACAACAGCAGTGCAAGCCGACATGGAGCTGGAGGGCTTTCCCTCCATGGAGGACAAAGGTCTGCAGTTCGGCGGCGGCTTCGGTCGCCACTCTGAGCCCAGCACGCCCACGCAGTACGGCGCCATCCGCACGGTGCGCACGCAAGGCCTGTTCAGCTACAGGGAGGACTACCGGCCCTCCAGCGGGCCCCCCAGCCCACAGCCGGAAGCCTGGCTTGCCGAGCCCAGCCTGGAGGGCGCAGACACAGGCAGAGTGTCCCCGCTCCGCAGGGACGGCAGCTGGTTCATGCAGCTCCTTCACAATGAAACCAAGCGGCTGGAGGGATGGTGCAAAGAGATGGAGAGAGAAGCGGAGGAGCACGATCTGACAGAGGAGAGTGAGTGTCCCGGGGGAAACTACAGTCTTGTCAAAACGGGAGCCGCTTTAGTTGTCCCAGGTCAATGCTTTCTCGATACGTGCTCTATAATCATTGCTTTTTAGGCAGCATGTGAAACCGTAGCCACAGCACCAGCTAACACTCGGGCAGAGACACAATTGTAATTGTAATTTGTGACCACATCGGATGAATGTGAATAACTCAACATGTTAATCTCTCTTTCTCTCTGTCCCTCTGTCTCCATGTGTCCACCAGTCCTGGGAAAAATCCGGAGTGCGGTGGGAAGCGCTCAGCTACTGATGTCTCAAAAGTTTCAGCAGTTTTACTGGCTGTGTCAGCAGAATCTGGTGAGTGGTGTTTACAAGAGCACGTTGTTGACTTACCTGGAAAGATCACAAAGATCCGGGTCAAACCGGTTGGTGGGCCCGTCTTTGCCGGCGCTCTGAGGAAGGAGCTCGGTCTGACGCTTGCACTCCAGAAATAGAGCGCAGGGATCAATAGCGAAGCGGCCCCCGTTGACCCCGCCGTGAACGAAGGGGGAATTCCAACGGGCGGCGGCACCCGTGCCGAGCGTTTGAATAATGGACCGCCGCGCCGTCTCGCTGTTCATTCCTCACGTCGACTACAGAATCAGACCTTTTCCAAAGCCGGCTGTTAACACAGTGCGCACATGATAGTATCGTAAGTGGGAATGTTTTTGCGAATACAGCAGAGGTGAAAAATACAGTGAAAAGAGAAAGGCAGGCACCTAATCACACCTCACTAAAGCGCTGTTTGAATGAAATGCAAAAATAACATGAAATCAACCTGTTCTTTCACTGCCTTGTGATTTTTTTGGTGCACTGTGTGTGTGTGTTTGTGTGCGCTTTTGATCGCCCTCTTCCCCCATGGATAATAAGATGACAGATAAAGGGTCATCAGGTCGACCAGAGAGCGGCTCCGTCTTCCCTTCTGGCCCCGAGGAGGAGGAACTGCATTGTGTGTCCACAGACAGTTTGACTCGACAGACCCTTTCTCGGTCTGAGATCACACTAGTTCCTTGTTTACTGTCTGTGGCAATGAGCACATGTCTGTGTGGGGCTGCATGACGAGATTAGCGTGAGCCGTGATCATCAGTTGACGCAACACAAGCCAAGTGGGGATCGCAGGTATCGGGAGCATTGAACAACGCATTGTTTGTCATTTAAAGACAATTTATTCAGATATTCCTCGAAATCAAATCATTAAATAACAGTCAAATCTGTGGTGACTGTGATTTGTGTGCTGACAGAAAATTCTAAAAAGGGAAGATTAAAGCATTTCTTTCCGCCATGTATCACCTCGTAGGACCTTTAATGATTAAGAATCTTACTTTCTGCTCACAATAGATAAAATCTGCTGTTCAAAGAAAGGATGCAATGAAAGGCAACGGAGGGAAAAGGCCGAGGTTGTGAGTGATTGTTGGTGCCGTACTGCCACACAGTGGTGGGAATGGGGAGGTGGCAACGAGGAGCAAAATGTCCTGAAAACGAATGGGGAGTTAACATAGAATTATTTCTGGGTTTTTTTGTTTTTATAATTATTTAGGAAAAGTTTGCATTTGTTGTTGCCCTTTAATGTAATAATGACGTTAATAATAATGTGTTATATTGCTGGTAGAAGTCCAAGCTTCCGTAGATTTTGTCTGCTAATCATTGTCCTTAACAAAGAAGGACGGTCATTTTAGTCGAGTACAAAACAGGCCTCTACATGTGGTGCTGCACCGTCTCCCCAGGACCCCAGTGCCATGCCCAGACCCACATCTCAGGACCTGGCGGGATTCTGGGACCTCCTGCAGCTTTCCATCGATGACGTCACTGCCAAGTTTGATGAGCTGCAGCAGATCAAGAGCAACCGTTGGCAGCTGGTGGAGAGTCCGGATAAGAAGGTACAGCATCCAGAAGCTCGTCACCATTAGTCTAAGTGGTTTCCGGATGAACTCACTTAGCTTTTGAGGAAACTAACCCGACGACATCTGCCTTCCTTTCACAGGCTTGTGACCAGTAGGAGGTTGATCATTCTTGTCATAACACTGCAGGGACAACTGTTAGACGGCAACACCCGTTCAGCCCTGACAGATAGTAACGTCTTCTATCTGGGAACCATTTAGGACTCATTTTATCTCTCACACCCACACTGTGTGCAGTGATCCCGTCCGCTATTATCGTAACTCATGTTTAGTAAAATACCGAACAAAGCCACCCAAAACTATTGTACTTATTGGAAATTCATACAGACAGTTTGATTTGGAGATTTCCTGTCAACAGACTAACTAAAACGACACGTGCTGAAACTAAATGGCAACATTAAAAACAAAAAAACAAATACATATGTCGCTGTACATAATGACAAACCCATTATTGTTTGATATTAAGATATTTATTAAAGTATCTGATAAATTGCTAACTGCGGAAATGATTTAGATGAGGGAGAAGAAAGACATTAGGACACGCGGCGGGTTTAGAGACCCTTCGGTCCATAGATAGTTACAGTTCTAGTTGTGAGTTAAGAGTTATTTAAATAGGGACCCAGACGCTCTGTTGGGCTTCTCCCCCTTTAAGGAAAGCACAGTTCCACAACAGAGCCAAGCGATGAGAAAAGCTCGCCATGCATTTAAAAGCTTGTGTGATTTCGCTCTCAAGATGTGTGGGTGGGTGAAATTTCAGGGCCTTCTTCAGGTAAATGATTTTCAACGGTGAGGTTCTGGCTGGATAATCAGTCTGCTGTGCACTGCGTAGTGAATATCTATCATGTTCCCACTGGTTATTCATAGTCTATCTGGTTTGTTTTTTTATGATGATGAAATAAATATTTACCAAACTTAATAAAATAATACAACAATATTCCAATTAATATTTCTAATAAAGTTGTATTATGTGTAAAGGAAGTGTTTTCTGAAGACAATTATGACAGATAATTAGATATTCTTATCGATTGTTGGAGCTATCCAGCTTGATGGAGATGCTTTGTTTGGTTATTATGTCTCAGATACGCCGCACTAACGATAAGCCTTTGTCTCGATCATTCTGTGTCCGAAGGAGCGAAAGTGGCCCCCACCTCTGGCAAAGCGGCCGTCCAAGGGCCGCGGCGTGATGCGAGAGCGCTCCCTGGACCTTCAGGACCGCCAGCGGCAGGAAGCCCGCCGACGCCTCATGGCCGCCAAGCGAGCGGCTTCTTTCAGACAGAACTCGGTCACAGAGCGGGCAGACAGCATCGAGATCTACATCCCCGAAGCCCAGACGCGGCTTTGAGGTCCCCGGGTTCACCCTATAGGCGCCTCTCGTCCACGTCCACGTCCAAAACCAGCGTTGTCACAACCAGCCCGCCGTTACAGTCCGTCACCATCGCTCGCCCAACGCTTTCCCATCAACCGTCGCCATTCTCTGGGTTGTCCCCGCTGAAGCTACACTAGGCAAGGTCGCGGTTGTAAACGTGTCCTTTTGTTTGGTCCTGTCGACGTGGGGAAGAAGGCCCGACCCTCCCTGAGTGACAAAGATCAGAAGGTCAAAAACCGAGAAAATGACTTTCCTCCTCTTTCCCTTTTTGGTATTTTGGTTAAAACGTGTGGCGGATCAGCCGCGTTGGTAAACACGAGCCGCTAACAGTTGAACAGAAGTTTGCCTAGTGTAGCTTTAAACCGCTCAGAGGGACTTTCCGACCCACCAGAATGAGCCGCCATGTCCCCAAAACGATCATTCCACCTGTCAGCAACATCGTGTCAAGTTAAAAGCATTACTGTTGAACCTCCAGTGTCGGCCCTCGTCGCCGTTCGCCCACTTCAGGGTAACGCTGCCCGTGCCACGTTCAAAGGGAAACACAAAGTGCCACTGACTTTGCCACCAGCAACAACAGTCCGAGGCTGGAGCTCCCTGCGAGACGGAACATCGGCAGTGAAGTGACGTTTCTCGGTGAGGCAAAAAAAAAAAAAGGCCAATGGAAATGAAGCAAAAGCAAATGGAATTATTTTTGATCAGAACGTCTAACGGAGGCGGCTGAAGCCCGGTAGCGCGGCCGGTCCATTCCTTACCCGTCAAGGAGAACGGGTGCAGAAGTGTTTGACAGCGTGTCTGAGGTGCTGCACAACTTATCATCCTCCATCCATCTTTAAACAGGCATGCTGCAGCTGCTGGCCCATGTGGCTGAATGAGATCTGAAAAATAAGTCCTAGACCTTTTCCATTGGGCCATTTATTCATTTCACGTTCCCTTAACAACACGCCGCTCTTAGGACTGTATATTTTAAAGCTATGTGCGTAATTTGCTGCTGGATACATTTCCATTGCAGAACAAATATGAATTATTAACAAAGACAGTTTTGCGCAGCCTGGAAGAGGGGACTGTAGGTGCATTTTGCACCGTGTAATATTCATGTTTGTATTTCCAAGGGAAATGTAGTTTATGAAGCTCATGTGATATTGTTGCAGTTGAATTGCAAGATCAGATATGGAAAATTCACTTGTTATACTGCAGGTCATATGAACTGCACCGTGTGTTGTTTTGTTTACATTTATTTTGCGCGTAATTACACTATTAATTATACTTAAAGTATCTATCATCTGACCACCATCCTGATCTACAGTATATATTTTGTATTTAAAGTTGAATCAGTTGTGAGTGGACAGGACAGTGCGTCTGTCCAGCTGGAAGGACCCATGTCTCAGAACGCACATGGTCCAACCTTTTGTCTTTGAAAACCCTTCTGTTGTCGTTCTGATCTGCTCGTGTGGTCCGGGAACGAACGGTGCAAGTGACACTTTAACAATATTCAGTTACTGTAGTAAATGGTGCTGCTTTTTACTCTTAAAACTGTTGTCCTTTACCCAGTCGTATGTGCGCACACACACTCACACACTCACACACGCTCACACTCACTCAAGGACTTTTTAAACAAAGATGTATTAATATGGTGCACGTTGTCTCTCCAAGGACCTTTGGTAGATTAGGACTTGAGAAAAGGTCATCTTTGCAATGCCCTTAGTGATTTAAATCAGGAGACGGTTTCATGGTACAACTCGCTTTCTAACATGCAAAGAGGTCATTGATATTTACTCCGTCCACCGCTGAGCCGACGGCGTACCGCTTGCTGGACGCACTCCATTGCACCGTGCTTCATACCAGAGCAACAATGTGTCCCTAACATTTGCGGTAGAAGCTCATTAATCCTCATTTTCCAAACCGGTGTGTTAAAAAAAATGCCGACATAGGGAGTCCCAAATGTTTCACATGATGTTGTCATTAGAATACTCAGTTTTTGTTGCTTTGCGTCGTGGCTTTTATTCACCATTAGCTTTTACTTTGTGATATTTCTTCAACGGCGCTGAATCTGAAACTCTGACCTTACCAGATGGCCTTACCCAAAACACTTGTGAATGTAGAGCCCTTACTAATGCAAAAAAAAAGAAAGAAAAGCTTCCCAGGAGATGAGCAGCTGCTGGAAACTAAATCGAACAAACACATTTATTTGATTAAACTCAATTCCGTCTTTCTAAATAATTTGGTTGATTTTAAGATGAAATATTAAAGTGAGAGTCACGGAAGGCAGTACATTCTTTCACACTAGTTTTGTGTTTTTCAGACGTGTGTGTGTAACGTTGCCAAAAACAAAAGATTGCAGATTATCTTGTTTTAATATATGTAATAAATGTACTCCTAGTCAGAGATCAATTAAGAGACAAAATACTTGATATGAAAAATATTATATTTATACTTACTAGTCCAGAAATATTCATGCAAACAATATGTCCGAATACTTTTATACAGAATTCTATATGTAGAATGTAAGAATTAGCACCAATCTGTGGAGTTTAGATTTATATGCACCAATAAAAATAATTTGTTGTTTTTTAAGCTTCCCCTGTAATTCACCTTCTTCTAACCAAATGCTGGTGAAGGATTTTGCTTTGCCGTATATTTATTGTGCCCCAGTCAGCATACAATGAAGGACTAGTAATTGGGAAAAAATATATGTATATATATATATATATATATATATATATATATATATATATATATATCAAGTACATTATATAATTACAGAGACCAAATGATGACAAGGGCTTGCTCTTGAATTCAATGATTTCTCAAATGTTCTTAAAAATGCAGTATCTTCTTCCATTAAGGGGCTTTACCTCCAGCATTAAGACACCATTCATATTGTATTTCACAGAAGAAGCATCCAGCTAAGTGTGGCTGATTCCATTTAATAACAGGAAGCTTTTTATCGTCTTATTAAGCCTTTTTCTCCTTCATTCAATCTGAAGAAAAGATTCGCAATTCATATTCGACAAATTTGTTTCAGTACTTCACTGCTGGCACACTTTTCCCGTTAGATTTTGAAGTGCAGTGTCACATTTATGCTCATTTCCCATTTGAAATTTCTCCACTTTACACTCCGTTCCGTGTCTCTTCTTCTATTTGGTTTTCATTCGTCATTCTCTTCTCCAGCACATTTTCCCCAAAACACATTCTGTAGTTTTTTCGACAACGCAAATTTCTACCTACCGACCTTCTCTCGGCCGGCTCTGTCACTCTAATCAGCATAACTTTTTAATGCATTAGGAAGCAAACGTCTAAAATGCTCATGCCATTTCAAAATGGTTAATGTTGGAAGTTTATATAAGTAAATATGATCCAGCTAAACGGGGTTAAGAGTCATTCCAGGCTGGCTTTGCTAAAGTGATAAACAGTAGTGGCGTCCAAACGTAGAAGCAACGTATCAGCATCTTCACTCATCTCATCTTCTTAACCCTCATCTTAACAACAGCTTCTCCACATTCTGACAACAGTCGATGGGCTAATTTTATCCAACTGCTCTTCCAGCGGACTGAAAGTCATGCAAATCAAGGCTACTTCCCACGGACTGCGTACTGTGAATCCGTCACGTTTACATGCATCATTTTTCCTAGTTTCTAGTTTGCGTTGCGAGGAAAATCTGTCAGGCTTCTTCAAATAATTTTCCCTCTCCAGCCATAGGCGAGAGTTAAATAAACAAGGTGTTGGTTTGTAAGTGACGAGGTTGGTTTTAGCATATGAAAAATCCTGAAAAAGTAAAATGGCCAAGTGGGGGAGAGTGAAGGGAGACTCACACCCTCTGCGTCACCGCCGCCGTTTAGTCACCAATTACCAGTCAGGGAGACTGATATCAGATGCAAAGATGTCCTCAAATGTCACAGGGACACCAGCTGCTGCAAGGACGCCGTGTGTGTGTGTGTGTGTGTGTGTGTGTGTGTGTGTGTGTGTGTGTGTGTGTGTGAGAGACGTGAAACACTCATGATGATGTATTTTCAAGCACGATAATTCTGTAATCCCAGCACCATGTTTTAGTCTTCAGCGTTTGTGACCCACCATCGTATGAGGGGCTTAGGAGTTTGGCAATTATGTACATGACAAATCCTCAGGTGCCTTACAGTTGGATTCACATCGGACTCGTGGTGAGGGAACGTTTGGGGGTTGAGATGTGATGTGAGAGGAATTCAACGCCTCCGAGAGGTGCAGGTTAGTCCGCGATACCGTTACAAAGGGCTGGAAACAGGGCAGAAAAACACTTTACATTATACATTATATTTAATCAAATGTCCTACTGTACTACAACTACAGCACAACATCAGAGGAGGATGCACTGACTCTTACATGTTTTCGGTTGGGATCAGCTAGATGCTACGAAACGCAACGATAACTTTCATCTTGTAAATCGGATTCATGTGTTATGACAACAGCAAAAATCATTTCTCTGGAGGTTCTTCATCTGTTTGTCCTCCTGGCTCTCACATCGGGATGCTGTGATGCTTTGGCCTTCTCGGAATCTACGTCTACAGAATCTGGAGACTGACGAAACTTGACTTGCCAAAAAGTGCAATAGCGTTTTCATACAATGACGGGCGGGCGTCGCCCTGCTGGTGTACAGTCAGAGTAGTCGGCGTCTCCACAGGAACCCTTTTGTCGTGCCTGTGTACTATGCGGTGCTACTCCTGCGTCTACCTTGCGCGACACCACAGGAGCCGAAAGGTGTGGTGCCATTGTCGTCCACGGCGTCACTTCATTCAAAGTCTCTTGTGTTTTCGGCTGACTTTCAGTGATGCTTTTGAAAGAAAGTATTTGAGAGTTGAGAGTTCATTTGTCGGGGTTCCTTTTCCGTTGTTAATACAGATGTTTATGCTCTTTGCAACACAGCTCGCGGCACCATACTTTACACCAACATCCTTTAATAGTTGTTCTAAAGATAAACCTCAGAGAAGCTTGGAAAGGTGCTGAATCAACCAACTTCTCTCCTTGTACTTTTCCTAAATTTGCTTTATTTTTGTCTATTTATTCCGACAATCAACACACACACACACACCAAAAGCATCAAGTGCACACACATACTCACTACAACAAGCATGTCATATTACCTCCTCGAGGCAAAAGCCCGAACATCCCTTAGACATCTTTACAGACACCATTGCATTTCCATAGGAAGCTTTTCTCCCCGTTTCAGATACAGTTGGACTGCAGAGACGTCTTTCTGCTGCTCGCTCTCTCTTCTCATTAATCACGTGACTTTTGAAGACGTGGATGAGAGTTTTGCCTGTTGTCACAAGCCAAACAGACACATTGATGTCATGCAAGTAAGAGCGGGCCGTGTATCTGCTCCTCAAGCAATAAGCCTAATTTAGATATTTAGGAGGGATTGTTCCTCCTGATATTTAAAATCCTAACCTAAATCTGAGGGCTCTTACCGTATGGTGTGTGTCTGTGTGCGTTGCTGCTTAACTGTCTGACATTTTGGTAAAATATGCATGTTTGCTGTCCAGGCAAAGACTGAAAACATCGAGGCGACTACTTTGCCTCCGACCAAAAGTTAACAAATTCCCCTGTAAGCATCCGTGAAGCTCACGATTTAACTCGTATGTTTCATCCTTATATTTACAGCTAAGCTAATGTAGCCGGGGGAGTCAGAGTCCGTCCATCAGCGAAATCCACCTAAAATAACCTCAATAATTAGCAAGTTATGTTTGTTCAATCCAGACGAAAACATTTTTTATGTGAGTTACATTACGTTCATTTCTTAGCTGAGCCCGGCGAGCAGCTGTTAAGACGCTTTCTGTGTGGAATCAACAACCATTGTATAGTGACTCTATACATGAGTGGCTTTGGGGAAGCTGCTAGATACATTTTGTTACCAGAAGAGATGAATTTAGCTGAGCTGACTTTACTTTACTTAGCTGTAGCTTCATATACTCAAGGTTCAATATTCTCAACTGAGAAAGCAAATAAGCGTATTTACCAAAATGAAATATTCTCTTGAATAGGTGAATGTTAAATCAGACATTTCCAGCGCAGCGGAGATGTTTGCATGTAACTTTTTCTCATACTTAATATCTGTGAGTTGTCTTATGTTTCTAGGTTTGATTTCCTCATTTATTATTATCATTTTTACTTGTGACCTCAGGGCAAAACTACATAGTTGAGGGTCTGAGTCAATGTAAATCCTCTGGAGGAGAAGTTATACTCTTTTACACCTCTGCACCAACTCGTCATGGTCACAACCAGAATCCACAGGCTCACCTTGTCCTCATTTGCATTTTTTGGGAATGTCTCGGGGGCTTTGTTGTCCTTTTTTTTTGTTTGTTTGAGCGGAGAGAGAAGACACAGTCCTTTTCTGCCTTTGGTGGAGAAATGTCTCGTGTCGTGGGGAGAAATTACGAAAGGCCTCTTATGGGTTTTGCAATGTGACGTGAGAAAGAAATGTACAGAATACAAGATTTGTGGTTAGCTTAAAACTATTTTGAATTGTTAGATATAATAATAATAATGAGGATAAATATGCCAAATATTCAGTATTTGTACAGAAATATAAATATATATGACTAATTTAAATGGAACTATTTTCCGCTCTTGACCATGTTTTTGTTGTTTAACGTTCCTTTGTCAACATTATTTTAGAAGATCTTCAGATAGCATGCAGGATAGTGGAAATGAATGTATTATTTAGTGTTTCATTGCTGTCAAGTATTACAGCATTCTACAGATCAGTTTGTGTTTGTAAGAATAATTAAAGCTGAATATTTCATTTATACATTTGTTTACTTACAAATGAATTGAAACTTTTTTTTTTATTCTAATTTTTGAAATGGTTTCAACAGTTTATATCATTCTGTTATTTTTCTGCTTTATCAACGTGGCTCAGTATATTTTGCCTCTTCCAAGTACTGCTATCAACCATCTGTAAATAATTGTGCAAATTAAACTTTTTAAAGAAAACAGCATGGATGTGAGAAAGCGCTTCCTTCTCTTAGCTGTAGTTTGGAGAGGCTTCAGTGATGCAGCTGATCACAAAGCAGACAATTAATAAATTACAAAAAAAGGTCTTCATTCTCTGGAGTAACTCACCGGTGATCAGAATAATAAGAAATGTAAAAACGCTTGCTGAGGGTTCAGTTAAGATAACTGGGAGTGTAGGTGTAGTGAACATTAATGAATTGATGAATTAATTGGACACATCAGTATCTATCGGCATCCACACAAGTTGAAATTAAACAATTGGTCTTTATTACAGCAAAGAACCCAAAACATTACAGACAAGAATAATGATGAACTATGAATATCAATTCTCTACCTGCTCCATTCACCACTTCAGGGCCATTACTTTAGATGTATTAAGGGCGGATTATTGGCATCTTACAAGGATTTGCACCTTAGTTCTTCCCGTACGTGCGTGGTCGTTCTTTTCTCTCTGCATGCTATAGAGGCCTGGCTGCTCAACTGCACTGACATGGTGATTTGTTTTTCAAACACAAATCTGCCAAAAGAAACCGAAAGTGGATGTTTCACCAAAGTAAGTGTTTCGTAATCAGACACCTTTTAAAAAAACAAACAATATCTGTCAAATTGTTGAAGTTGCGCCCAACAGGAGTACAATCTCTTGACTTCTTTAATCTACGACAGAACTAAAGTTCTGACATTGAATCCGTCATCTGGATCTCTACCGTTCACCCATTAGAGCCTTTTAGTTCTCATGATGGCCTATTTACAATAACATACGTAACAGTAGATCAGGTTACTCTCGTTCCAACCCAGTGGAACCTCTGACATTGTATTTACAATAAAATGTTGTTGTTGTTTTTTTTCTTAATCTGCTTGAGCACAACAGAAACACATGTGATATTTGGTACGACCGCAAAGCCTCACTAAGAAGTCCCGAAGCCTTCTGAGAAACGGTCCAAACATTGATCGTCCACGAGAACGCACTCAACAAAGCCCTGGTTTGCGATCTAAGATACTGTTAAAATGCTTGTGTCAACAAGTAAAATTCAAATGATCAGGCACAATAAATGTTTTTTTGTTGTTGTTGTTGTTGTTTCACATTCCCGCGTGTTTCACTCACTAAGCCTGTTTGCATCACACAGTCTGTGTGTATTCAGGGACGATGGTGTGCAGGATGCGGCGATGAGGATAGACAGCTCATCCCGACTACGACATTAAGAGGGATAGGAGACTTTATCCTACATACTCAAAATGCACTGATGTTCTACAGACCGCTAACGGAGCGATGGCCTTTTGCACACTAAAGAAAACAAAACACGGTAACGTCACAGATAGTTTCACCAAGTGAAAACAAGACAATACTGCTGAATTCCACCTAGATACTGAAAAACGACTTCTAATGCTTTAATATACAGCTTCAATCAGGGGTTCTTAAACTTTTCCTCATGAACCCAAAGTGAGCCGACGTAGCCTTTTACCTCGGGACCCTTTGTGGGCTTGTTTCATCGCGCTAATACTCTCGATACTCCAGAGGAAACAGACTTGCAGCCCATTTTGCGTCCCGACTCAAAGTTTAGGAAGCGCTGGTGGTCGAGTAAACATGGAACGAAGATTGACTTTTCCTACAAGCAATGCAAGTAAACAAACAATAAATACAAACAATGTGCTTTATCCATATAGACATATTTACACAAAGTCTTTGGCTTATGAATAAACATCAGCTATAAAAAATAAAATAAAAAGTGTTGGCCACCAGTGCACAAAACAAACTGGGGTCTGCTCACTTTCAATTCCGCTCAAACCAAAAATGGAAAGGAACGTATTCATATTATTTAATCTTTTCTAAAAAATAAAGAAGCTGATCTCTTTATACCTCAAAGCATTTCCTTCTAAGTGTTTTGAAATGACACATCCCATTTTTGAATTGGTGGAACTGAAAGTGCTTCGGGCCCAGCCCTGCAACAAACATCATTATGCTGACGTCACATGGTTGAACAAAAATCTTAAAAGACATAAAAACTTTTTTTTCCCAGTCGATCAAGAAATGATGCAAATCAACTCTGCGGTGACCGCAGGAAACAAACAAACGATACATAATCACACGTATACATTTTAGTGAAAATCCCACACAATTTTTTTTTTTTAAGTTGCCACTTCATAATATCGTAACAAATAAAAAGAAAGCGTTATGCTTCGTATAAACTTCATGTTGTAGTTCCATTGCCCGTCTTGTTTCTAAGACCTTTACTTATTACGTGGTCCTGTGTCGTGTCATCTGACATTCTACTGGTTCAAAGTGGCGATTATATACTTACACACATAATGTTGTGAACCAGGAAAATAACATGAAGATGCTGCTGATGTGTGGAGTAGAAAAAGAAGCCTTCACAGAGTTTGGCCCGGCTGTAACATCAACTTGTTCTTATACAAAAGCACTTGCTGCAAATATTCAAACACCGCCACGATGAGAAGCCCAACTAGTTACTCACAAACGATGAGCGTGAGAGCCGGAATGCGGGCGCCGCTTAAAACTTACGCAGTCATTTCAAAAGCCGTGGATGCAGTTGGCCTACGGGAGAGGGAGACACCCACAGCGCACATGGGGTACTGCAGCTGAGGCAGCACGCGGCACGAGGCTAAACATTTAGATGGGGCCCAGAACATACAGCGGCCCGCTGGCGCTCAAAAAGCTGTACAACAAGCATAAAAGGAGTAAAAGGAGAAGAGGGAGTCAGACCTCCCTCTCTGCTGCACTCCTTCTGTTAAAAGTCTGAATGTTTCCCTTTGTTCGGATTCTTTACAACACTGTACAAGGAGCCAGATTTCCACTTGAAGGGACGCAAAACGGGTGCTACCGATTGGCCGCGCAGAGGGGAGTCCGGAGCGAGTGAAAGCAACGTGAGAAGTGAAAAGATCCTCTGCTCTTCTTCTTTGTTTAGGAGGATTCGATGAACTCCAGTGACAGGTCGTAGCAGAATCGGTACTGTTCCTGTAGAAGAACACGGACGGCAGAACAGATATTTCATATTTGGGTATTTCATATTTTAAAAAGTCTGATATATTGCACTGTGACAACTTGGGGTTCTTTTCTCTCCTCCTCTCCAACTCACCGGAGTGTCCACCATGTTGGGCTTGCTGTTCCTCAAGGTCTTTACGGCGTGGAAGACGTCGACCACACTCTGCCTCTTGGTCATCTCACACACGATGCTGCTGGCACAGAAGACTCCACTGCGCCCACCTCCGTTCCTGTCAACACACATCGTGCAGACGCGTGACCAATGCACCATGTCATAGTTCACATGTAGTTTTGTCACCTCGCAGTGTTTATCGCACTGATTTTTGGTGTAAAAATCATCCTGCTTCTTCATAAAACAGAGCCACAGATTACTAAATAAAAAAGAACCCGAGGGCTTGTATATTTAGTGTGAACTCACAGGCAATGCACGATGGTTCTTCCCTCTCCCTCCTCTCCCTCACGCTGCCATTGGTCCACCTGCAAGATCAGTTTGAGGAAGGAGCGTTTGGAGGCGGGGACCTCCCTGTGCCCCGCCCACCCCAGGTACTGGAACTGACGGACCATCAGGTAGCCTTCCTGTGGCTGCGGGATCAAAAGACGGCCACATTGGTTGGAATGAGTCGTGAAGGGGCCCAATGAGCTGCCGCGCAAACGCCGTCCTGATCTACTCACCCTGGTGAGGTTGCAGACTCTGAAGAGTCTGCTGATCACATCGCAGTCCATCGAGCAGGACATGCACTCCACCTGGACCGGACCATAGCGCAACATGCCCTCCTCCGGCCAGTACTGAGGGCAACCCTGTTTGGAAACGTTTACCTTACATTTAGATTTAGATAGAGTGTAATCCAAAAAACAACATTGTACAGAGAAGAAACAGCAAAAATATTTGTGCTAAATCAAATATTGGAAGCAGACTTATTTTCCTTTGTGTCGTTTGGTTAATGCTTATTTAAGGCCTTGGTGAGCAAAGGACTATTTTCTACCCTTCTACAGTCAAATTCTGTATATATATATATATATATATATATATATATATATAGACCTTATTTGATGGCTGAGGACAGACATTTTAAGCCAATATTAGCATTTTAATACAAATTTGCAATAACTGCAAGACAGGATTATCTCCTTCTGTATAATAAAGGTTTCTCTCTTGTCGGACTGGAGTTTGATTTGATTTGTGTGGCTGAACACAGTAAACGTTAGTGAGTTTTTACTTCACAGCCCGAGGAATGGCAAAGGTAAAACATTAAAACGTCAAATAGATGATACATTTTGCCACATATAAGTGGATACCTGTATTAGTGTATGTTTGCTCTTTGGATGGCCACTGCGAGTCCCCTCTCATGTGGATTATATCATTGTTTGATTTCCTGCCTATAATATAATGTAGGTGGTATCGTAGTTAATTGGGCCCGTGTTTTTGATTATTTATAGAAATATGTTAACAGAATATTACATATACCAAAAGGTATCCTCTATCGTTGTCATTAATAGTACTGAGAGTAAAACAGAGACAAACATTTTGGAATGTTTTAGTTATGACAAACACAGATTACCTGAGCCAGGTCGATCTCATTCAGCATCACCAGACTGGTACACCCGTAGTCGTAAACCAGACGCCAGAAGTCTTTGACGGTGTTGGGCAAAGGATGCTGGGTAACGATGAATGCAGCAGGCTGTCTGTAGCTCTGCGGGAAAACAAACCACAGAAAGGACGTCAGCGCTTCCATACAAACAGCGTACAGTTCACAGTGTGAAGTCATGCTTTTCATACACGTCCTTCACTTCTTGAATATCTGTCATTATCAGCTGAGTGGGAACACGTGTGGGACGGCGAGCAACACGGGGGATGTTTGGTCACATGATCATGCAGTGGGCCTATCAGACGTGATGATGAGGAGCATGCGGTGCACAGACAAATGCATCGTGTGTATCGTACATCGACATCTCATTGGCTCAGTTTAAATTCAGCTAAAAAAGAAAAGTTGCCAAACACAAAAAGGAAATTTACCGAACAAATAAAAGTTTTGTTGACAAAACATACTTCCTGAACTGAAAGTGCACTGAGCCCAACTAATCCTTGGTGATAATGTGTAGCCACATGTGAGACATGAGGTGTGAATGATTTGGGTGAACTTAGGGGTCAGGTTTAGTATTTAGGGTGCAAATGGCTCTGCTAAACATGAACCAGGTGGCTGAATGACACTGAAGCCATGAAACAAATCCAGTGTTGGAGATTTGAAGTAAAATCCCATTACCTGGAACTCCTCTGAGAGCTTGGTTAGAGAAAGGCCAAACGTAAGTGACTAAACTTTTAAAAATTTGAAAGTTTTACACCAGCTACAGTTTTTTTGTGCTCCAACAGCTTTGTTGGAGAGCTGCCCGGTTTCCTTCCACACCATCCATATATAATAAACTTTGTGTTTCAGCCCCTATCGTACCTTATCTGCTGCCCACCCATTACCATCTTTCCCTCCACTCATTGTTCCCCCTAATGGTTATTAAAACGTAAGTTAGACAATGCCCTGATATTTGCCATCTTACACTAAATTTCAACCTAGTTAATGACTTTGTTTTGCAAGTCAGTTTTCAACTGTTGTTGATGTAAACATTGTCCTGCAAAAACGAGGCTGTTCTAGATGGGGTGGTGGCCAGAGAAGAACCTGGATTTGTCTCTCGCCTTCTGCTGCTAAAACCACAAACACAGCATCACACAAACGGGGAGGGGAGTCTGTGTGTGTGTGTGTGTGTGTGTGTGTGTGTGTGTGTGTGTGTGTGTGTGTGTGTGTGTGTGTGTTGTCCGTGTAAGCATGTGCGCATAAATATGTACCAGTGTTCTGTATCGTCATTTGTGTGTTCATCATTCATCATCAAGTATTTCATATCAGATTGGGACATCACACATCAGAAACAGTTTTGATTCATTTTCCAAGTTGCATTAATTGAAATTGTGTTAAACCAACGTATGTGTATAAACGGCTTTTTACAATGTTTACAAAAGAACAGACGTTGTCTGAAATGTCCATGTGTATGTGTTGAAAATAACACAACCTCAATGTATGTGCGTGTTGAGTATGTGATACACTTACATCCATCAGAGCAGCATTAATGTAGTTGCTGCTTTCTCCATCTATAGTAATAAGGAAGGGAAGGCATCTATCAGGAGGAAGGCCATCCATAAAGCGGTTCTTATCTTGGTTTCTAGGCAACAGTGCGATGCTGCAGTCTTCAGGCTGAGGCTGAGGAGTCACCGAGTTTAACGTCTGAACAAAGGCAGAGAGAAACACAACGTCAAAGTTAGTGCATAAGCAGAGTACATCTTGTTTTGGAACAACTTTTATCCTCTTGGCGTTCTGTCTCGCTATGTTTGCGTTTCTTGGACGCCGTGGAAGGTTTTCATAGCTTCCTTTTGGATGAGTCCTTACAGTTTTGCACCCGGTTGCCACGTTTTAAAAGGGACTGACTCATGCAGCATTATATTGGCGCTGCGAGATCACGCTTTCAAGCAGCAGTGTACTTCCGCCATACCGGACCAATTTATATAATGATCTCTATTAGTCAGTTGGACACAAAAATATTTTCCAGGTTCGAAAAATACCAATATGTATTTTTTAATGCTCAACTGCACAGTTCTATTGTAAATGTGAAAAACGGGTTCAGTTGTTTGCAATAGTTGACTATTGCTTGAGTTGGAGTTAAAGGAAACATTTAAGGGATGATAATCTAAAAAGGAGTAAACAGTTGATTCAGATTATGGCAACATAATGTGATCACTCACAGACTCTAAAATTCTGAACAGCTGATGAGAGGATTATGCCGCCCAGAGGCACTTCTATCGACGTTTGGACATTTGTGTTGTGCCGTTAAAAATATCCTCCTCGAAAACCCTATTTAATGGAGGAGTGTTACTTGTCGGCTTGAAGACACGGATTCTATTCAGGTTTACCTGGAACTCGTCCTTCAGATGTGACGAGTTGGTCTGCGAGTCGATGCGGATGAGCTCATAGAAAGCAGCCTTGAACTCGCAGACGGGGATGGCCGTTTCCCCGCACAGACAAGCCTCTAGAATGGCGTCGTGGATGAATATATACTGCTCCTGAGGACACAGAATTCAAGACCTGGACGTTATTACACACAAACCCACATTTCGCTCCTGGATTAAAACATCGGCAAACAATTAAGCACACAGACACACACACACACAACGTGTCATGAGGGGAACACGAGCAACGTGTGACGCCAAATAAAAGTGAGCATGCGGACACTCCGGGTGGGTGACGACTGATGGATGAGATGAGATGGTGACTTTCGAGTTTTTTTTTTTTTCTATTCCACTCAGTGCTTGTAATCAAAAGCATATTTCTTGCCTTGTCGTCTCCATAGAAACAACGTCCAGGGAAACATTTGTATTGTTCGCAGTTTCACGTTTGAGAAGTTGAGAGGTTTTTAAAGTGGGTTCACTTCTGCTTGGACGTGTATTTGCTTACTGAGGGTCACCAGCTCCGGTGAAACATTATGGGATGGAGGTGCTTCGTTGAGGGCGCTACATGCGGCGCTTCCTGTCACAGTGTAATTCTTCATTCTAGCATTCGATGGCGCCAAAGTCAGATATTTAGAAACCCACAATAAATGGGCCTTAAATAAATGAAAAGACGGTCCTGATAATATTTTTACGGATTAGTAAATATTCCATCACATCGTTTTGTCCGATTGTTTTTCCTGCGTTTACTAGTGACAAGAATCGCTGGAACATGCTGATGGCTGAAGTCTTACACTTTTATCTTCTAAAATGTGGATGCAGATGGAGGATGGGTAATGCAGTCACCTCAGTCTGTACCATGTTGATCCTCCTGGAGCGGAGAGCCTTCACACAGTTGTAGATGTCGACCACACCTTCTCTCTCCGCCATGTCCAACATGATGTCAATCACTATGAAGCAGCCGGTCCGCCCGGCTCCAGCACTGCAGAGAAAAACAGACAGAGAAATCACTCTTGAGGCAAACATTGATTTTATTTATTACTATGGTATGAACGTGAGATAAAAGGGTGTGTAGTAATAGTGCGTGGCGGAGTATTTTAAGATCTTTATGTATTTCTATACCTGCAGTGGACCACAATCGGACCAGCAGAGGGCGGATTTGAAATTTTAACCCTGCGGATGAAGGAAAGTAGTCCAGTGGCGTGATATGGGACTCCGTGGTCGGGCCAGCCTGTGAAGTGGAACTGTTTGACTTCCCGCACCTCGTTGAAACCACGCTGAGTTAGAGACAAAAGACATCTTTAGATTACGTTGAACGGAGCCAGTCATTACATATTCAGTGGTTGAGTCCGACTCAAACAGATGTTGAATTTATTTGATGCACAGAGGGATAAACACCTCCTTAACTAGACACGTTCCACATGGGTTACGTTACAAGCTTTAAGATATTTCATAACAAAGTTAGCTCAAAATGAAAAGAAAACAACAGACACTTGTTTAAACTAATGTGACTCACCCTCTCCAGCGTAAATGTGCGCACCACATATTCAGCAAGAGGTTCAACCTCCACAAATGTCACTTTGAAGTCTCCGTACACCTCTGCATCATCTGGCCAATACTTATAGCACTTAACCTGTTAAAAATAGCATTTGAATTTTAATATAATGCTGTAACCCTGGCAGATGTACCAAACAAGCAGCAGCACGGAGATGGCTGCTAATTGCTCTGCAGCAGTCACATCCCATTTTTTTCCATTAACATTCATTTAAATAACATCAACACTACAAAAGTAAGTACTTTTACACTCAAAAAATATATATGCCAAAGCAACTTTAAAATGTTTGTGATCTGCCTACGCAATTGTCAAAAGGGCCTGAATAATCAAAATGTGTGAATAACTTGAAATATGTTTGCTGGGAAAACAATATTTAAAGTTTATTGCATGAGAAGAGATGACCAGAGAAACGTACCCTTCCAACCTCCACCAGATTGGTCACCATGACGATGCAGGCTGACTGTTCCTGCCACACCATCCTCCAGAAGTCATACACGGTCTCATGAACGGGACCTTTCAGATATAGAGACATGTGGTCAGCACGTGATATGGTTGCTATGTGAGAACACGTTCTAAAATGCTGTAGGACAAAGGTTATGAGGGGTTGTCCTTGTGTCTTACCCTGAGTGGCGATGTAGTGACTTGGTCTCTGGTAGCCCTGAAAACACCATAACACAACAACTTAATATCAAAGTCTCCAAGTAATATCCAAAAAGTACAACAACATTATAACTAAACTAATCTGGAAGCTTGCTCTCATCCTTCGGCGATTACGGAGAAGTTTATACTCACGTTTTTGTCATATCGCACAGTGTATTTTAATTATTGTTTAATTTTCTACCTTCATTTGTGAATTAACAAAAATTGTCAAAGCAAGGATCAAAGTGAGACCCTCCCGAAATCCATAGCCTAACTGCCAGGTGCTGCCAGGCTCTGAATACCACTGATTGGGATTGCCTGATGGCAACAACACTAAAACGGGTACTCGGCATGAGCAAATTTCCAGCACATAGTGGGATGTAAGACTGGTGGGAGGGCACGATGGTGTGAAATCTTTCATGCAGCACAGTCCCCGGCAACTCAAAATGTGCGCACAACCTGACCCTCTGCACGCAATGAGGAGTGCAAGAACGGATGTGTGTATCGGTAAAGGTTAAGGGGCACGGGTGAAAGAATCTACAGTGGTACTTACATCCCTGTACAGCCAAATCTACAGCCCAAGCCACAGGCAGAACAAGTGAAAGAAAGAAAGAAAGAAAGAAAGCACAACAATTTCAGTGGGTGTCAATCAGAAAAGGAAAAGTTGCAGTGATATAATGGAAGTGCAGGACATGCAGAAAGAAAAGAAAAAGAAAAAACATGATCTAAAATTGTGAATTAGGCTGAATAGAAAGGACACTTCCTGATGCCGTTTGACCTCTTTAAAGAGCTGGTTGTTAATCTAAATTTGGAGCACAATCCAAATGATATGACAGCAACAACCACAACTGTAGCGACAAAGATTGGCTGGATACACCAGTGAGTGCCCACTATCCATCCAAGTTTAATGGAGGTGGTGGCATGCATGTGACAGCTTTAATAGAAGGTAATAATATTAAAGAAGAGCATGCTATAAGCAGTGTGTAGCATTAAAAAAACATTCCACATGTGAGAGACTAACATGCAGATGATTGTTGTAAAGGTGACAGTGGAGACGTGGAGATGGAAAAGCATAATTGTGTGGAATTATGTGATGATAGGAGAATGGATAGAAAAGATGGGTAAGAAAAGATGGATGGATTAAAAGTATCAAAACACCTGTACTTTTAATTTCTCTCGTTTGAAAAATAGACACTACATTAAGGGGAAAACTTTCAGTTGATGTTCTTTAAATGTCATAATTTACAGTCATCAGTACAACCAGTAAATTGACTGAATGCAGATAAAATACTTAATTCATTGATATCATTCTCATGTCTGTGCAATAAATATGAAGCAAGCAGCAGAAGTTGGTTAAGTTTAGATTAGATTAGCTTGGCCTATAAAACTGGTGGGTGACGCTAGATTAGCTCCAAACAACTGTAGCAACACTGTTTACCAGCACATCCAAGGCTCACAAAGCATTTGCTATTTGTTAAAGGTGAATAAAAGATGTGTGGCTGGAAATGACAAGCTTTTACACTGTACTATTTAACGGACAATTCACTTTGTATAGATGTTACTGCTAAATGCTGATTGTCCGGGACTATATTTCCATTGGCTGCTTCTGGACACTATGATGAACTTAGAATGCACGTGCATGGAGAGACGAGAGAGAGGACAATGGGGAAAGACACATATACGGTAGGTATGACGTGCTGTCGGGGTGGCTGGATGCGTAAAATGGTGCGATGGATGACTAGTAGACGCAAGAAAGGTATAGAGGCCTGACATACGAGCGAGGGAGTTTGGTTTCGTTGGTTTCGTTGGGAGCCAATAGTAGCATTCGATGCGTTTCCACTTACATCGATGTAGTTGGCGTTGATGTAGTCGGAGGAGGGGTCGTCTTCTATGGGCTGTAGAATAACCCTTGAGTGGTCATCTACAGAGAGACAACAAGGACGCAGAGATTCATCACAAACAAAGAGGTAAGCGCAAAGAAGTAAGTAAGTATTTGCTCTCTTACACCCTTCTTCCCCCCTTTCCTTCCGTGCAACCTCTGTCACGAACATCAAGACCTAAAGCTCTCTTACATGCTATAATGTTGCCATAGCGGTTCTTGGTGCGGTTCTGCTCCTTCTTGGCCACGTCCCAGGAGGCCGACTGGCCCTCGAAGAAGCTCTGTATCACCAACAACACGCAAAACAACACAAAAGAAAATTACACGTCATGGATCCAAAGATATCGCTTCTCTAGTCTAAAAGAGGTACTTGAGCGACGGTTCCATGGGCACGTGTATGGTGACAGAATACTTCGTTGATACATAAAAATGTTTGTATCGACTGTCAAGTCGATAAGAATGAAAATACTCTCTCTCAAATAAAGAGTAGTAACACAAGACAAGACATCAAATTCAGCTTCATTGACTTTCTTTATAAGCTTTCTGCAGTTCGGCCACCTCCGACCAGCCCGGCAACTAATACCACGCTCATCGCTGCCAGTGCCACAGATGAAAGCACTGCTTATCATAACCTTACTTCATACTCCTCCTTAAAGCCGTAGCTGTCGGAGGTTTTCATGAGGTTGATGTGCTGCAGCAGGTCGGCCACTCTGATGGCGGGGTGCAGCTGCCCCGTCTGGTAGGGGGATTCGGTTCCCTCGCAGTGATACCGCGGGACGTCCAGGAGCCGGCTGTTCTCCGCCGCGGAGGCGCTGTGGTTCTCGTCTACAACGAGAGGACAGTTGGTTTTGTTTGTGCTTTTTGAGGTTTTCGTGCTGGCAAATGGTTGGATGAATCGCGCACGGATAAAGGTACTTTACGGCAGGATGTAGAAAACCTTTTATCCATGTAAATGCAACAAAACAAAGACTTTTACATCCTTCCAAAAACTAGTGGGCCTACCTGCTGGTGGCTTTGAATCATGACCAGAACAAAATACTGCATTGAACACAACGGCAAACCGAGTCAGTTTTCCTTGTCTAAACTCACCTGTGATTGGAACTACGTGTTAAAGCAGCAGAAAAAGAGAAGAGCAGAAGCTTCAGTCAGACAGCTGGATGGGAGCATTTGATAGTAAGACTAAACAGGGAGTACAGCTTTACGTTGGCACCTTAGATGTGAAGGACCCAAATAGGTCAAAATATTATGCTTGATGGAAAAAATGAGTGATCACACCGAACAATGGAGACACTTGACTGAAACCCCTTCAGCAACATGCGACACCAAGAAGGAGGACACGACTTAAAATGAGCTGTTAAGTTGACCGCTAACTCGTGTCATTGTACTTCATCCAGTAACTGCTGCTTCAAACACACTGTGCAATGCAAACCGTTCTCCACCTTCCACCAGATAAGACAGTTCCACTCAATATGAACACATTTCACCACGTTAATATGATTATCTCTGCATTTTTGTAGCTCGCGCGTTTAATTAAGCTAATTAAGGGGTCAAGTTGTCGCCGAAAACGTCCGCCTGAGTGGGAGGTGATGCGGGCCGACACTAGTGAGCGCGGACTGACGGCTCGCATGATGGACCGGGTCGGGGTCGCAGATCAACCGGGTGATTTCATCCCCGACGCTGTTTGTTAACTGACACTGTTTGTTATTTCATCCAGCGGATGCTGTTGTCTGCTCTGTGGGCATGTTAGCTCATGGCTGGTTGTTAAAGGTTCTCTAGGTCCCCGTCAGGCCAATTAACAGTAAACCCGACGCGACGCCGCCTCTTAATTTGCTACTTCTCTCCACTCGGTGATGTGATTGGCGCAGTCAGATCATAACTGCGGCCTTCAGTCTAAATCAAGGGCCATGTATCAGCTAGTTAAACACAGTTGGGTGGCGTTGGTGGGCTGAGGAGCCCTTAAGGGTTTGTTAGAGCTCTGCATCGTGCTGCAGTATCAGGAGCTGGAGAAGAATCCAACCCAGCAAAAAACAGAGCTTCCCACTTCAGCCCAGGCGCAGATGGTAGATACTCGAGCAGACTCTGAGATCCACCGCGAGGAAAGAAAGCTCCGCCAAGCACGTGGGCCTGTGGGCACCGAGTTATTCGCCGTCACTGCATGTCACCGATTTAATCTGCGGTCGCCTCGCGTTTGGCAACGTGACAAATTGTCTTCCTCCTTTTTAAGCATCGTGTTTCTGTCGTTTCACCGGGGTGGGAGATGGCGTCCCTCCAGACAACTCAAAACTGTGGGAATAATGAGGCGTCTGAGGGAGAACGATGGTGATTACTGGGAATATCGATAGCTCGCAGTGGGAAAGAAGCCGTGTCTTAGGTCGGGAGTGATTGACCCTCAGGGGAAACACAGCACAACAGATGAAGCGCTTGGCTGGTGGGAGTTTTTAGTACCGGCAATGTTTTACGAGGAGTGTTGGCACCAGGCGGCGAAGAAAAGATGAACACACCGCAGGTAGCATGTAGCATGATCCACTACTCATCATTGCATTGCCTCACAACCAAATCCAAACATCTATTTGGCATTTTTGTTGTGTTTCTGTTCAATTTCAGTTCACTGCCCATATGTGTGCAGCCATGTGTGTGTGTGTGTGTGTGAATAGAAATATTTGTGGATAAGAGACGTCATTGTGGTACTAAAACCTCCATCAAACCAAACCATTCGCTCACATAAACGAACTTGACCAAGGTCAAATCAAGTGACACGGGATGCAGAATGTGATGGAGCCTTTGACCTCGCCACATTGGGGCCTGCGTGGAGACGCACAGAGGGGGGGGGGGGGGCTACGGGGCGCTCAGATGAGGATGGGTGATGACTGAAGGGAGCTGGTGGGTAACGTGACACGAGTTCTCACCTAGCACAGCCGTTGGAACCAGAGGATCGTTGGGCGCTGTTAGAGGAAACACGGGAAGGAAATCTCCTGAATTTCAGTGTTACTCAAATGTGCACGAGGGCCTTAACGTGAACGTGCGTAGGAGAGGAAGGAGCATTTACTACAGAAACCATCCCGATGGCAAACAGTGACCATTTACTGCCTTTCTTTGCCTTATACTACTATGAACTGATTAATTGGGGGGTTTTTGGACTGTTGCTCAGACATTAAGAGACATTTGAAGGACACTTTAGTCTCGAAACTGTAATCGGCACCCGAATAACTAACCAAAAAACAAAAAGGGAAGGTTCACCAATCACAACTATTACTACAGATTCCTAATTGAAATGCTGTAATTACAATAAGTTTGAGCGCTGTAACCGGACAGTTAGTTAGAATAACCACGCGATTACTAAAGTCAGCGTGAATAGAAGTGAGGAAAGATGAAAATAAGTATTATTGCGTTGTGTTGAGACGTGGATCCATGTTGAACGCTAAAGTTTATGGCTATTGATAACCATAAATGTCGTCAACCTACATCGGTTGTTGTAGTTGTGAGAGTCCATGAAGGTCACCGCCATGGGATCTTCTCCATGCAGAGTGCTCTGGTCGGCGTAGCTGCGATCCATGGCGTTCACCATGTGAGTCATTTCCTGCCGCGTCGTTCCGATGGCGTCTTTACGTTTTTTAGCCAGTTTCCTGTCAGGAGCAGAGAGCGACACAATTAGGTATTTCGTAAACTAACAGACAGTCAACCGGCCTGCAGACCACCGCCGATTTCGGAGAAGTCTCAAACGATTCACTATGGTATGATTTTGTGTAAAGTAGGTGGTATCAAGTCACTTTAGGCAATAGAAGCATAGCTGGAGGGGGGGGGGGGGTGTGCAGGCTGCTGATTCAAGATGCAAAGTTTAGATCCAACAAGGAAGAGAAAAGAAGACAGGTGGGGAGAAGAGAATAAGAGAGGAAGAGAAGAGGAAAGAACAGGCGAGGGAAGGCTTGTTTGTTAAATGGCAGCATGTAACAGGCTCGGCTACGGGAGCGGAGGGGAAGTAGCATCTAATGCAGACCGGGGGAAGCGGCCTACGGCCCACAAGCAGCAAGGCAGAAAGCTTCCATGGACCTCTGTACCGTAGAAGAGCCGCCAGATGAAAAACATACGGTTTATTCCAAATCTATATTTCTATTGTCTGAAACTCCTCATTTTATGTCATATCAGAGATCACGATCAGAAAAAAGGAAGAAAAAACAAAACAGATTTAAGTATTTGGTTTTCATCCGACAGGAAAGGAGGAAAATCCCTTAAAAACAAATGACCTTTGATCTGAAGAAGCTCTGGGGAAATCATTTACCAACCAAAGTACCACAGTCATCACAAAATGAGTTTTAGGACTCGAGGTCACATCACAAATAGTCCAGAATTATGAGAGACAGGTACACAATGTTTCTAGAAATCTCCTATTTGTCTTTACAAGCCTTTCTTGAAATTGTGGAATTAAATGCATTTTTTCCCCTTGCAGGCTACAAGAACTCAGATAACAGTATAAAATCAAAATATCAAGTTGTCCTTTTTTAGGTGTAGGTCTCTATTATCTGTGCAAAAGATAAAATCCCAGGAATGAACGTGCATGAACGTTTTGTACTCAGAGCCATAGACAGTTAAGACAACATCTGTACAGGGGAATAAACCTTTAGTATGTTTCCACCTACTTTACACAAGTTACTGTATCACATGAATAACAGTTTGAGCACCGACATCAATAAAAACCTCTCAGAGGTTTGATGGAGATAATAGTAATAATTGTTGCTTAACTTCTATCCCAGTCAACAGACCAAAAGCATGCTTTGTGCTATTGTTCAGTTCACCTGTTCACCCCGAAATACAACAATGCCACCTCTAAGACACACACACACACACACACACACACGCACTCCGGCTGCTGACCCGGTGTAGCTGTTTGTGAGTGTATTGTCCAACAGACACATAGAAATAGGAACGAAAGCGAAGCATATATAAGCAACCACTATACGCTGTGTATTGGTACACACACACACACATATATGTATATATACACATACATATATAAGGGGGAGAGATGTAGAAACAGACAGAGAAAAGGCGTAGCTGTGACCAGAACTTAAGTGAATCTATGTTAGGGAGCATTATCTCGTTGCGGGAGCTACAGTGTGCAGACCTTTAATTATTATTCATTGCGGTCTTCTTCGGTGCCTGCCTACAACTTTTTGGAGGTGCATGACCACACATAGTTTATAAGCATCTGAATATTTAATTGTTAACAGATTCTTTCATTAGTAATATCTACTGGATGGTTTGCATGAGGATAACAAGAGAACTTATATACAGTGAATTCTCCTGATACATGTATATGAATGGATGCACGAGCGTCTCGACTCCAGAAAATAAAAACACATTTGTCTGACAACATTACATTTCATTAACCTTTAAGTCACAAGAATAACGCTTAAGCTTTTCAAACAACATTTTGTTTGTCTTGTGAATACAGGGTCTAGCTGTAAGTGGTGATTCTGTTTGTGCAAAACAGATCACTGAACTCTTTAACTGACGTACAAAGAGGAGATAAGGGATTCATTTTGGTCACAGCCGGCGAGAGACAACAAGAGACGGAGTAGAGAACTATCCGCTACACGAGAAAACCCACCAACAACAACCGAAATCCGAGTCGTGGGCTCCACACAGGGAGCTGACCGAGACTCACTGTGTGCAGCGGAGAAACCGCGATACCTGTGACTTGATGGGCGGATGGATGAACACATGACTACATGCACACAAAGAGCTACAAGTCACAAGTGCAGCATTCTTTTTTCAAATAACACGCTTAGGGCCTGTGTCGTCCCACTTTGGCCTGCTTTGTTCTGGTTTATGGCCCACTTTGGCCTTTATAAGCCTGCTTCAGAGCAACTTTGGAGCATGTAGAGGACACCAGGGCTGAGGTCAGTTCAGTTGTCAGTTTAGTCCCTTATGATTTAGCATTGTTATTATTTTAAGACATGAAACATTCTCTTGAAAAACTTTAATAATTATAATTTTAAAGCCGCATTTAAAGTACTTAAATATAGATGATTGAAAATAAGGAAGGACCTGACCTGACTGACATGGAAGTGAACGTACCCCCACCCTGGCGAGGCGTCAATGAGGATGGCTTGGGCTGGTTGGTCAGAGCTGAAAATGTGTTTTGTCTTGAAAAAAGTATACTGCATCTTTAAAAATAACAACAACTAGCCACTAATAATTCACCCAATAAGATAACAGCAGCTGGGTGAGCTGATTGTTGATTTGTTGTTTACTTACAGGTAATAAGAGTATGAATAGTAGGTCCTCCTGGGGTTGTGAGCCAATCAGAAAGCAAAGAATGAGACACAAAGGTCATGAATGTGCAAATTAGGACAATGCTGTCTTGTCCCAACCAGCAACAACAGAAACAGAATAAAACACCTTTTGATTGCTAAAACTTGAGGGTCATGCAAGGTTTTGTTATAATAACTAAGGGCCCTAATGATTTATTTTTAAAACTACTCTAAGCTCAGGTTTAAAACTGAATAAATACTACAAAACAGGCCTAGATAATTATACAAATATGACTAAAATAACAAATAGCTATAAATAATAGAACATATTCTTTGTGGTCTTTTGAATAAAATATTCAGACATTATTTTTTAAAGCAGATAATTGCCGAAAGTGAAAGTCTCTTTTAGCCCAAATCGGCCAATAAAAATGTCCTTATAAACACCTATAAAAAGTAAATAATTCATACAAAGCTATGTTATCTGTAGCTCGACGCAGCTTGCTTCCTGTAAAGCAAGCATGATGTCATTTCAATGTCATCATGTCCCACCATTTTAAAGATGCAGTATTGTTAATAGTTGCAAAAGGGTTTTATGACAATGAAGATTGATCTCCCCAGAAACCTTCATGGAAAACTACTGACATAACATCAAAACAAATCTTAATTACATTAAACACATTTTTAAAATAGACTGGACGCAGTTTAGTTCACAAACCAAATCGAAAACTAGGCTACGTTTTAAGGGCTCAACACAAATGATGTCATAGCTCTAGAGAAAGCCATGCAGAGACATGGTGACCTTTTCTCAACCAGGGACTGCTCTCATGTTCTGTTCTCATCAATTAACCTAAAAAGAACTAACTAACTAACTAAAAATGTAGAATTAACCGAGAAACACAATTGAACAACATATTTGATTTCCTCCCGCGAGGCTCTACAGTTAAGTAGAGAAAATGGAACGGAATATTACATTTTTAAATCAAATCAAAGTCTGTCAGGTTTTTGGGGATGGTGGTGAAGTTATTTCAAAACTGGTAATAGAAAATAGTAGCAGCTGTGGCAATAAATCAGGTATTTTCAATGCCCTCTCTAAGGTCGGGTCCTTTGCTGCATGAATGAACTTCCTGTGCATAACATTTACGATTGTAGATTGACCCGAAGTCGGCAGCACGACTGCTGGATCGGGTGAATTCATTAAGAGAATTAAAATAAACATGCGACAGTCAGCGGCGGCAGGATGTTCTCTGGTGATGAGAGTTAATCACTGACTTTAATGACGAATAGCTTTTGATTTGCTGAGCAAAAATCTTAATTGGTTGCAATTAAGAAGGTATTTTTCTTGCTGGTTTTCCTTCAGCGTGTCTCCTGAAAGACACAGTCGAGGATTAGACGTTGACCATCATTCATCTTTTCTTAAATTTTCAAGAGACAGGGTGGTCAATGAGCAAATTAAGCATATTAAATTCATACATTTCCACATGCAGGATAAGGCACTCAACATGAATATATTTGTCTTGAATATGCAAATGGTTTGCTAATTATTCTCTTTAGATGAGGCACTTAGGTTCCCTGAACACCAGCTTTTAATTGAAAGGTCACAGGGAGTGCGGCGCGTTTACTGATAGTTAATTGTTACACGCATAGACTTTTGTTCATGACTTGCATGCACGCACATGCACGCACACGCACGCCTTGAAAAGTAGAAAGACATAATTCAGACTCGTGCAACTTCCCAGTTACTCAGGTTTGATGAATAGAGAGCTGATTGCTTGCAAAACTAAAACTGTCTAGACTCTGGGGAGGGGTGGGCGCCGCCATAAAAGCATGAAGATGACTCTCCTTACAGCTTTCAACGTGATAATATTAGACAATTCAAATTAGTATTTGTGAACGGAAATGGGACCATAGCATAGAGCTAACAGGTATCACAAGGAAATGGGACAGAAGTATATCAATTCTACACATAATGATATATTAATAATAAACGATAATTTGATATATTTATACTTGAACTCCTACGTATTTTTAAAATGTTTAAAGTGTGTTGTGATTGCTGCAATAAGGAATTATGAATGTTTATAAGTGCTGATGAATAGAATTGTACAGTGCTATAAGCAAGTTATAACACATTAAAATGTCTGCAATGTGTTCAGCCACCACATGGTGGCGCCCTGCACCAAACCAACGCACCACAGGCCGAAACACTACAATGACACCGGGACGGGCCGCCAGTCTTCTCGATGCTTCCCTAGATGGAAGGTGGAGTTTGTGCGTGAGTGGATTTGAATTGCAATATATGTATGTTTCCATCTTTCCGTTTTCTTTCTTCTAAAAACGGAAAGCTTTAAAGTTAACTTGAACAAAGAATCTAGTGTACCACTTTTCACTACATGAGAAATTCTCCTGAATTGTGTTTTGACCTACAAGAATGACGTGGACAGAACGTGTGTTTATAAAATGTATTTCTTCGGCGGCACCTCGATCCCTTTTTCCTCGAGCAACTTTAAAACCCGACAACATCGCTACGCACAATGGCATCTTCATCTACGCCTCCTTTCAGCCCGAAACCACATTCTAGTCTGAAGTACGTCTGCGACGTGTTTAAGGAATCCAAGTACATTGGACCGCTCTAATTTTAATCCTAACATCTTCTGCTTGAGGATCTCTTTGTGTTTCCCTTCAGAGTTCTGAGTGATAGTTGTTGTTTCATCTCGTTTGATTCAACGGCCTCACATCTCTCCTGCGCTAAATCACGCTGCGAGGCAGGAGATTCTAATTTTGGACACACCATATTTTCTATTGGATCTCAGCAAAATCGAGCCATCAGCTATTTAATGCTTTAAAAAAAAACAGAGCAGACTTCAGGGAGCGATCGAGCCGGTTCTGAAGGGAGATCAACGTTTATGGTGGATGGATGGAAGATGGTTTTACTATAGCAAATACTGGACCAACACGCAACAGGAGAATGGGCTCAGTTGCAGATTTGTACGTGTGTCCTTGCATTGGCGTGTGTGTTGGTGTAGTACTGTTGTTCACGCGGTACTCGCCCTCCTTAAGATTCTCCATTAAAGCCTCGTTTCCGCCGGGCGTAGGCCGTCACTCACCTCTTCTTGACCAACAGGATGGCCACCAGCACCAGCAGAATAAAGACCAGGACGCCAGCGCTGATCCCGGCGATCTTCACCACCCGATCCGTCTGTTTCGCGGGGTCAGGAATGACTTCTGGCTCCTCCGTGGCCCCTGGAACAATTGGAATGCCACGAAAACAACGTCAACGGGGCGGATCGAACACATCGGAGCGCTCATTGATTATTTGGTAGCATCAGGAAGGTGCATGTGGTCACATCACATCCGCAGTTGTTACATTAACACAACAATCAGTGGCGCTCTTTGACGTATTTACACAACCCCGTGGCACCAAAGGCTGGAGAAGTATTCCACTGAACAGCCATTCTGTTTGTCTTCTCTCAAGAAGTCTTTACAATGCGCGTTATGAGGAGCTATTTAAACACAGAGGTTTACTCGTTCCTCTGCTGAAGATCAGGTAAATATCAAGCATCTAAATATTCCCTGTAAAGCAAAGTGGAATAACTGCCGAGACAAATGCCATGGCAACTGTCATAAAGAATTCAAATATACCCAAACGCTTTGTTTGAGGAACTTCTTTGCTCTATGGGCCTTATTAACAATACATTCTCCCTCACCAGTATTCATACAGTTCATATCTGCACATTTTAGAGAACGTGTTCTACGGGAGGCATCCGTGAGGTTTATGGCATTTATAGTTTTTGCGACAAAAGGAAAGAAAAAAGATCTTCGCGTGTCTGAGTGCAGCGCTATCGGCCACAGCCGGGAATGAGCATTGGGTAATGAGTCAGAATTTAGCATCTCACCATGCTGAGGCCACTATTTGAGATATTCCTATTTGGAGCAAAGTGGCCGATCAACTGACTGACAGAAGCCGTGAGGACAACACGGCCAAAAATCACCCATTCTGCATTTTTCTTGTATCATGTGAAGTTCAAGTCCAGTAAACACACAGCGGCGGAGGATGCCGGCTGTGCTCAGTCCTGCTCAGTATCACCTGCAGCAGTCAAAGAACGTAACAAACTTTCACAGATTTCAGCTTCTAATTGATTTTAGCGTTTATACAAAAATGAAGAAACGTTCATTTAAATTCAGCTCATCCTTTGGGAAACACTTTTCACATTTGTCTGGTCGCTTTCCAACGTTTCTCTCCCAATGTCACAGTATATTACATGCACTCAAACTCGTTTCTGCTCCTGATGACTTCAGAGAACGGTCGTAACCCCTGATTTTGTCTGCTTGGAATATTGTTCACAAATGACGGTTGCTGCAGAGTTCATGCTCCGGCACGGATTTAACCATGTTGATCAGGCACAGAAAGTCAACAGCGAGAGAGCCGTGACGCCCCTCAGATTACTGATCTGATCCCAGAGTAGTCTGTCCTGCAGCGTAAGAACATTATCGTGCATTATGATAATCCCAATAATCCAACACAAAGACATATGCGCAGAACTCAATATAATGCAATACATCTATCAAACAATAATCTACTTCCAATGCTAAATATCAACAAAGATAAACATAATCTCTCTCTCTCTCTCCTTCTCTCCCTCAGTATTTTCGACCCGAACATATTCATTTGTCATAAAATGCTTTTGCAGTGGAAATCCTTGAAAGGTCCCCATTCAGTCCTGTGTCATTATGTAACGATATTATAAACCATGGAACTCGGGTCGAAAGATGAAGCCTCAGCTTCCTAGTGGGTTAGCTGATTTCTTTTGAACAGAAGAAGTTGGCATTCTCTTTATTTTTCATTTTACTTCAGTTCTTTCCAACTCCCTTCACTGTCCGTAGCAAACCAGCTCAAAGACCTACAGTGAATATATAAATCGCCCAAATCACATATAAACCATTCAAACATTCAAAAAGCAAATGTAGATGAAGCAATATGGCATCCGGATGCTTTTTAAATAGATTTTAGACATCTATGGGGCTCCATAGCTCAGAGGAATAAGATATCAGGCTTTTGGCTACACAAGCGATAATAAGTACGTACTTATATGCTTATGTCATTGTTAGTCTTGGACTTTTCATGGGATTTATTGATAATGAGATCAGTTTTGTAAAGGACGGAAAGGAATCATCCCGAGCACAATATCTAACCCTAAACAATATCTTGTTTTGCAACAATATAATAGTTACAAACATTATCATTTGGATGGATTAATATATACTAATATATGGAGCAATATTAGAATGATTGGTTATTTGTGGATGGCTAAGTAAATTATAAAAATAAATACCCACAGTTACGTGTATTTTAGAAATTTTAAATGAAAGGAATACTAATGTTAGAGTTATGAAAAGAAAAAAAAAAGTGTTTAAGTTTGTGAAAATACGATTGGGTAGCATCCTCATCCGTTTTAAAAAATCCAGTATTGGCTGAGCTGTTGAGGTCAAATGTCCTGAATAGCAATGCATTGTTTGTATGTGAAACAAGGGTGGTTTTACCTCAAACTCATGTTGCATTTATGACTATACACATACTGGTTTCACCTATTTTAGATCAGGATCTGTCAAAACAAGACTTGACAAAAAAAAGAAAAGAAAAAAAATCTTTAAAAGACTCCCAAGACCCGACCTCATAATGTCGGCGGTAGCTTTTAATGTCTGTAAAAAAATTATCCAGGTCAGTACCCTAACATCCACAACTCAGCCACATAGTTAAAAACACACACACACACACGAAAACCCCCGAGGCAGCAATGAGAACACAATACCCCCGATGACCTAATAGGGCCACCCTCGCTTAATCCTCCCTCCCGCATGCACGGCTGAATGCACGCATGCAGAAGGATGCCGGGAGAAAGGAGGCGACGCTCCTCTGACCTCTCTGTCCATTAGACTGTCTTTCTGCCTTATTTAAAAAAAAGACCTGGTACGGGTGGCGTCGTCTCCAGCAGCCTTCGGCTGCGTGACCGACCGGTTCTAGTAAACGCAACCGCCGGCAAACCTGGTGGAGGACTCTCACTCTGGAAACACGGTAACCACCAGCTCGTTCTCTAGTTTCAGACACCTCATACAACCCCCCCTGTGATCCGTCCCACGGGATCCACGCGATACCGGTTCTTTTCAACCTGGTTCTTGTTCTTTCAAAACTTAGTTGTTTTTTCCGTTTCATACGAACATTGCATGGAACAATGCCGCGCGCCACACTATTCATGCGCCGAGCTACTTTACAGTGTCGGTCCCTTAATGGGTCTTTATAAAGATACAGAAATCAATCAGCCATGATGATTCATTCTATAATTACGGCTGATTGCGCAGCAAATTATGTCACTTTTACTGCGCTTTCGGGCTCCTTTAGCAATGCAAGGTCAAAACAATGACCCTCGTTTGAGTACAGAAAGTAATTTCACCCCCCCCCCCGTAGCACCCATAATGCAATAGGGCTACGGTAACTTGCAAGCACAACATTATAGTATCGTGATGACTTCTGTATTGTGACATCCTCTTTATAATGGCTTTTTATCCCTCGCATATCATCTTAAATTGTCAACGCAGTAGAATACAGAGTCTGAGGTTTACGTATTCAAATCAAACGCTTATATTGACTATAATCATTAATCAGTCTCCTGTTCATACATTATTGCCGTCTGATCATGAATGGTGACAGCAGAGCTAAAAGGAATGGTCAATTAAATATTGAGTCGATTGAGAGAAAATCTACTACTCGTATCAATCATTTTCCGAGCCGAAAAACAAAACAGCAGCTCTTCACAATCGATCGGGCTGTTTAGTTTTTTGATGGAACCTCTTTTTGTTTTCACCTCTGAGTGCTTTGTGGTTGTGCGTTACTTAATAAAATAAACACTTAAATGACCTCACTGTTCTTTGAAGCTCAACATCACCAGGATTGTCAATTTCATGGAAAACATGATAATGTATTTTTCTGTTTATCCTACATCTCACTTTGGTCCATCAGCTGCATTTCAACAAATCTTTCCTCAAAACAGCGTGAGTGCATTTGTGTATGTGTGTGCGCGTTTGTGTGTGGTTGCAAAAGGATTAAACCGGACTGATAATCTATCAGCATATGGCTGCTGGTAAAAACACGACATTTAGACTGCGTGCTCATGCTGAATGTGCACACAAATACTTAACGTGAACATGTTTACTCCGTCCAACACGCAAAACATTATCTTGTGTTAATTCATATCGTCCCATCTAATACTCAACTAGAATAAAACAACTAGAAACACAATCAGTACATCAGTCATATTAAAAAAAGTTCGCATTATGAACAATCACTAATGGAAAACAACATATCTACACAACATAAGATGAGCATAGTTTAATACCAACAGTATATATAGATATATTCTGTGATGTTCTGAAATAAATAAATACGTGTAAAAGTGTAAAGGGACAGTTCTTACCTTTAGTAGCAAGCCTCAGACACTGCGTCTTAGTTTCCTAAAGAAAAAAAAGAGACACATTAAGAGCAACAGTCCTTCGTACACACAACACACCACAGCGTTAACAAAGACAATGTGACTGTGCACATATGCATCTACAGCACACGCACACATATCAGAAGTCATAACTGCTTAGTCAAAGCTGTGATGTGGTTCCAGTGTCCCTTTGAATGTGTACATGCAGTATATTTGTTCATAGCAGCAAGCAGGTTCCCTGTGTGTGTAGTGCTTCTTCCCACATATTTACACACCCTCTCCGTGCTGCTGACAGCCTGAAGGTAGATGTTGTAGTTCTTTCTCGGGGCCAGAGGAGGATTCCAGAAACCCTGGAGATTAAAAGAAATTAAGAGGACTTTATAGGAGACCAGACAGAGATGGATTATTTTGTTTGTCTCTGTTTCATGATATGTTATTATCTCATTTTTGGGAAATATGCTTTTTATATTTCTTGCAATCAGTTAAATGAGCAGATTGATGCCACTCATTATCTGTGCTCGTTATGAACATTTCATTTTCAAGTTTATTATCTAATTAAACAAATAAGCATGTTTCCCAAAATGTTGAACAGTGCCTTTAGAATTTTTTTTTCCTTTTTTTTTCCTTAGAAAAAATTCAATTGAATCTGGCATAAATGTTTTGTTCATTGTATTATATTTGTGTTTATCCAGGATGCAGGAACCTTTAGCAAAGTTGTTTACTAGTACACAATTTTCTCATAAAATGCTAAAAATGCATAAATTCTGGCACATATGGTTAAGACTTTTAAGATCAAGGCAGCTCCAACATAATTTCCTGTTGTCTGTAACTTTATATTTCCTCTGAGTGTATTTCACCTCCCTATTCTTCAGCATTTTACGCTACAAGTTTAATATAATTTCCATCTATTTTGCGTTCACCTGACATTTGTGCTGCTCTATGCACATAATCTGTTGCTCGGATGAAAAAAGTCTTGCCTGATACGTCTTGTTGTCTCCAACCGTGAAGGGGAGCGGCTCGGGCAGGTTGCTGGGGGACAGCTGGGCGGCATAATAATACGGAGATCCACCGCTAGACGCACTGTGGTAGGAAACTGGGACCTGAGAAAAAAGATATATTTACGATAAAATAATCTGACTACAAATCAACATAATAAGGTCCACTTTATACGAGTTGGGCTCTAAATGTCCGATGGTCTACAGAGGCAAATGGTGACTTAGTCTGAGATGTATTTGTCTGAGTGTGTAACACAGCAAACAGATACATAAAGAATAAATACACCCCATTAAGGCTGTAAACGCATGGCTCGCTAATGGCATGAGATTAATTAAAGAGATTTATATCACCTCAAAACAGTCGGTGGAAGCCTGACGACGCGTCCGCCGAGGATTCACTTCCTCGACCACAATCTGGTAGGCACTGTCGAAGAGAAGAAGGGTCATTCAAACACATTAATAAATGACTCTTGGTTGTCAGGATATTTGAACTGCACTGGACACGTCACCGTACCTTATAGGAGCTCCCTTGGCCTGGGCAGGTTTGAGCAGGATAGTGATGGTTGTGGCCGTTTCATTCAGAAAGGCCTCCGTCCCGTCGTACTCATCTATTGTCGGTGCTGAGGAGAGCAGGAGTCCGTATTAGCGTCTGCTGACATTAAACATGACGGCGAAAAAGAAAGTGGTTTGTCTTCTACCTGAAATATTAGTCGTCACGTTGAGTGTGGCCGCGGTGCCAAACCCTTTGGAGGTGGACGCGCGTATGGAGAGCTGGTACGTGACGCCCGGGTGGAGCTGGGAAAAGAGGTGGTGTGTGGCGTTGGAGGCCAGCGTGGTGGACCCCGGCCGCTGGAGAGGCACCGAAGGGTCAAAGGAGCGCACGCCGCTGTAGCTGATCTGAGGTCGGGCAGCAGAGAGACACGAATCAGAACTGAACATTTTCAGACCTCCACCCGTCGCTGCTCCCGATGCTTCGGCTTAGGGTACCTCGTATTGCATGAGGACTCCGTTGGGCTCAGCTGGCTCCTTCCAGTAAAGAAGAATTCGGTCTTCAAATGGAGTGGCTCTTAGTGACTGACTGGGAACTGAGCCTGGAACTGTTAACGCACACGGACAAAACAATGAAATGTTCATAAAAATCACTGCAGAAGAAGGTGAAGGCGTCTCTTGTAAATGCATTACAACAGCATGGAAGCAAACAGCAATCTGAAACCTGTTCATGTGTATCTTAAGTTATAGTTCAAGAGTCTATTTAATTATAATGTGGCTTTCCCAGAAAACAACAGCAACAAAAGGTACATCTGAGCCTTTGCATTTGCTCCCAGTGGCCCTTTGTGTCCCCTTAATTGTCAGAGTAACTAAGTAAATCTAAGCACCGCAGCATTAGAAGCCTTTCATGCTTTCCCCTAAAGGAAGTGGAAGTGGAAGTGAATCAGATGACATTTTGAATACTAAAGTTTGAATTTATGTTTGAGCAAAAAAGGAAAAACACAAACTTTTTTAGAAACAATAATGACATTACACAGGTTTTGGTGTGCGTGTGCTAAATTGGTATGTCAACAGTCATGCAACACATACATAAAGATACGAATGATGCGACTGAAGCAGCACACGGGAATAAAAAGTGTGATTTGCGTCTCATACCATCTTCGTCGGTCTGTATGACGGTCTCGTCGCTCTCTTTCCTTCCCTCCGGATTGGTCAGAATCATCTTCAGGCTGACGTTGGTGTAGGGGGGCAGGTTTCCCACCAGGTGGCGCGGCGCTGAGAATACAAAGTAAAAGAAAAGAAATAAACAAGGAATAAATGGACGAAGCAAAGCCCGTGCCATCAGTCGAGGTGAGCCCTACCTTTGGGGTCCATGTCCAAGCAGCCGGCCTTGCTGCGGTTGTTGGCAGTCATGTAGTGGTAGCAGATGGTGACGTTGAAGGTGTGACAGCGCGTGATGTTGTAACCCAGCGACTCCCAGTCCACCGCTATCAGACGGGACCTGGTCTCCGCGATCTTCAGACGCTTAGGAGTCCGCATGGGTTCTGCGCCGAGGGCAGAGGGAAGAACACCGAGAGTTGCGTCAGTAAAGCCCGGCAGAAGGCGCGAGCGTTGGGGCGCCGCATTCTGCCCGACGGGTACGATGCTCTAAGATGACTCACGGAAATGTGAAAGTACAGAAATTACAAATGTTTACTTAAATTATCGCGTACAGTCGGTGTGAGAGGCAATTGTGCTTCGCCTCGCCAAAGAAAGAGCGACGATGCTGAGTCAACTTTTTCTCCGCTGCCATTAAAGCATTTCTCAAATAACTTCTAAGAGGCACCTCTTTTATGTGATATCAGAGCGGGTATTGTCAATATAATCCACCTTCTCTTCAGCCTGCCCAGGGCTTTAATTACTCTAAATGGCTCATTTATCTGGATCAATAGGCCTCCAGAACCCACCTACCCACCTCTACAGACACACACACACACACACACACATTCAAAGGCAAAACCTGCAAACACAAACCCTTTGCCCATCTGCTCCTCCCCAGCTCACATCAGGCTCTACATCCTCATGAGATTTGACTTACTTTACCGATCAGCTGCATGTGTTTAAAGGAAATAGTACAAATATTTATGACTATTTCAAAGTTAACTCCAACACTGATCTCCCAAATTAGCTGTGTAAATCCCCAGAGGCAAGTGGATTCTACCACTGGACCACCGGAACAAATCTAATTGAAAGTTGTGCCTATTGTTCCGTCACCTGTTGGTGCTGCTTCCTCCTCGCTCTCTCAGGAAGTCGCTTGCTTCCTTATGTCCTCCCAGGATTGTTTTAATAAACACAGCTCCCCTTAAATAGAGAGGCAAGTCTCTCCCCATCCCCTCCGTGTCTCGCTCTCGGTTTTTCTCTGGGTCTTCCTCTCTCAGAGGAGACAACACAAGGACACAAACTTGTCGCTTCTGACAACCTATTATCTGCCCGTCACTCACACACACACACACACACACACACACACACACACGCACGCATGGACAATCTCACACTTGATTATTACCCTAATACACACAAGGGAGTGTGTGTGTGTGTGTGTGTGTGTGTGTGTGTGTGTGTGTGTGTGTGCGCGCTGCAGGATGTGACAAAAATCAAGATTAAATCTGTGCAGAGCACGTATAGGTGTGTTCTTCTCATAATAACAATGCATTGTCAAGGACAAACACACGCACACACACACACACACACACACACACACACACACACACACACACACACACACACACAGCTGTAAGTGAAATACAAACATGTTGACGTTGTTCAGTCATTTAGATGTAAATTGCTCACTAATAAAGAGATGCACAGACATATGAGAGAAAATGAGAAGGAAAGAAAGGTTGTGAAGACACACGGGAAGGTAATGGTGTTTTGTGCAAATGTTATTGTTATTGTGTGTGTGCGTGTGTGATTCTGTGTGTGTGTTTATGTGTGCTCTAGCAGCTGGAGGGTCAGGGCATTTCATTGTCAACTGTTATTGGAGGGTTGACATTTAAATAGAGCGTGCTTTCTCTGTCCGTCTCTCTCCCCCACTCGGCCTCCTCCTGTCTGTCCTTCTGCCAGTTTGTCTTCCTCTGTCTGTCTGTCCAGTTTAAATCAATACTTGCAATCCTCCCCATAAACTTTGCTATTAGGACACACACAGACACACACACACACAAACACAGAGTTAGGTCAGTGCAATAAATCGTATTGATTTCAGGGTTTCTTGATCCCAATGCTGCTTCACAGGGAGACACGGCATTAAAACTAAATGTATGACTGGCTGCCTGTCACACACACACACACACACACACTTACATTTCAAAACTCCATCCCTGCCTCGGCTCAAAAAACATTGCTGCATACGTGAAAGGCAGTGGGGAGCAAAAGGTGGGAGGAGAGACGATGAGAGAATACGAAACAAATACAACACAAGAAAACGACAGGAGGGCAAAGAGAGTAACATAGAAACCGAGTGAGGAAAAGTGTAAAGACAAAGCGACGCATGGAAAAATGAAACCGGTGCTGCAGGGACCCATTTGCTCTTTTTAGAGCAGAGAGAGAAACGGAAGAGAGAGAGAGAGATGCGAGAGGGGAAGAAAGAGGCGGAGAGGAGGAACGGGGAGAGACGATAACTAGTTTGGAAGGTGGCCAGAGTGAAGCGGGACCAGGTCCAACAGTAAACCACAGAGGGCGCCTTGTCCCTTTCCCCTCCTCGGGTAGACACGCAAAGAGCTGGATTCATGTTGGAACTAAAAAGGCTTTGTTCTCCACAGACGGAAGCTTTGAAAAAACAACAACAATGCCCGCAAACTCTGACAATAACGCCGAGGACGGCGAGCTTCATATCAGCGGAATCCAGAGGTTGGAATTAAAGAACGGAAAACAAAGGGAAATGAAACTAGAATGAAATATAAAAATATAAAAAAAGCCCACAAATATACAGTTAAAAGACCACAGAGGAGGAGGAAGGTTGAAGAAAGGCAGAGAATGAAAGAGGTTGGGAGGGAGAGTGGGGGGCAGAAAAGGTTGACAGGAGATGCAGCTAAATCCGAGTTAATCTGTCCAATTAGTTCGTGGTAATCCTTCTGCTGTCATGAGGAAGACAAATGAAACCCCGTCTCTCGTACTCTCATTTTCTCTCGGCGTGTCTCTGGGCCGCATTTAAGCACATGAAAGGTTCAAAGTTACGCAGCAGCTTTCATTCAATTTGCACTGTGTATGAGCTACGCGGAATCGATTGTGATTGGCCGACGAAAAAGCCAAGTGGCGGGATTATCAGTCGGGTGGTCAGAGATCAACGAGCTCAGAAGAAGACATGAACGAGGTGACAAGCGCTTTATATTCATTAGACAAACTTCTGGTGATATGAGAGGGGGATCTAAGTAGCGGATGTGTGGCGCCTCACAAATGACAAATATTGTTCTCATATATTATTATATAGCTTTTATGCACAGCTTTTCTTTGGGGGGGGAGGACACAATCAGGGAGAATCGTTCTTCCCGGGTCTCCTAATTTGCACGTGACTATTAAAAGATTGATTCAAAACATCAACATGTTTCATGAACACGATGTCTCTCGGCTGCCGTTTCAAGGGCTTGACCCTTCAAGCTGCTGACAGTGTGCGTGCGTCTGCACATATATGAAAAGAGTACATGGGATATATTGTGCGTTATTGCTATAACAGTTGCCCTTGTGTGTCTGGGAATGTGTGTTTTGTGATTCCATTCTTCCATTAATCCAAGCGATGCTGAGTTTGTGCAACATACGAGAAATACTCTCAACTGTGTGTGTGTGCGTGTGTGTTTGCACCCCGTCTCGATGCTGCTAAGTGTGTCCCTCCTGTGCGTGCTCACGCCTCTCAGTGTGAGTCCGTGGGTTTGTGTTGGTGTGTGTGGGTGTGTAACCTGGCATGACCAAGGGGTTTTCAGCGGAAAATACAGGATTTGGATTAAAAGCTACTTTATCACCTACTTCTGTCTCACACTCTCTCTCACACACCCACACACACACTCAATTGAAGTTGATTATTTTTCACCCTTCTGAAAAGAGCAATGAATCACCACTGAAGAAAAATGAAGAGGAGGGTGGAGGGAAGGGAAGACAGGGGGAGCTTGGGAAGGAGGTAGAAGGGGAAAAGTGAAGAAGAAGACATGAAAGGAGAAAAGGGAAGACAGTAGGTCTTATCATATCAATTGCTCTGCCGTGTGTGTGTGACTTGCATCAACTTTAGTATTTTTTTAATAAACACGCTGCCTCGCTTGGGCTCAGGCCTGGTCTTGGTGCACACATTTCCCAGTGCGAGCGTGTGTGCGCTGAACTAAATATTCAGTGAACTACAGGTGGTGGGATGAGACAAACCTAACCAAACAGAAAAAGCAAAGGAATCATTAACATTTAAATAACATTCCTACCTTTTGTGTGTCAACAAATACACACACACACAAGTCTCCAGGTATGTGCTTGCGTGCGTGTGTGCTATTATTTGTATGGATACAGCTGTGTGTGGGAGTTTGAATGGCCGTAATCAAAGTTTAAGGAACTGTGTCAAATTTGTAGAGCATTGTATTCAGCGTTTGCATTTTATGTACTCTCAATTATGCAAACGAGTGTTTTTACACTTTACAACATAGAAAAAGAACGAACTATGCGAACAATTTGTTTTTTTGTGAACATACACAGGTGCGATTTGGTCAATGGTTGTATGAGATGTCAGTTGGCATAAACGGAGTAAATAGAATAGAAGTTGTGTATTGTTTTGTCGATCCGTACAAAAGCCAAAGTGTAACAAACGTTATTAATCTAGAATCTCTTGGCTGGTTGTTGCCCCTGCGAGGTTGCTAGGCAACCAGCGGAAACTGCAACCGGTCCGGCGCGCGGCAGTGCCGATTGTGCAGAGCAACATCCAGCGGCATCAAGCGAAGAGCGCTTCGTCAGGACACTCGCTCCAGTGCGAGGGCCCGAAGAGATGGAGATCACGGAGGAGAGAAGACTGTCTCCTCCCGAGACAAACGTTCAGATACAGAGGATGGTTTGTTGCAATGCACTAAACTCATGAAGGCATCTCTCTGCTTTGGTCTGATGTGAACACATTACGTGGCTCATAACGAGCTACTGTCTTTGACTGCGTGAGGAAGATTCATTTCCTTTTCCTGTCAAACGGGAAACTGTTCAATACACGAGGCGCCTGATCAAGTCTATGACTTCCTCTCTGCCAATAAACACACACACTCTCACACACAGGTTGGCAGACATCGGTCAGGCCCTGTGGTTATGAGTTTTCATTTCTCTTTCATTTTCATTCTCCAGTTTCATCATTCTCTCGCCCCCCCCCCCCCCCCCCCACCGCTTCTATTCTCTGCTCTCTTTTCCAGCCGTATTGTTTTTAATCATTTCTCCATCACTCCTTGATTCTGTCTCTCATTCAAGCTCACTGCTTTTTCTTTCTTTCTGTCTCTTTCTCTTGCATATCAGCCGCCTCCCGATAGCTCCTCCCCTCCCGCGGGCGAGCGGTGTTGTTATATTTCGGTCGTTTATTTCTACAAATGTCAGACAGTGTTTCTGCCTGCAGTCTATTGAACACAAGAAACAGAAAGCATTTGGGAGGGAGAGGCAATCAGAAAGAAGGCACGGTGACACGCGAGGAAGTAGAAAAAAAGAGATGCGCAGAAGGTACGCGAGAGAGGGAGGGAGGCCGCGAGAAATCAGCAATCAAGGGAGAGAACCGAAGGAAGAAGCAGGATGAAACGTGAGAAAGGTGGAGGGAGCCTCCCGTATTTGCATCACTGTTTCTCTCTCATCACCGAGCGACCACAGGCCGGCTCAACGCTCTCGCCGCCTTTCCTCTGCCGTTCCTTTCCTCCCGACACATCGACACCCCCCCCCCCCTTCCCCGCCTGCTCATTGTCTAAATATCACTCGCGCCAGTTAAAATGCAGATACCAAAACAAAGTAAACAGGCGGGTTGATGGGAGGAGGTGTCCTTCGTGTGCTGATGTCCTACCTGCGCATTTGGTGCGGGTGATGAGCGGGGGTCCGGCTTTGCCCGTCCCCCCCTCCCCTGGTCGGGTTAGTAAGACTCGGATCTCGTACTCGGTGTCCGGGTCGAGATGCCATAACTTGTAGTTGGGGGAGGTCACGGCGTGAGTCTCCGTCCAGCTGCCCGACGTCATACGGTACTCAACCTAAAAGGACATGATCGCATATTACATACGACAGTTACTTGAGGGGTCCAGTGTTCATCGGATTGCATGCTAGTAATCTAAATGTCAGTATTTATTACAAATGCATTCAGTGATGAGCTTTGAGACGAGCATCGAGTTGAAACCCGCGATCCACGTTAAAGGCATAGTTTGATATTTAGTTCCAGTTCCTTTCTAGTTTTTGCCTCCAAACTACCAGGCAACCAACAGGACTCCAGGAAGTTACTGGTCCCAGTCAAGAAAAAGTCCAGCCCGTAAACAGCTTATTGCAATGTTCACGCTTTAGTTTTTGTACACATCAAACAACGACTGCTTCAAAATAAAGCATACCGGGTCTCTCACTGAACGTACCTCTTTCAGTATAATGGGACCATCTCCGAATATGGAGTTAGCATTCAGCTGAATCAGCAGATATGTGGGGCCGACACCCAGCAGCTGGGGCGGGGCGATGGGGTGCGGAGGCTCTGCGGAGAAAAGACGAAATCATAAAAGAGAACTGTTTTTAAAAAGCCTCGCAAGATGATTGAAACCATTTTAAACAAGGTCACAAGGTCACGGTGGGACAAGGCCTCATTACAGAGTTTAAGTTCCCAGTGGCTGAAGTGATTTTGAGCTCCAGCGTCGTCCATTATGTGTGCACAGAAATGTGTGCTTTGTCTTGCAGACATAGTGTAGGTGTCTGGAATGGAAATGTTTGCAAGAGCTTAATTCAGACATGACAGGATTCTTACAGAAAAAAATGCCACAATGCATCAAAGTGAATGCTCCGATACCATCAGTTTAATCTTTAATTGTTATTAAAAGAGTGAATTTCTTCAGCCTATTTGATGAAGTCCGTCAGTGCACAAGCAGGAAATGATAACATGCAAAGTTAACCGCTTTTGCCGCCAGGCGTGAAGAGAAATGTCTTAGAATAATCTGATGTGAGCAACTAAAGATTGTCTCTGCACAAAGTGATGTCGAAAGTGAAAAACTAGGGACAAGATTGTCAGATTGGTGCAGTAATTTCTATGTGCAAGGGACTTCCATCCAGACATGTTAAATTGGAATCATTTTAAAAAGGTAACTTCAGTATTTATCGATCTGGGCCTTGTTTTCCTAAGCTTCCTGAGGTCCAGTTTCTACTGCATGCTCAGCTTCCTATTAGAATCATCTGGAAACATGACGGTGAGACTTAACACTTTCCTCTTTACCTTTTGCTTGATCTGGATTGTTATTATTGCTGTAATTATCTTAAACTTGTCTCAATCGGAAGTGCCGAATCACATGCTCATTTTCCACATCAGCAAATGATTCATTCAAATTCCCTTTCAACCACCTTAACCTACTTGGGTAAGAACATACAAAGATTTTTATTGTCAATTACACACGCCCCGTGTATTGAAATTCTTGTGCTTGCCTTTTCTCTTACATTCGAATGTTGTTGATGTCACAGACAGAGTAATTCTTGTACCATGTATACGTTGTGCTTTTCCACCAACACATATAGCCGTGTGCTACGTCCTGCGGTGCTCACAGTCAATGCCAGCAGCGTGTTTGTACCTGCATGTTAATGTGACGGATGTGCGATGGTTCAGGGCCAGTCACTCAGATCAGAGCTCAGTGTCCCGCATCTCTGATTGACAAGCCAAAATCACATCACACGCACGTACACACACAACCACGAAACACGCTGCATCAAAGATTTATCTACTTGACACATACACACATAGATCAACACATGAATTAATCACACACACACACACAGTGGTTTATCTCACATACAGTGAATCATACGGATTTAATTCCAGCCACGTTGTCAAACACACCACCAGGCTCAAATAAAGATACGGAAAAATTAGATTTTTTTTTGCAATCTAGCTTCAATCCAATCACATCAAAGTAAATATTCTATAAAATGATATGCGTGCACATGTGTGTTGATGTGCATGTTGTTTCTTTAGTATCTATATTTTGCATTGCTGGCAACTCGTTTTCTCTTTGCATGGGTTGAATGTGGCTGTCAGAGAGGTGCAGGCTGGGAAGTGTCTTTTTAGCAACAGATGAAACACTGCAGTTTGACAGCACAAGCAAGTAAAGAGACACACACACAAACACACACACACGCACACACACGCATCCAGACAGAGTTGAATCCAGATAATGAATGTTGAAGCGACTTTAAAAAAAACGGCAACGTCAACAACCTGTCATCGTGCAACGCCATCAAATAAACAAAATCAACAACTTGATGATTAACAAATAAAGAAATAAGCTCAAGGATAAATATATTTGAGTGTATACATATATATATATATATATATACACACACACACACACACGGTAGGTCTAGCTGCTTGCAGACTGTGTATTAACTTGATATTTGCGTTTTACTCAAAAAATGTAATCTTTAAAAAGATGAATAATACAGATGGAATGAAACAGTAAGTGGGTCATTATGCGACTCCGGAGAAAACAATAGCTGCATTGGGTTCATGCTTTTCATTTCCTTCGTCTTCCCTTTTATTTTTGTTCCATCACTTGTCATTTGTACTGTTGACCTAAAAAACAATCCGACAAATCATCAATGGTGTTGTTTTTGCGAGGGATTTTTTGTTGTCACCATCTTTTTTATTATTAATCACACGTGTGAACCCTCTCATCATTTCTCATCTTTATGGGTCAAATGTAAATGTTAATAACAAAACAAATCAACATCGGGGGAAACTTCAAATGGGCGTGTTGTTTTCCGACCTGACCCGTCTCTGTGATTCATTTGGGGTTTTTTCACCGTCGATCACTCTCTTCACTCATATTAGAATTGAAAACTACTCCAGAGGCCTTGCTGGAGGGTTTGGCAATTCTTTGAGATAAGACTTATGACGCAGTAAACAAACAATGAGAGGGAGAGAGAGCGAGAAAGGAAGAGGCCGGGCGGGTTTTCTGTTGGTGACCGGCGCCCACCAGGCATGTTCTTCTTTGTTGTCCATCGTCAGCAACCTTGTCAATAAAGTTTACTATTCACAAACTGCTGCTGACATCACCGTGGAGCTCACTGGAGGACATCTGACCTCCAGAGCACGAGACGAGTAAGTGTGTGTGTGTGTGTGTGTGTGTTTCAGCCGTATCGACAGCCAACAGTGGTAGTAGGTTTCTATAGTTCCATAACGCCCGGAGCTTCACTTGTCACAGTAACTTAGAGTGAGCGTGTGTGTGTGTGTGTGTGTGTGTGCACGTGCAAAAGGTTGAAAAGAAGAAACGGGCATTACAGGAGTGAACTATTACAGATTTAAGACAGTTGTGCGTCCTCTTAGGTCTGATACATGTGTCCGTGCATGTGTGTGACAATAATATTGCAGGAGCTTTTTAGGCCATGAGTTGTGTTTAATGCATGCTGGCATGGCGTCTGTGTGTGTGTGCATGTGTGTGTGTGTGTGTGTATGTGAGTGTGATAGGAGCTGGCGGGATGATGCGCTCTGTCACCGTAGGAACCAGAGGGCAAGGCTTTATTGGAGTTCAGTTCTGACCAAACCACAAGTGACACAAACACACAAACAAATACACACAGTCAGACTCTCTCAGACCTCTTTGTCTGTCTCACACACACACACACACAATTCAATTAACTGTTGGTGAACTGAACATCGAGAGTAGAGCTTCTTTGATGTTCAAGAAAGGTTTAGGGTTCATTTACTGCGTTTGCAAAATGGATGAGCTCCAGATGATGAAGAGGAGGAGCACTACTGATGGAAACCTCACAATACGCTTCATCTGACTCCAATTCGTGAAGATAATGAGATTTTATTATTTGGATTATTTTAAAATCGATTTGAATGTCTTCCATTTATAATCTTATAATATAATCTTATAATATTTCTGAATATTAAATATTTGGGGAATTTAAAAATAAATAAAAAAATGACAAAAAATGAAAACATTTACATGCCAAACTCAAGTGAGAGTTGACCGCTATTTCTCTTACCCGGTTGGTGAATCGAATACAACGGCTTTCTATAACCTGAATATCTTAAAACTGAATATTTCACCTTGTGCTCTGGACATTCTTCTGACAAAGATAAATAAATCATTGGAGAAATAATTAGCAGTTTCAATAATAGAGAAATTGTCATATTTCTGCTCAAGGAAGAAGAAAAAAACCCGCATGAGAATAAGAACAATCTGGGAATCACTTGTCCCACCGTTCATGCTCCCATGATGCATCTCTGCTTCAATAAAATGTGCTTCTTTTCTCTGATCTTGGCAGCTGCAGCACACACAGAGGGAGACCATCGCTGTCATCTACATATTATACATATCAATAGACCTGGGCCTGTGCATACCTGCACCCAGCAGACCACTTTCAGGCTCTGAAGATAAATACCGGCTTACTGTCAAACATTTTTTATATATACAAGTCATGTTTTGGCGCTTTCCTATGTTTTCTTTGCTCCATTTTCTGTTGATCGGATCTGTACCAGATTTTTTACTCCACCAGTAATCCTCCCTCATACTTCTTCCTCTCTTCAATTTCCCAATAAATAAATATTTAAGCACAATATTCAGAGCAAAACCATTAATAATGCAGCTTAACGCTGTCCATATTCATCGCTGTCAATGTCCTGCAGGAGCCTCAAATTTCCAGCACGCATACTTGTCTTACGGAGGGAAATAAACATATTCCCTGGTCCTTTGATTTTTCTCCGACTCTCATCTCCTATCTGATATTTCTAATAAATAAACATGAGGCTCATCTCCTTCAACATTCATACACGTAGTCTTTAATTGTTATATCTTTCTTTTTTCCCATTGAACCAGCCTCCGGATCAATATTCATATTTGGCAATATCCCTGAGAGCTCTCAAAGCATGTTTTTTACAGATCGAGAAAGCCAGCGCGTTTCTTTCAAAGGCGACGCCCGGCTGTGAAACAGAGTCGCTCCGTGTGTCTTATTAAACCTGAACCTATTTTCATATATGTAGATTGGTCCTGTTCCTCCCGCTGTGCAGATTCCCCCGACTCGCTCTCCTGCCCGCCGCCTCACTTTCAAAAAGATGATTCATGATAAATAAAAAATAGCCACTTAAGTATTCTTACCAGCATCCTCAACCTTGGCAGAGTTAATCTCCTGCTCAAGCGACACAGAGACTTGATTCCCTAAACTGGACGACGTAAGAGCTCCACTATCCGAGCCGCAGTGAATTTATATTCATGCTGCTCGTCCCGGCTTTGATTTCTCATTTCTTCCCTGTCTGTTATCTCTTATGCAGAATAATAAACATAACTCTCCTCCGCTGTTTACATATTCAGACACATTCCTGATTCTGATATGGATATTCTGGAGATAATGAGCAGACTATTTACATTGAATTTTTCCTCACTGTCACCACTTCTCTCTTTGCATCTCCTGGTGCCTCCCCCACCCCTCCTCCCCCACCTCCTCCCACACCCTCCTGCTCCTTTCTGTCTCCCCCTTATCATTCTTTCGGAGTCTCTTTCGCCTTCACCCTCTCCTCTGCCCTCCCCCCCGTCTCTCTCTCTCTCTCTTTCTCTCTGTGGGGGATGAATGGAATATGTAAGCTTTCGGATGGGAATGAATAAAGCATCCCGTCTCAAACACACATTGGTGACACCTTATTAACCACACGTCAGCTGCACGTGACAGCTGGAGCACACACACATGTGCGCGTAGACACTAAAGGCAGCTGCTTCACACGCACACAAGCAGCTACACACATCTAAATATACTCACACAGAAACTCCCCTCATTAGTCTATAGTGGGTTAGTGACGTATCAGTCAGACACAGTGAGTGCACATTTGATTTCATTTGACATCCCCAAAAAATAATAAACAATAAAAGAAGCTTTTTATATCCTCACCTCGAACGATGAGACCCGCAAAGTTGGACACGCCGGAGCCGCGCTCTGACTGAGTGACGCAGCGGTACAGGTCTTGATCCTGATTGGTGACTTCTTTGAGGTGGAAGGAGGCGGCGAACCGTCGGTGGTTGATGTTCTTCGTCAGAGCCACGGGAATATCTTCTCCGTTTCTCCTCTGAGAAGATAGAAAAACAACACACAAGAGGGGAATCAGGCGCTGCAGAGGCTCGTAAAAGGGGTTAACTGCCTTGCTCAAGGTCACCAAGGTTAGCACTGGACCGCACACGCGCAGGCTTAAATACACACACACGCACGTATGCAGCACTCACACCTCTCCTCTGCCTCACTGACAGCAGGTTTGAAGGTCACGGCTACAATGGAGCCATAATGAAATCAGCAGCTATTAGACTCTTAATCATGTTAGCTGCTATGGCCTGGGGTAACTCTGTGTGTGTGTGTGTGTGTGTGTGTGTGCACATGCAGGTGTAACAGCTGTACCTGTAGCCAGAGTTTATTGCTCGATGTGTCCCGTCCCGTCGCTATGCACTGAAAGGTGGCGTTCTGTCCGGCGTTCACCTCCACGTCCCCGAGACGCAGGAAGTGAGGGGATTTATCTACAGAGCACAAAAAAAGTCACACGCAGTTCACACGCATGAAATAGTTTTGGTTTTTTTGTTGCTTCATCCTATTTGTTCGCTCAAAGTGGAGACGAGGTGACGGAGCCAGAGGGAGGCGAACGCGTCGCGTCATCACAAACGCGCCGTGAACCTTTCAGGATACGTTCCAACCCGAGGGAATACGTGATTACTGCGATTACATTTTACTGGAGTCAAATGAAAAAAAAAAAAACAGTGCTAGGAGGCAACATCAGTGTCACGTCCACTACATATGTTTTTCCTGTAGCTCGCCATTGTTAACGACGGAAATAAACAGTCCTTTTTGAGCCCGGAGATGCAGATCAGCTATGAAATTCTTATTCTGGAGAGGAGATTGCTAATCACACTCACACTCGCCTGCACGCAGGCATTCAGGCAAACACACACACACACACACACACACACACACACACACACACACAAACCTGTGTCCAGAAGTGCAGCTGTGAGAATGAATGCTTCCACTGTGGAGACTAAGTACTAATTGCTAATTCCCATTAGGAGTCCTGCTCCTCTGCCTTTTAAAAGACCGCGGCCCTTCTTTTCACACTTCTAATATTCAGGGTCACTTCGGTGACCAAATGAAGGTCCAGGAGTTTCTGTGAGGAAACCTATTGCCTAATGCTGGACAACAGCGGCACCCGGACCTCACAAACTGTACACGGGGCCGGTGCGGGACAGTTTGTCATCGTGACCGTTAATCAATAGAATCTATTAAGAAACAAAACTGTCCTGAGAGATTTCAGCGCCGCAGCGAGACGGACGAGCGAAATGAGTTGTAATTGTTTCCTTTGAAGCAGAGCGGACCCTCCGGCAACCTGCCTACGGCTCTAGATTAACAGACCCTTCTGTTAACGCCAGCGGTTTGTCGTCACGTCTCTTTCTGGCCTCTGGAAGCAAGGAAACACTCACGCGAAGGAGAGAAGACGACTCGAGACGTAGCGGGAATTTAAAATGGGATTGCAGCCCTCATCTCTTTCCTCGGTCGGTATGAGACAAGACAGCTACTGTTCACGGTGTGTGTTTGTGTGTGTGTGTGTGTGTGTGTGTTGAAGATAGAGAAAGTGCTGACTGGTCAGAATCTTCTCTTTCGCTATGATTGCCCTAAAACTGTCTCATTTCCCGCTTCACTCTCTCCTATTCTCTCTTTCTCTCCCCCTCGCTGCCCCCCCCCACAGCTCCTCTCCTGTGTCACCTTTCCACTTATCTGCCCGTTCAAGTGCAACGGAAACCATCCCAGGTACAGTCTAATTAGTGGCCAAAGCTATCAGCGTCTATTCAGCGAACTAGGACTAATTGCTGGCATGCTAATGACTCACCGCACGGGTAGCTCAGCACCTGAATGTCGTCGATGGCGATGAAGCCGGCTTTGCTGTCCGAAACCTCTGCTTCAAATATGACCTGGGGGAGAAAAGAAGAGACACAGCGCTCGCTATCACGGTCTCCATTGCCATCGCTAGTATATATCATATTTAAGAAATGCAATCCTCTATTTAAACAGTGTCATTGAGATTTGGCACATAAAAATAATCAAAATACAACCACAGCAAATACATGTTTCTCCTGGCATCAGCATTTCTAATGTAACTTACATAATCATCGATATCTGTGCCTAACCTAATCAACCATGAAACCACTTAAGTATCGTTACCCAGCCAGCAGCCGGAGGCCTTCTGGCCGTTGCTATTTACATTTGCAGTCAAAGTGAAGGGTCCAAAGGTTTGACAGGATGGATAGAAAGTCAGTGACAGCTGCTGTGCACTGAATTGGATGAGTACAAAGGTGTCCCCCTGCTGGATTTACACATCCAGGCCAACAAGCCACGATGGATGAATCAGACACTTCCTGTTGGATCGTAATAATCACATTAAAGAAGGGAAAAAGAACATGGAACCGGCCGCAGTTAAGGTGCAGAAGGGACGGATTGGGCCCATCGATTACTTTTCTTACCCAACCATTATGTGTTTCAACGCACTGAAAACCAGAAGCACAAAGAAGAGCGACGGCGCTCAATGGGGAACTCGATGCTTTCTGGCCGTGTGATGCTGACCTGTTACAGTGATGTTGCATTCAACCGGTGCCTCCATTCAGCACCACCTCATTCCATCACCTTGTGGTCTGATTACTTCTTCCTCTTACTCCCTCCCTCCTCTTTTTCCACACGTTAGCCCATTTCTCCAATCACCGTGTATCTTTAAAAAATAACACATGAATAACTTCCACCCAAACTCACCGACCTGTGTTTGCTCAGAGAGGTGCGCTGTAATGAACAGGGAGGAGGTCGCTGTGACAAAGTGAAGCCGAGGGAGACACAGACTGTGTTTGGTGGAGGGGGGGGGGCGTTGTTGTCATTCATCACCAGTAAAAAGGAAATCTGCCGTGAACTGTTTACCCATAGCTTATCATCCCCTGCTTGTCGTACCCCCCCCCCTTCCCATCTCCTCCTCCCCCCTACCAATCTATCGTGTCTCTCCACCCCATCATCTCTCACTCATAGCTCGCTGCCGAGCGAAGGCACAGAGACGTCGGTTGACTTTTAATACCTCCCATCGCCGCCTGTCTGAAATCTGGCTTTCCCACCCGCCCACGTCGGATGTCAAGTTGTTGCTTGTTATTGCGGCCACGTCTGTCCCGGGAGCAGCAGCGTCGGGACCTTGTGGCTCGTCCTTTGTGTATTAATACGGTTTTGAATATGAAATAAATAAACCTTGTGGGAAAAAAAGTCTCTGAATGGTGTTTCACGGCCGTCCCGGTCCGAGACTCGCGTCTCCTTTTAGTGGCTGGAGCCTTTCTGATGATTGTACAAAGCTCTATTGGAAACGGACTCCACAACGCATCAGGTCACCAATTCCTTTGCAGAACTTTGGCCACGGGCCGCCTTTGCGTTCTGTGATTCGTCGGCCCCCAGATGCACGTTCTCCTCTGGGGAGACGGCGTTTTTTCGATCCTGTCGGTTGTCGAGGACTCGCTGCCTGACTGGTTGCATCGGCGCGCGGAAGGATTACTGATAGCTCGGGTTTACAAGTTCTCGCATGGGGAAAACAACCCAGATACGCTGAAGGCTGAGGACTGACACATCATCACTCCGGAGTGGGGCAGGACGATAGCGAACGTCCTCTTATCGGCTAATGGCATATGTCATTTTGATGCATGCAGGTAAGGCCGCCGAATCAACCATGTTTAAACCTGCAGACAGGAAGTATTTTCTCCCCTTCGTGTTGTAATTGGCATCCTCAGTCACAAATCCTCTGGGTTTAGGGCACAGCGTTGTTTTTATTACTTCATCATCCTGTTCGTAGCCACCTGAGGCAGTTGTATTTAAATGACCCAAAGCTTAAGGTACTGAAGGAAAAACAGAGCAGTGAGTTTAATGATAGAAAGAAAAAGGAATGACGGCGCCTCGGATACTTTAACTCATAATTAAAAAAAAGTTTTAAGAATTTAATTATCCACTTCACAAAAAAACAACTAAATGCCAGTTTCCTTCAGTTTAAGATGGCAACTTTAAAAGTATTTTATAGTCTGACCAAAAGTCCAGAACCAGGATATTACATTCATTAACATTTACTAACTTGACCTTTCTAAACCGCTTATTTAAACGTCATAAACACGCAACACTGCAATTTCTTGGGTAAAAACATTTTGTTATGTGTAACGAATATCCAAATAGTTGTCAACTTGTTTTCGGTTAATCATCTCAAATGTTCTACTGCCGTCTTCAAGGAACACAATCATCATCCGAAAGCCAGTTTTCATACAAAATAAACTTTAAATAAAGACAAAACTGTAATTACAGTGTCTGAATAGTGCTGCATGGGTGTGCCTTTCGTGTGTCCATTAATTCCGGCGTGCATGTGTGTGGGTCTGCATTGTCCCCAGTCCCATTACAACTCGAGCTAAAGTGCTAACGCACAAACATGCTCCGACATGACAAAATGGCTTCATATCCTCAAATCCAATAACCGGTTTCATAGCCTGAAAAAGCCACATAAGCCTCGACAAACTGGGATGATTATGTTCAATTAAAACATGTTGACACACGAGTTTCATGCTGGTGATCTGGTCCCGTAGTCACTGAGGGGCGCTGGGCTCCAGATGGGCCGTTAGGAGGATGCTTTCACACTTCGCCTTGCAGTAATGTTACGGGGTCCCCGGGCTCTGTGTGTTAACATGATCAGTGCGTGTGTAAGCCCCCCCCCCCCCTCCACTTCCGCCTCCCGGGACATTCAGGGACCAACGCACACACACGTTGTCAACACCAGCCAACAAACAGATATCATGCTGACTGGCGGCCATAGATGCAGAGATGTTTTGTCGCGCTCCTGCGATATCTGACCAAGTGAACCTTTTACTGTCGGTATTCATTGAAGAAAAAGAAAAAAAGAAGTTACAACACTGACAATGATATCAATGTCCAGTGCAGACACACACCTCCTTTTTCCCATTGTCTTTCTAGCCTAATCGTCACCTCCTGAGCCTCAGTCACCACAAATAAATCAGCTGCCTGCCCCCCAGCATGTGCGTGTGTGTCTTTGTCTTTGTGTGTGAGATACATAGAAACATTTGCACGATGAAGGAAGCGTCCATTACGAAGCCGTGGGGATGGGGGTTTTCTTTTAGTGAGTTACCTGATATTCATTTGGCCAAAAGGTGGAGACGGCGAGTTCGGCTCTCAGCCAGTCTTTACCTGGGAGACAAACACAAAGTCAAACCAGAGACACCCAATCAACGGGGAAAGAACGCGCGGCGCTCGGAGACGGTCTTTACCGGTGTAGGACGTCACGTTCCATATCGGGTTGGCCAAGGGACCCTTGTTCACCTGGCAAAGACACACAACGCCATATGAAACATATGCATACAGACATGATACAATCCTTCCTGAAGCCCTCTGAGAGACGTATTTAGCTCCAGAAAAGCATTTGAACAACGGCGTGCGTCGTCAGATAGGACAGGAAAAGACAGAGCCAGTAAAATGCATCGTCCCCTTAGAAGTGTTTTCGGACCTCTTCCACACACTGTAAAAACGTAAAGAGGACGTGAGAGGAGACAGGACCGTTGGGAAAAGTTGGGATTATTGCATCGTAAAATGTGTCCCGTGCATCACACTCAACACTTGCTCAAGAAAAATACCATCTTGATCCAAACACAAAGACACTAATGGGGGTTTAAAGTGCGTGTTTGGGGATTTTAAGTCAGTATTTATTGCAAGATTAATTATTAAAGCTTAATTAGGCAACCTTACAGAAACTCTTGGTGAAGGCAAAGCAGTCAGCCGCCTCCGTGGCCGGCTAGCTGCATTACTTGTGGTTAGATTTCACAAAAACACGCACCACATTTCCCATAAATTCAGTTTTGTTTTGTTTTAAGCTGAGAGGCTCGTTTAAACCATCTGCTAATGTGACAAACAGAAAGCTCGAGCTCTGCACTTGAACTCATCACGGCTTGTTTTTACCGAGTAAAATAACCTTTTGTTTTCTCAGAAAGGAAGAGTGCAATCCGGTGTGTAAAATCAAACCTTGCCTCTGACTGTGTAAACTACGACGTAGTAAAACCATTCAAAGGATCTTGAGTGTTTAGACCTTTTATGTCTTGAGAAAAAAGGTACATGCAGGTTGTTAAACCAATTGAAAAGGTAAAATCAGTCGCAGTCACCTAAGAAAGATAAACTACTCTCTAATATATACATATATATTTGTATATGGGTTATAGTACTATTATCAGGCTGCTCCAATAAGGGCCTTAAGACTCAGTTGATCCAGAGTGCTGCAGCGCAAGTTCTGACAAGAACGAGGAAAAGTACATATTAGCTCCTCTGTCAGCACCCTGAAACCTCCAGAAAACTTAAAGCACCATTTTAAGACGTTCTTAGTACCATATTACCCCCGAAGAGCGCTGTGCTCCCAGATTGCGAGGGTTGCTGAAGTCTGAAGCCGGGAGGAGATCCAGAACCTTCAGCTGCCAAGCTCAACTCCTATGGAAGCAGCTAAAAGTTTCAGAGGGGGTTCGACATTTTACTCTTGGATATTTAGGGCTGGCTCCGCAATGCACCAGCCCCTGGTTGTGCTGCTGCTATAGGCCGAGTTCTCTTCCCTCAACACCCGTGTGCGTTCGGGTCTGTCCGCTTGAGGAAGAAGGCCTTCTGAGTCCCTTGAGAAGTTGAATTTAATTTACCTTCACCAGGACGTTGAGGGTGCCGGGGCTGGAGCCGCCGGGGCTGGTGAGCAGGTAGTTGAAGTCGATGCAGTGGGTGTCGTTCTCCTTCATGACGGGCAGCTGAAAGCGGGCCTTGTCCCCGACGTCGTTCTGCGAGACGTCCACGAACATGAAGGAACCTGGCCACGGGGACGGAGACGAGCAGAGGGGTCAAAAAACGAGAAAAAGGCACAGAATCTGGGACGGTTGGAGGCACGCTGAGTCGGCTCTATTTGTTCTTGCAGCTGTTTGTGCTTGTAGCCGGCATTCCTGCTGAGGGTCGCGGCTTGAACCGACAAGCAGCGGGGCCTTCTAAGGAGATGGTTAGTGTGTGTGTGTGTGTGTGTGTGTGTGTGGCATCTGCCTGTACTACATGTAAGTACACGAGTAGACTAGTCGATGACACACTAAACTCCAACATATGGAACTGGATCCATGACCCCCTCATTTCCGTCCTCATGGACACAAACAGACGCAGAACGTGAAGCGTCTCCATGTTTCTGCTCTTTCGTCTTGGACATCTCCCGTCGTAAAATGAAAATGATTCTTTCTCTTTGTGTCCGCATGCTTTTACTCACATCTGTTTCTCTCTCCTCACATTCCTTTGGAGCTTACAGGACAAGTGTCAGCCAGTGTTACTCACACTGCTCCATTTGTTTCTCCTTTGTGTTTCTGAGGCTGTTTCTATTCAAGCCAAACAAGAACAAATATACGGGGAATTGGAAGGAGGAGAGGAGAAGAAAAAAAGGCCAATTGTTACTTTCTTCTGTCCATTCCGATGAGATCTTTTATTTGCCTTCTCTTCCACTTTATTCACCGTCTCCTTTTCCTTTCTGCATATGAACTGTGCTGCTTCTGGGTGATAATGATTGCTAATGTGGGAGCTGACATAATAAAAATGAGACCAAACTAGTCAAATTGTCTCCAACATACAGAATATAATTTACCTGCTGCGACCCAGTGGTGTCACATGATTAGTTTTCCATAGCTATCCTCAGGGCCATATTTCTCTGGCTTACTTGTTTTGTTTGCAGAATGCTGCTCCCCTCTCTGCTGATTTCCAATGGAAATCCATTTGTTTTGTTCTTAATAGTATGACGGGACTCGTACTGTACTCAGTACTTTTGCACCCTTGTGGCCTTCCAGTCATTCGAGTAAGCCGAGGAAAAATGTACTTCATTAAATTTGTTATGTCTGCTGTCACTACTAGAGGAGGACATGTAGCTCGAGGTAATTTATAATCTCGGAGTGCTAAAAAGCCGTTGCAGTCAGCCCATCCAGATGTTCCAGCAATCAGCTCAGACCTAAACCAGATGTTGCTCCAGTGATATATGATGAAATGTGGGCCTTTCAAGCCTGATGTCTAATCTCACCATCTCACATGGGCTCATCACAAACTGGGGGAAAGTAGCCATGATATTTATTTATATTTGAAGCACAGAATAGAAATTGGTTGAATAGAACTAGTGCAGAAAAAATACATATGATTTATTTCAACCAAAAGTGACAAACATTTGGTAGTTTCAAAACGTTTGCGTGATGTTGCGTGATATTGAACCAGTGTTTTTATAATGATTTTATAAAACTTTAACACTCTATTAAATAATAATGAAAGATTAATCATGACTAATTAAAACATTACATCATTAGTTGCATACCTAAATATAATAACAGTACATGAGCAGAATAAAACAAACCGAGCAAACAGAACGAAACAGAGTAGAACAAAACCAAACAAAATATAAAAGAGTAATAGAACGTAACGGAAGAGAGTAGAACTGAATAGGAAATAACACAGAACACGTCCCAATATAAAAGAGTATTATAAAATAGAGCAGAACAGATTACAGTACAAAACTAACACAACTCTGTGCTCCAACTACACACACAGGACTCCCTCCCAAACGGTTCAATCTACTTGCATATGAAATCATACACAATATGAAGTATATACAATGAGCTCTAGAACAATAGTGATTATCGCTTATTGTTTAGCTAATCTTCTTTGAGAAAACACTTTCCTCTGGAGAAAACAGCAGAACACAACAGGCTTTCAACACACACACACACACACACACACACACACACACACACACACACACACACACACACACACACACACACACACACACACACACACACACACACCATCAGCTTTTCAAACCCAAACACTGTATCCGAGGTATGAGATTGGCTCTTCTCTCTCGATTGATTGATTTCCTTTCACCACAACTCCGAGCGCACACAAAACACACACAAACACACACTAGTACTGCAGCCAAGGCAGCATTAAAATAATCCTAATTTCTGGCTCTGAATGTTTCCAACGAGACACTAAATGAGATCATGCAAACGGAGTAAAGCCGACCGGGCCGCCCCGCCTTCCATCCCACGATCCACGTCGTCCCTGTTGCTGAACATTTGCGCCATGTTTCTAAGATGGTGACGTGAGGAACCTGAAAATACAGTCAGAGACCCTGATGCGTCACAACATGGCTAAATGATAAGCTTTAACACTTCAGATACCCATCGCGATGCGGCTCACCGCTAAGATAAGAAGGGATTGTTTGGGTATAAGTTCAAGTAGCTGAGTAATACTTAACATGTTGGAACAGTTCGCCTGCATGGAGACCAAAGTAGCATTGAAGAGATAAAGCTGAAACAATGCACGTGCAACAAACACACAAACGCACATCTCACAAGCAAAGTCTGCCCCGTTTTCTAAAATGGCTGATGTCTTTGAACCGCTAAAATGGACGCTAATAGAACGACGACACGATATATAACGATGGGGCTAAAAATAGCCCCGAGACAGCCTTAAGACCTAGATATGTCACATAACAACAACGGTAGACGGAGTATTATTCTTCAGCAGAACAGTGACGGCCGGCTGCTGAGAGAGAGCTTCACTCGCAGCGTCTCCTGCTCGCTGAAACGTTAATGCAGCCCGTTCATACTACAAAACACTCACTGGGTGCTTTAACTGTGGTTATCGGATTCCAACGTATCTTCATTTGTTCTGCAGCACGGACTGAAACTGCTCGTTGCTGCTCGGATCACATTTATATTCAGGCCGCATGTTCCCTGTTAAAAATCTGAAGAGCTTTTTTTAAGATGTGGTTGTTTTTTTTAAACTTACAGAGCTGCCAACTTTTCTAAAAACCTTGGGAGTGAGATTTTTGTCGGGAGTGACCAAACTTTTACCGCGCACGCAGCCACCCGCGTTGGTGGCTCAAATCTCAGGGAATTGGGATTAATGTGGCGTTGTAACCACGTCGTGTTCTGCTCGGCCCAAAGGCGTCGATAGCGGCGGCCTCCTGGAGGTGGGAAACACTGGTTACGTTGTGAGAAGCGAAGACACAGCTGAAGGTCCACCCACAGGACAGTTTGGTTTAAGTTGATGTTATTTACTGGGTGGTGTGCCAAAGAGGTGCAATACCTGAACTTATTCGGATTAATGTTAATCTGATCATGACTTGTAGGGCTTCTAGCCTTATTAAAACCTCTCATAAAAGCGCGTGCGTGTTGCTTTAAAGCGCGCTTTCATTATTAATTATCAGTCAATCTGCAGATCATTCTCTTTTATTTGCTTGGCCTATGAAAACTCCAAAGTGAAGCCTTTAAATATCTTGTTTCATCAGACCAACACACCACAAAGCCAAAGAGGGAACGTCTATAAAACAGACAGCAGTAACTTTACATCTGAGAGGTTGTAATTCTGTTCGTAAAAAATGTTTGACTCATTAGTCAGTCGACTTCTTGATCGCATCAGCGCTGCGCTCCACGAATACGTTGGTGTGCCAATGGTTTGATTGAATGCTCTATAGTTTGTGCCGGCGTATCCACAAGTATCCACTCATTATTGAAACATCCGGGGGAACAAGCTGGACGGCGGCAACAACCTTATTAAACTGCACACGGAGGAAAACAAGAGGGAAGAGAGGCAGCGACAGCCGCGGAGAGAATGCCTCGCCAAATAGGTTTAGAGTGGCACTGGCTGACAACATTATGAGTCAAGAGTATCTGCTTTGCTCCGCTGAGCCGCAGAGCCCCGGCGCCGCGAATGTTCAGCCGGCGCAGCGCGCGCTGCCAGCGGGGCGCCGGGGGGACCCTGCCACGGGGGCCGGTGCCAACATCAACACCCCAAAGAGATTACGCGGAACCGCTGTAGCTCTCCATCACAAAAGACACTGCCAAAGCGTCCCTGCGCCGCCGCCGCCGCCGCAAGCACAAATGGTGATTAACGACGGGGACAAACCAGCGCGGCTTACGGGGGACAAAACGTGATTGTTGGCTAAGCCGTCCGGTGACTCTGGCGCCATTCGCAGCGGAGCCCCGGGACGACCGCTTTTCTCTCTGCCAATACCTTTGACTGTGTAGAACCTGCTGAACTACTAATCAGCAAAATAAAATTCCTCCCAACTCACTTTCAGGTGCCAAATACTCGATATGACCCCCCCCATCCGTTAAAACAAAGGGAGTACGGTAACCTTTGTTGTTGCCCAAAAGGTTTCCCGGCTGTGCTCTAAAAGGAGACTGCAGCTGGACCGGAGCACTTCGAAATTACTGCTGGCTCCAATTGCCTAAAAAAAACCCAACCATTTCTAATAATAGGCATTACCGATGTGTCCCCCGGGAGAGGCATTTGAGCTACCAACGCATCCCCCCCTCACCAATCCCCTGCCACGTAATCCTCCCCGCCAGCAACCTGGTCTCCCCTCCGCAGCACGCTGCTGGCGTTATTAACACATCAAATGTCAGGTTCTGCTCCCGCACCTTCAGGCAACGCTGTGGGCCCCCAAGGCGCGTCCAACCCCTCCACACCATTAACCCGGGCCTGCAACCCGCGCGCCGCTGCTCCTCCCACTCGCCTCTCACCCCGATTGATTGCTGAGCTAAATGCTTTGCACTCGTGTGGCTTCTGCCACCTTCGCCCTCCCGCCGGAGGGACACCCCTCGGTATTAACATCCCTAAGTGTTAGACTTTGGGCCCATATCTTTGGGCAAGGTCCCTGATCACGGCACAGATTTATGCAGGACCACACGCGGCGGACAACGGGTAGTAGGTGCACACACATTTTAGAAGGTGTGTGTTCGTGGGACTATCATAAAGAACCGGCGCTGAACTGAACCTTTCTCTAAATGTCAGCGACGCTGGGTTGTCAGGATGATAAGCAAGAGAGATAAATAACGTTTTCTTTTACATTGTCATGGCAACAAAGTCAAAATCTCTCAAAACAGACAAGGAGAGAAGAGCATGGGCGAGGAAAGGAGACAGAGGAAGGACATAGGAGACACAAGATTATAGGAGAGTAAAGGGGAAGAGACAAGGAAGAGCAGAGGGGAGATGTGATGAGACTGCAGGACAGGAAAGGAGAGGAGGCGAGGGGAGGAAAGAAGGAGAATGCTAAAGCATAGCTATTGTTATAACATTTTGCTTTTAAGATTGTAAAGTAGGCAACCTTCCCTGTTCTCTGCCATTGATTAATGACCTCATATTCTGTTAATTAGACCCTCAGCCCAGAGGCAGAAAGATTTAATTTCCCCTCCATCATCACCGCGGAAAAAAGAAAAACTACTGATTAAAGAGGAGAGGGGAAAAGAGGATGTCTAAGAAAAGAGAGTCAAAAATTAAAAAGTACCGAGAGTAGTTCAAACTATACCGAAAAAATGGCCTCCGGGCCTCACATGTCCAACAAAACGATGAAAGGTCGAAACTGCACTTCGAAAATGCGCTCAATCACGGGTGGGCGACGGAGAGGAGCGAGAGGACGAGCGGACTCACCTTGGGGCAGTTCCGGGGAGACGTACGGCGCCTCCTGGGTGTTGGTGTGCGTCCAGTCAAAGTCGTCGTAGGGATCTTGCTGGTAGTCGCACGGAGTGAAGCCCTCGTCGAACGTGCAGCTCCCTGCAAAGACAAACACTCAGGTCACCTCGCGGCATCAGCAGCCATCGGCCCACGGCGCTGATTGTGATCAGTTGTATCGCACCGCGGGTCTCCCTCGGGTTTTTGTCCCACAGTCCCCGTCCCGAACGCCGCTTTCTCCGTGTGCGTGTCCGCCTCTCGGCTCATTAACGAAAAAAAAAACCCACCAGGAGTCTGAGCCGCGACAGTCATCACTCAAGGCCGGTCAGGATCACCTCTGACTCAACAGCCGGGGCCTTTGGGGCGATCATCTGTAGCCCCCTCGCGAACGCGTGAGCCAGCCGGCCGCCCAAAGGCCGCGCCGCAACAGGAAGTGGCTCTAATGCGGAGAGACGCCGCTTGTCCCCGGCGGCTGGATGAAACAATCAACTTGAAACGATATCCGGCTGGCGACGTGGCCGGTAGAAATGACACGGGGGGGGGGCACTGATGGCCATCTGATTCATTGAGCTGAGAGCAACGCGTGTTAATGGAACGGCTCGGAGAGATATTGCTAAGAAAAGCCGGGGCGCCATCTGACTGCAGCCACCGGTAGTTAGTGGTCGCTGACACGGGTCCTCTGTGCCCTTCTTGACATTTGCAAAAAGTAAAAGAGGAGATCTACTTAGGTATGATACAGCACACGCTTAAACATAGTTGTGATTAATTAACCAGTCGATTGAGCTTTAATGAAACCAACCAAACCCCAGATGATGATGAATCCTCCGTAACAATATCAATGAAATAGGGATTTACACCTGCGCAACTCTCAAGGTAAAGAGCGGCAAATAAGCCGAGCGGCTCCACTACCTGCGTCCTGGAGCGGGCCGCGATGCTCCACCTCCCCATCACCTCCCCTTCCCTCACCTCCCTTCCTCCCCCTCAGACGGCCCGCTGATCCGAACCCGCGCCACAGACGGATAGCGAGAGGTGACAGCCGCCGCCGGAGGAGAAACAAGTTAACATCAAACTAAGCGACCGCCTTCTGGCTGCCTGTGACTCAAAGCCTTTTGGAGATGCACCGGGGAGGGGCAGAGGGGGGGGGCAAAAGAAATAAAAAATAAACAAGTAAATAAACAGCCTCCCTTCATCCCGACTCCCATTCGGTTCAATTAAGCCGTTGTCACAGCACGTTACCTGCGGTCATAATGCGGAACAAGCCGGGACACGTAGAGGGCACCGAGTTACAAAGCGCTATCTACACAGATGTCGAACACGCTGCCGGGGTGTGCGCCTGCGTGTTGGGTGGAGGGGGGGGGCCTCCCACAGTGTGTGTGTGTCAGCTTACGAACAAGTGTGTAACTTTAGTGTGTGGGTGTGCGGCATGTGTACGGGCCCACAGTGCAGGTGTGTCCGCTGCCTGCGAGCGGGAAGGTGACCCTGCTCGCGTTACGGGGAATCTTCAGCCTTCTTCTAAACGGGAAGTACCTTCTTCCACACTCCCTCAGCACGGACACTTGGGGTTGGTGGAGATGACCGCACACGCACAGCGGCGTGGATGACGTCAGCTCGGAATGACTGCAGGTCACTGAAGTCCCACTAGAAAGGAAGGTCGATGTCAGCGCGAGTCTCGTCGTTGTTGGATGCGTTGCTCATTGCGTTCTGTTCCGTGCTGCGTCGCTCAGTTTAAAGCCTCAGACGCTTGCTGGCTTTTCTGTAAGTGACACATTGTTCGGCGGTGGTTTGGAGATGGCAGAAGAACTTGGCCTTGATCGCATGCTAAAGCACTTGTTTGGACTTGACCCGCCGACCGACAGCAGAAGCTCTGTTCAGTTACAGATTCTCTGCTTCTGAAAACGCTATACAGAGTACAAGGAAACTGGTTTTATACCCATTGTGTTTGAAATACGTACACATATAATCACACACACTCAGCTCTGATGCAGGGCCGCGGTAGAAGAGGTTCTTCGCGTTGGCTTAGCTTGCTGCGTTTTATGTTTCGCCTTTAATTTCTCTCAAATCGTAGAGCATTCCCTCTTTGCCCGTCTGCACACCTCCGATAGACATTCTGGCTGCTTTTTAGCTGCAAACATACTAAACACAGTCGCTGTGTGTCTGCTGGAACCAAATGTGTGTGAAACTGTCCACGCAAACACACACCAGCTTGCCCATAGTCTTTAGTTAACACTCCTTCTCCCTAATGTCCTGCCAACTAAAACCAACACACACACACACACACACACACACACACACACACACACACACACACACACACGCACACGCCAGCAGACACATGCATCTGACGGAGGGTCGTTCTTGCCAATAATGGAAGAGCAGACCGTGTGCGATTATCTTAGCTCTTGCGGAAAAAAATGTGCAAGCTTTCCCAAATGAAGGTAAAATCTACGTTGATTGGGAATTTGATCTTTGATGATGTTCCATTAGTATTAAACACAATAACCCAATTCCAATAATCACTGTACTTGTCATTTGCGTGCAAACTGCAATAACAGATATTCTGGCAGTAGAAACAAAGCGGCACACCGTCACGTTTTTCAACATGTGGGTCGAGCAGAAGTTTGCTGCCCAGTAGAATCCCAGTTTACGTTTCTATGTGGCCGGTTACAAGTAAAATTGTAGCGGCAACACCAACCTGAGCGGAAATGTGAGTCTGTCTGCATGCGTTGACTCTACACAAACCACAACAACATTTTCCAACTAAATGCACGAGTGTGTGTCCAGATGCTCCACTCTCCATTCACAAGGACACAAGAGAGAGAAACCGACTGCATGCTAATCACTTCCTAATCAGCTCCTGTGATTGGCTGCCTCGCTAATGAAATAATGGTAACTCATTTGCATTATAAAATAATTAGAAGGACTTGATAAAGGCTCAAGGGCAGAGGGAGGAACGCAACACACACACACACACACACACGCACAGTGAAACAGGGCCGCTGCGGTCTTTTCTAAAAGATTGCTGAATGGCATCAGACACAACATCTGCCACTGCCACTCAGACTCATTTTGTGGTGATTTGCGTTGACCTCCACCTCCAGGAGGCGAGTCAAAGGAAAGTCTTCGTCTCAAACTGTTCGGAAACTTGGATGCAGACGACATGACGGCCTCGGGTCCCTCCTTCGCCACGGGGAGGGTTAAAAACACGTACAATACTCGGTTATTAGTTTTAATCAAGACTTTTCTTTAGTGTGCAATAATGTGTAACAATAGCTGGTTTGATTAGCTCTTCTTTTCTTCAACATGATCCAAGCGATCTGCTGAGCGGGCGGTATTAAATCCCCTCTACGGGACACGCTTAAATACGACGGCGGTCTGAGGTGTTTTTGAAACTCCATTATAACCATAAGAGATATAAGATGTCCGATTAGAAAGTCTCAGAATGCTCGGTCAATACTCGTGCCCTTGTGTAGACAATCGAGCACATTTATCTAAAAAGGAAGCGGCCTAACATCCCCTTGGTGTGGTGCAATCGGATCAAATAAGGAACTACGCAATTCCTCCGGGGCGACAGCTGGCTTTATGGCACACGCTGGCTTTGTGCGTCAATATCCAGGGTCTGCAAAGCCACTGAACGTGCAGCTATACTAGCAGTGTGTGTTTAAAGTCTGGAGGGAAAACAGAAAATGTATCTGTAAAAAAAACGAGGGATATGAGGGTTGGAGTCAGTTGCTGTAAGTTAAATAAAAAGAACTAAAGAAAAGATACAGAAAGTACACAACGTTAATTCTGTGAATGCTGAAAGTGAAGAAAGGCCTGACAGATAGAAGAAGGCCATGAGTTCCACATGAGAGATATGGAGACATTTGGGCTGTGAAAGATATGCGAGGTCATCCACTCCGCTGCCTTTCAGTTAACCACACTTGGTTTGAATAATACAAAGATGTCTTGTGTGAAAAATAGCAAAACTAAGCGAGTTCTCTGACCTCGCACCGTGTCGGGGCGTCGCGGCTCCACCTCCTCCGTGATTAATACTGTCCTCGCTGAAGAAATAACCCTGACTCATCCGGACGCGTATCAAACACACCCAAACACCTCGTCTTTCAACTTACGGGAGGGGGGGGAAGAGCCTCTCAACGGCAACGGTCGAGAGGGCCTCGTTGCCGTGGCGGCGAGCGAACGGCGAGGACGGTGGGGCCGTAATCCTGGTCTAGAATAAGTGGCTGGGAATAAAATATGAACATTTGGTGTGTTGGAATAAATGGAAATCCACACAACGGATATTTGTCACGTCGACGACGAAAAATGTCAACTGGGCTGAATGCGATGTTTTACACTTGAGCTAATCAGATGACCGTTACATCCTCTCGCTCTCACTAGTATTTATCGGCAGAGCTCAGTTGCAGGCTGCAGGCAGAGATGTTATCAGAAGAGCGGCGATAAGACGGCATGAGACGAAGTGAAGGAAAGAAATCCAGAGGAAGAGACGCGAGGGGAGGCACAGAGGAAGCCGATGATGAAGCCGTCTAAGCCAATTGTTTCACCATTTTCTTTTGTCTTTTTGTCTTTTGTCTCCATCTTTCCTGCATCGATAAATGGGGGATCCAAATCTAGGTGGCTTCGCGATCGCACCACGAGAGGAAAGAAGAGGAGCTTCGGTTCTCAAACGGAAATCATTTTCAAGGACAATAATTACATTTCCGTCATTAAAATCCAATTCCAACCGCCAGTGATACTATTTCCCAGCAAATCATTAAAAATGGTCCAGTTAATAATTACGTCTGCTGACCCGGATTCATAATCATATAGGGTTTTGTGGGACATTTCATACGTGACTCACTAACTTTCTGGAACTCGGGGAGACGGTTTAACGAGGGAAAGGAGACGGAAAGGAGAAGGAAAGGAGACGGAAAGGAGAAGGAAAGGAGGAAAGGAGGAGAGGAACTCTAAGCTAAAGTAATGACACAGTCTCACTACTCCATCTTTGTGATGTTATTATTTAATGGCCTTTCTCAAAATGACTTTGTGCTGTGGGTTTGTTATTTTCATTGTGCGTGTGGCCCCGACCACCTCAAGGACACTGACAAAGTTGTGGGGTATCATTT